TCAACACATCGGTTTTACTACCTATGACTTGAGTATTTGTCATAGTCATTTTTGGTAAGTATATTTGCACAAGTAAAATTTTAAAAGGTTTCAAATTAGTATTTAGACCTTTTTTGTAATAAAAAACATTTAATGCAATAGCAGGAGGGTTGGTATCATTTTATTAGCTTGCTCACAATAATTCTTGTTTATGAAAGAGAGTCACTATGACAGCTCACATAATTATAAAGTAAAACCATGTCAATCAGGCATGTAGCATCAGGTTTGGGTTGGGTAGGGGGGATGACATCCCCCACCCAACTTTTTTCTCAACGTACCCTAATGTTTAACCACACACACCCCCTCCCGAGTTTGTCCGTTTGTCCTTCCGTCTAGCCGTCTTTCTGTCTGTCTGGAACGCTTTCGTTTGCACACGATATCTCGAGAACCCTCTGAGCTTTTGCAATGAAATTTAGCATAGCAACAGTTACTCCCTATGGACTAAAGAAGAACCCTATTGATTTTGTGGTCAAAAAGTCAAAGGTCAAGGTCATAAATAAACAAATTCTGTCTGTTATAACACTTTCCTTTCCACACAGTATCTCTAGAACCATTTGAGCTATTGCAATGAAATTTTACATAACAACTTTCCGTGACATTATGAAGACCCCTATTGATTTTGAGGTCAAAAGGTCAAAGTTAAAGGTCGTAAATTTATACATTCTCTCTGTGTGTAACACTATCATTTCCGGGCGATATTTCAAGAAGATTTTGAGCTTATGCAATGTATTTTATACCAAAACTTCCTAGGACCTCTCTCAAAGTGTCCCGCCTCGTTTGTTTTATTAGTATTTATAGTATTACATGTCGCTATTTTTAGCACAGGGGCATGAGGAGAGTTATTGCGTATAAAACAGGTTCACGGCAGAATTTATATTCCTATCACATCTACCAGAACTGGTTAATAAAGGTTGAATTAGACACCATGTTTTGTGTAAATTTTTGACGATATCAAACGTGAATATATACATGTATGTGACTTCATATTTGCATATAATTGTCGAAATTTTACAGCAGTTCCGTGGCGCAGTGGTATGTCTCCCGCTTCACATGCGAAATTCTTTTTTACTAAATGATAGTATTCAGCATGTGAAATGAAAAAAAATTATGAGGTCTAGCTTGTACAAACTCATGCAATCATCATTACGTTGTGATAAATAATCCACATAAAAAAGAATCTTCTATACACATAATCAAATCATTATATCAATATTGACATATTTTATTTGCTTCAGTATACATGTATACATTTAAAAATTCTACAAATTCAATTAGGGGGATCCGACCCCCACCCCCCACCCCCACCCCGCCCCGAACTGCGCATGGTTTACTTTTTCCCTAAGCGGGGGACACAAATTCTCTGAATTAGCTTGTTAGATTTACATCAATAAAAAAATGCTAACAGACAAAGAATGTTACTTTTGGATTGAACATTTTTATTTGATCCACTTTCATGAATACACTGTACAATTTATGGATCTATTTTCTGGATCCCTGAGTCTCCGGTAACACTATCAACTCACTTCCAGCATCAATGGTCTGTACTGTAATGATGTGTTCTCATAACGATAATCTGAAAAAGTGATGAAATTAAAATGTAATAATATTATACAGCTTTGCCTTCAGATACTAATACTAAGAACCATTTCTAGTTGAGCTAGAGCAATGATGACGAATGCAAAGCATGTTTATTGGAATCAATTAAATTCCAAGAGATCTCAATGGTTTAGTTTATCATTTTATTTTAAAACGTTAACGTTTTTACTAAATGTATTATTTACACGTTTTTCCTGTCTAATTCTATATCAGCTCATCCAATTCTGTTTCTGCTTCTTTCCGAGTTTGGCTTCAAAGTGGCGAATTTCATTCTAAAAACAGAAATATACAACACAAAGTTGAGACGGTATTGATTTTAGATATTCTTTAAATTCATAAACTTGTAATAAAAAGGTCAATTGGTTGTCAAAACTCTAAATTGTGGTTTTCTTTTCTTTCCAATACCCCCCCCCCCCCCCAAGAAAAAATTAAGTATAGAAATTCTTTTCAAAAATTTATGTGCTGTAATTCTAATGATGCTTATTATTTGAACCTAGTTGACTTAAATTAGTTCAGTGGTACCGGTGAAAATGTTAGCTGAATATGAATTTTCTTTCATAAGTAAACACTGGATGACATCAGCAAAAACCTTGACTTGGTTACACACATGCTGTGAATAAGACAAATCAAAATTAAACTAAATTCAAATTAAACTTTATAATTTGGGATACAGTTATGTAACTGATCATGACCAACTTTTTCACGTTCGGCCCGCATAAACAATCTAAGTTGGGGAATTTAATTTCATTTTATCATATTATAGTTTAATATCGGCAATATTATCGGGGAGAGGGGGCATACCCCCTTCTCTTGGTTCCTCAGGCCATGCATTAATCTTTTCTTTTTAGTTATAAAATACTAAAGTAATGCTAACATATATAATCAATCAGAATTAAATTGAAATGTGCAAAAAAAACACTTGCCAAGTGTTACATATTTTCCTGCATGTTTAATTTTTGTTATGCATTCTTCAGAAACTGTTGTAATGGTAAATTGTAAAAAATTCAGTCACTAACCGTAATTAGGACTCATGAAAACGCCAAAACTGAGGCTCAGACTGCTCCAAGTTTGTTATTTTCTTCTAGTCTTCTGTACATTGTTATTGAAAACAAGGTAAGCAAACTACCGTTTATTCCTCCTATGTTAGAGAGCTATACCAAAGGGAGGTAATTTGAAGCAAAAAAGACAGAAAAATTATGGATTTAAATCAGTTATCATATATAAATGCTTTAGTTGCCTGCAGATTTTTTTCTTGATTCTTGTAGGACAAATACTGTTTAATATATATTTTATGTTGATAAGCTTTAATGTGGTTGTAGATTTCTTATAGAGTACTGCAAATTTGCTGTTTTTTTAAATCAAAATAAACCTCCAAAAACTAGTTTTATTTATCAAAAGGTGAAGAGAATTTCAATAATCAACAGTTGTTAAAATTGAGTATTTTTAGATAAATAGAATAATAATTTAAAAAGCTTTTATTAATGACTAGTAATAAAAAATATTTGTTTAACCATAAATTCAAGTGTCATGATAACGTACAAAACACGCTATTTGAAAGGCGCGTGGTTTCCATAGCAACAATGCGAAAAATTATTTTTGGCTTGCTTTTTTTTATCATACCCTTTGTTCTGAAAATTTATATATGAGTTTTAACCAAATCTGTTTCTATGCCACTTTCCACATTTTTTAACTAAATGCTCGATGCTTGCTGATTTTGACTCTTATATATATTGTTGTTTAAATTTTCCTCCTTTACTAGTTTTTCATTAATGAATAATTGCTAGCTCTCTTCAAGGCGTTCAACGGTGTTTCGTAGCCAGCTGCAGTGTATTTTGTATTCCAAAAATCCTCTCTCACATATCTTTTTTGGTTGTTTGAATTTTTCTAATTCATCTATAAAACCTTTTCTTATAATTTTAGTTGATTGTTTAGTGACTGTGTATAGGAAGCTGTTTGGATTTCTGTGACAAGTCTCTTTGTTTTGTAGTGAAAGTGATGTGGTGATTTACACTGACTACACACCTGTCGTGTGCTCCTTGTCATGATCAGAAAAAAGCGAAAAAATCAGTAAACAATTCAGCTTGTAAACAGTATCGTAGACAATAAGTTTTGGTGGAGGCTCATGTTACCATGCAAAATTTGATTCTTATTTAGAGAACCTGTCTTGTTTTCTGTATAATATAAAAATAGTTTTTTTACCACTTGATATTAGTTTGATAATATTTTTGCAGTATTAAAACCATTGTAATCCAACAATCATTTCTTTAAGGAAGTTCTAAACACAAATGAAAAAGTGTTTTTGAACTTGGAGAAAATATATTATATCAATGTTTTCAAATAGATACAACATTGTATGACACATCTATTTCATATTCGGATATTTTACTTGAAGAAGACGTAATGGTAATCTAACAACTAAGCTCTATCATAAATGTGATGACTTAAACTTTACAATCATACGCGTCAACTTCCCATACTAATGAAGCAATATACCTTCGTCACCTGCATATAGAATTATATCTAACAGTTGATTCGATATGCAAGAGTATGCACTGAGTATGTACAACTTCTAAAACGAGGTAAGCTATTGATAAAGATGTTGATGAAACAAGAATATCAGCAGTATCGTTTAAGACATCATTTCGAAAGTTCTATGGTCGATACAATGACCTTGTCATCAAATACAATTTATCGTTTAGTCAAATGCTGACTGACATTTTTGATACTAATCATTAGTCCATTATTTATACTCTGAATTAACTACGGATTTTCCCTTTATTTCCCGATCATAACAAAGAGCGCAGGGCGGGTGTGACTGGTCGGCAGAGGATGCTCATTCTTCCATGGCGCCTGATCCCACATAAGTACATTTAATTTAAGTTCTCTTAAAATTGAAAGTCAACTAGTGTTCATTGTCTTCATACCTGCATTAAGCCTTTGAACGGGAGAGGGAGGGGCAAAGGGGGGTCCGCCTTTTTTCTTTAGCAAATATTGACATAATTGAGGCATTTGCTAGAATACTGAACAATATGTGTACTTTTTGTCAAAGGTTGTGAATTTGGTCGATAATAAAGAACTTTGAAAAGAATTATTTTTTTCATACTGCGTTAACTTTGTCCCAAATATAATGCAATTTGAACATTTTTTTGTAAAGTGCTTAGTTGTTACAAGTGCGTAGTAACCGAACCCAGTCTGGTTAAAATCAGAGCAAATCAGCTATACAAGGGTAGCGATCTAGGTGAGCGGATCAAAAGATCTGATTGTAACAAACTGCCATACTAAACAAGCACCCATACTCAATTTTAATGTTTACATTTGTACTACATTAGAAAATTTGTAAAAATTATATCTTTTTTATTTTCCAGGAGCTTACGCATTAACTGTGCAATTTAACGACAGTTATCATGCAATATTTATGATATCCATAATGAAAGAGGAGAATGTATCGAAATTATCGATATCAGGACAATTGTGCATTGAATCTGAATTTGAATGCTATGAAGAGCTGATACTTTTTAAAGATCTTCAACACTCAAAACTGGAAAATCAGGATATAATTCATCGTCAACGTCGTGAAGCAGAGAGTGGTGATCAGGATGGATTAGGTAAGTAAAATTTGGAAGCTGATCAATATATTAAAGGATGTAAAACATAAATTTACAAATAATAAACAGCGCTATAAACTTTTTAGCTCACCTGAGCCTAAGGCTTATAACATTTTGTTCGTCGTCCGTCTGTCCGTCTGTAAACTTTTCACATTTTCGACTTCTCCTCAAGAACTAATGGGCCAATTTTAACCAAAATTGGTACAAAGCATCCTTGGGTAAAGTGGAGTTTAAATTATTTTAATGAAGGGCCAAGTCTCCTTACAAGGGGAGATAATCAAGAAAAAAATAGGGTGGGCTAATTAAAAAATCTTCTTGTCAAGAACCACTGGACCAGGAAAGCTGAAACTTATGTGGAAGCATCCTTGGGTAGTGTAGATATTAAATTGTCAAAATCATGACCCCCGGGCCCGGGGGTAGGGTTGGAGCCACAATAAGGAATCCAAGTTTAACATAGAAATATAGATCAACAAATCTTTAAAAATCTTCTTCTCAAGAACTACTGGACCAGAAAAGCTGAATCTTATGTGGAAGCATCCTTGGGTAGTGTAGATATTAAATTCTCAAAATCATGACCCCTGGGGGTAGGGCGGGACCACAATAGGGAATCCAAGTTTTACATAGAAATGTATAGAGCAAATCTTTAAAAATCTTCTTCTCAAGAACCACTGGGCCAGGAAAGCTGAAACTTATGTGGAAACATCCTTGGGTAGTGTAGATATTAAATTGTTAAAAGCATGACCCCCGGGAGTAGGGCGGGGCCACACGTTTTACATTGAAATATTTAGGAAAAATCTTTTAAGAATCTTCTCAAGAACCATTGGGCCAGGAAAGCTGAAACTTATGTGAAAGCAGCCTTGGGTAATGTAGATTCTAAAATATTAAAATCATGAAAGGGGAGGGGGTAGGGAGTCACGATAGGTATAGCAAGAGGGGAAATCTGGTAAAGAACTGCATCAACCAAGTTACTCAGGTGAGCGATGTGGCCCATGGGTCTCTTGTTTACTAATTAGTTTTGATTGTAAGAACATGGAATGAAAAGTCACATACACTGTAGATCAATACATGTATATTTATTTGTTCAATTAGCCTTTCATGCGAAAAGTTAATTTTTCTCTTTAATTTGCTCTTTCTTTTTGAATTTAAAGAAGCATTTCATTTCATTGGAATGTATAAAGAGACTTAGATAAGTCTCCAATTCAAAGATTAAGGTGAAACTTAATCTTTGTCTCGAGTGCATCCTATTGTCTCATTTATCTATTTCACTTTATAATTTATTATATAAATGAGACGAATTTTTCGAGGGCAATTTTCTTGTCAAATTAATGTTTAACATATTGAGTATGTAGAAGAAAATCTGCTGATGAATAACAGGACCCTTTCAACTCTGTTGAGCGTTTTGGTCCATTGACTTCATGTCACTTCAAAGAGTATTATAAGACTATAGACGATATACTAATTAGAAAACTTAAATGCTATCATTTCGATCCAATATCAATTAAATGGTTTCAATCATACTTATATGATCGAACACAAAGTGTAAAAATTGGTGCATACATATCTGAATCACTGCCAGTCACAGCAGGTGTGCCACAGGGCTCTATTTTAGGTCCTTTGTTGTTTCTATTGTATATTAATGATTTACCATTATGTGTTGAACATTGTAATATTGATATGTTTGCTGATGACACTACAATGCATTTTCATGGCAATAGTATTTCACATATTGAAACAACTCTAAATCATGAACTCAATCAACTACAAAAATGGTGCCAACAAAATCAGATGATTATAAATACTGATAAAACAAAGTGTATGTTAATGGGAACAAAACAAAAGAAATCTAAATTAGAAAATGTTAATTTTCATTTACAACTTTCCGGACATACTCTTGAAAATGTAGAAATGCACAAATTATTAGGCATTCACATCGATCATAATCTACAATATACTTGTCATGTAGATGCAGTTTGCAAAACTCTTACATATAAAATATTCACTTTACGAAAAATTAAAAAGTTTCTTCCAATGCATACTAGACAACTATTTTATAATGCTTTTATTCTACCATCAATTTTATATTGTCTGTCCATATGGGGCAACTGTCCTCAAACGCACGTGGATAGAGTCTACAGATTACAAAAACGAGCGGCTAGGATTATTTTAAATGAAAAATATGATACACCTTCAATGCCTTTATTTAACACTTTAGGCTGGTTAACGGTTTATGAACTTTTATATTTACAGAAAAGCATTCTAATGTTCAAAATACTTAATGGTATGTCTCCGGATTATATGCATAATCTTTTTGAATTTCAAAGCTCTGGATCATACACGTTACGCTCTGAAACAAACTCCGAACTGCGATTACCAAAATATAAAACTAACTTATTTAAAAATTCTTTACAATATTCAGGAGTTATAATCTGGAACGAGCTACCAATAAGTATAAGGAATTCCCAATCCCTTACAATATTTAAAAAAAGTGTTAAAAATTTTTTGCTCGTGAAACGCAATGGTTCTACGTGATTTTTCTTTTTTCTCTCTCTCTCTATGCTTAAATGTATATGTTTTATTTATTTATTTATCTATTTGGTAACATGCATGTACTGTCCATTTTTTTATTGTCTCCTTATTGTGGTTTGTATTTATTGTGTATATACATTGTATATGTGTTATAAAGAGGGCCCCGAGGAAGACTAGTGCTTGCACTAATCGGGTTACCTTCTATAAATAAAGTATTATTATTATTATTATTATTAAACTGGTTTGGTTTCTTTTACAGATTCGAAATATTCATATAGTACAAACTATTCTGCTCTTTACCAAATTTTGAAAAAAGGTGGTACATTCCAGGAATTCATGAATGAATTATTGGACTCCTCTGAAATAACACAAACAACTACTTTGTATGAGTTTCCGCCTGTAAGTACGTTAATCATTTTCTGCTCATCTGAACCGAAAGCTAAAATTAGCTTCTCTACTTGAAATTTCCTCGTTTTTGAGGTATGAACTTTAGAAGAGACCCACGCGTTTAAGTCCACCAGAAAAAGTAAAATTTCATATTTACTAAACAACTATTCTACCACGAATTCTAGTCCCCACAAATTTAATCTTTCCTGATGTATTTAAATATACAGACCAACATATTTTATTTTAAATATTTATATATATTTTTTATAATTTAATTTTAGTTATCCACATCAATTGATTGGATAAAAGATTGACCTTATATCGTATAACATTTTTAAATAGTGTGAAAAAAATCCAATAGAACAAAATTGCAAACATAAATGTAATTTTTTTTCCTGTGACTGATTTTATTCTATAACTTGTAGGCACAAGAAGTAAGCAGTTCTGTTGAAGGTAAAGCTGACAGATCAATCTTTAAAAAGTTTACAGACGCATATAAAGCTAAATGGAAATTCTACAATTCGAAAAAAGGAATGCAACTGCAAACACAATGGGATAACTCCGAAAAGACGGATAATGCCGGAGACGATAAATCGAAAAGTGATGAGGAAAATATAAAGGATTCAGAAACTCTGAAGAAAGCCAAGTTTAGCGCATCTGCAACTTTGTCTTTGACTTTCTCTCTTCACGATGTGTGTGCAGGGGCTGCTGTTGGTGGCAGTTATGATTATCCAGTCTTCATGCTTCGCTTGTGGTACCCATGTGGTCCTATACTTTTTTCAATGAGTAAGCAAAACTTTTCAGAACATGAAATACTCCTATTCCCTTTTCATTTTTTAGCTCACCTGAGCCAAAGCTCTAGTGAGCTTTTCTGATCAAAATGTGTCCGTTGTCTGTCGTTGTCGTTGTAAACTTTTCACATTTTCATCTTCTTCACAAGAACCACTGGGCCAATTTCAACCAAGCTTGCCACAAAGTATCCTTGGGAAAAGGGGATTCAAGTTTGTTCAAATGAAGGGACATGCACTCTTCCAAAGGGAGATAATTATGAATTAGCAAAAAATTAATAGCATCTTTTAAAAATCTTCTTCTCAAGAACCACTGGCTAGGAATGATGAAATTCATGTGGTATTATGCTCAGGTAGTGCAGATTCAAGTTTGTTCAATTCATGACACCAGGGGGTAGGGTAGATCCACAATGTCTGATCAAAGTTTTACATAGGAATATACAGGAAAAATCTTCTTCTCAAGAACAGCAAAGCCATGATTGATGATATCTATAGGGAAACATCCTCAGGTGGTGTAAATTCAAGTTTGTTCAAAACACGACCCCTTGGGGTTGGGTGGGGCCACAATGAGCGATCAAAGTTTTACATCAGAATATATAAGAAAATTTTTTAAGAATCTTCTTCTTAAGAACAGCAAAGCCATGATTGGTGATATAATAATAATATATGAATTTTAATAATGATATATGAATTTATAAAGCGCTAAATATTAATAATTTAACTCTAAAGCGCTGTACAATAAAACGCAGTAAACATAATTTAAAAGCTATGAAAACTTAACCCATACTCATATATGTGTTCGAAATTATAACATTAAAATACTAAAAATTACACACAAAATACAATTACGCCATCAATAAAACTCAATAAAAGAACTTCATTTGTGATTTATGATTTGCTGCTAAAAATTGAGCACCTGAAATTTAAAACGCTATTCTATAAAAATGCGTCTTTAATTGTCTTTTGAAAATATCCAGGGACTGGGCCTGCTTTATATCATTAGGAAGGCCGTTCCACAAAAATGCTGCTGCCCAACCAAGTCGACGTGCGCCATGTCTTCGTCCTGATCTTAGGAACAACTAAATGTGATGTTGACTCAGATCGCAGTGACCTGGTAGGCTTGTATTCCATTATAAGATCTTTGATATAAGATGGAGCTAACCCGTGTAAGGATTGGTAGACATATGTCAAGATTTTATATTGTGGACGAAAAGAAACAGGTAGCCAATGAAGATCAGCTAGGATAGGTGTAATATGCTCCCGTTTCGATGATCTTGTAACTAAACGAGCTGCCGTGTTCTGGACTTTTTGAATCCGGTCTAGTAAGGCCTTTGACACTCCATATAGAAAGCAGTTCCCATAGTCCAGCCTGGCGGTGATAACGGCATTCACTATGGTCTTGCAGACTTCTTCTGTAAGAAAGCGCAGTATTCGTCCAATATTGCTTATTTGAAAATAGCATGACTTGACGACCGAGGATACCTGTTTTTCCATAGTAAGGTGTTGATCAAAAAATGCACCTAGATTTTTTACACATGGCACGCTTTCAATGATATTATCACCAACTTTTAGTTGTAATGTTGGCGGATACTTCTGGTGTTGCTTTGTGGTGAAGATTATTAGCTCGGTCTTTTCTTGGTTTAGTTTGAGTAGGTTTGATGTCATCCATGAACCAATTTCACTAAGACACGCTTCAAGTCGAGAGAAATAATTGTTCCAATTTTCCAGTGGTCTTATGATCATGTAGATTTGTGTATCATCTGCATAGCAGTGATATATCATTCCATGTCGGTGGCATATGATTCCAATGGGTTTGGAGAAGAGGCAATACAATTTCGGTCCGAGTACAGATCCTTGGGGGACACCAAAAGGCAGCTGTCTAGACTCTGATCGGACGGATCCAATTGTGACACATTGTTTTCTGTTCTTGAGGTAAGACTTGATCCACTCAAGAGCTCCATTACGGAAACCATAAGACACAGTTAGGCGTTGGAACAAGATATTATGGTCAATAACATCAAAAGCAGCGGATAAATCCAGAAGGACAAGGACTGCTGAAGATTGTTGGTCTAGGGCTGTCACAATATCGTTGTGGACCTTGATGAGGGCCGTTTCCGTGGAGTGCCTCGGACGATATGCCGACTGAAGTGGATCGCGAAGAGAATTCGCATCCAAATGGGCATCAATCCTACGAGCCACAACTTTCTCCAATATTTTTGAGATAAACTCAAGTTTGATACGGGCCGATAGTTTTTCAACACTTCCTTATCTAGTCCAGGTTTCTTAGGAAGTGGACGAACTATGGCCTCCTTCCATGCAGACGGAAAAATTCCCTGATCGAGAGATGCATTAACCATTTCTGTGACAAGCGGTATTACCGGATCCAGGCACTTTTTCAGTAACTTTGTTGGAATTGGATCCAGTTCGCATGATTTACTGGGTGCCTTCATTATTAGGGATCGTACTTCATCTTCAGTGGTACGTTCAAAAGCAGCTAATAGAGGCCCGTGATAGTATACATCTGTGCCTAAATAGCTGTCTTCTTTTTCTGTTTTTTGTTTAAGTGTCTCTCTGATGGATGTTACTTTGTCTATAAAAAACGTTGAAAATTTATTTGCAAGATCTTCATCTGATGATGATGTTGGTAGGGGACTCTTCTGATTCTTACCCAACAATAAATTCGTCACCCTAAAGAAGTTTTTCAGATCATATCTGCATTCCTGAATTTTAGCAGAATAGAATTCTTCTTTTGCCTTGCGTAGTAATTGACCTGTTTGCTTACATTCCGTTTTAAAAAGCTGGTGGTGTATTTCTAGTTTAGATCTACGCCATAGTCTCTCCGTTCTCCGCTTCTGTTGTTTCGCTTTCTTGAGCTCGTCTGTGTACCACTATGTGTTAGCTCTTATAAGAATTGACTTGCTAACAAGAGGCGCATGAGTGTTTAGAATATGCGAGAGGCATTTGTTGTACCCTTGTACTAAATGGTCAACAGATGTGTTCTCATTTCGTGCGGATTCATCTTGTAGTTGATTTTTGATATCTTTACTCATATCATGTATGTCGATATTCTTGAGCCTTCTAAATGTAATCTCTTTACGTTGATGTTGTGGCTTTCTGCAGTTGAACGTTGCATGTATAGCATAGTGGTCACAGCACAAGTTTCCTTTCACATCACTCAATGAAGGATTTTTGACTTGAGGACGTGAATGTAGTATTTCACTAGATGATCGTGTGATAAGCAAGTGTAGGATATGTCCGTGAACATGGGTCGGCTCGTCCACGTGTTGTATAAGGTTGCGATCATCAAGGGATTGTAACAACCTGCTTGCCTCAGGATCACTACGATTGTCGACGTGAAAATTGAAATCACCTATGATTACTAGGTCTTGGGGAAATATAGTATTCTGATCAAGATAGGTGTCCCATTCTGAGAAGAACTGACTGGTAGTTAAACCATTCACAGTAGAAGGTGGCGGTCTGTAAATGATACATAGATTCATTCTCATGTCTTCTATTCGGACTGTAACTTCTAGATGTTCGAATTGAGTGAAAATATCCGAGCTTGTGTTCAGAACGGTCACATCAATTCCCTTCTTAAAGACAAGAGCTATTCCACCACCACGGCGTCCACTGTTGCGATCTTGACGAATGATTTCGTAGCATGATGGTTTCAGTTCATTCACAACAGCTTCATCAACAGAGGAACCTAACCAAGTTTCAGTCAATGCGACTAAGTCAAAGTCCTCTGTAAGTATATAGTCAAAATTGATAGTGATTTGTTTTTAACTGATCTGCAGTTAAGAGAAGAAAATGAAAACAGCTTTGAACTTGGTCTTATGTTTTTCAATTTTACTTTCGTGAGTGTTTGAATTCTGTTTTCCATACCAACTTTTCTTGGTTTACCATACGTAATGCGATTGTTTATCTTACACACCGCATCCGTACCGTAGGAAGTGTTTAGGTCAAAGATCTTTGGTCTTGACAAATTCGAATCATTACGACTGTTCGGATAGTCAATTCTCTTTACTCGATTTTGAATCAATGTTGGGATTGGAAGAGCTTCGCATGGTTCAGCAGAAACTTTCAAGGGAGATGAAGGATTCCTTAGTATATCATCGAAGATATACACCAGGTTATCTCCATTAACCCCCAGTTGATGTCCTTCGTATCTCAACCGCCCACCACAGACAGTGTGGATATGCCTGATGACCCTGCGTCCAGCCTTCGTCCCCCTTCTGAAACGAGAAGTTTCCGTATGACCTGGTACACTAGCAACACATGGTCTTACAAAACACATCCTACGACAACTATATTTCTAAGTTGAGTACGAAAATATGTGGAACGACTTGAGACACAATGGAAACACAAGAATAAGATAACTCGTACCAGTAGAGCCAGAATAAAGTCACACAGAACATATATATCTAAAATGAGTACGAAAATATATGGAACGACTTAAAACACAACAGGAACACAAGAACAAGATAGCTCGTACCAATAGAATTGCAATAAAGTCACGGTTCAATGAACATAATAACCAAACATTATTTTAAAAAATTACTAAAAAAAGCAATGTTTTTGAGAAAAATGGAAATCTGCTCTTGATTAAAACGTCTATTGCAAAAATGCACAACAAAACTGGAACTATAGCAATAAAGTAGAAAACAAGCTAAATAGTCAGAGGTGGAGCTGCCATGTCATAGCGCTAACACACTCATATAAATAAATTATATTTATATGGAAGCATCCTCAGGTGGTGTAAATTCAAGTTTGTTCAAAACATGACCCCTTGGGGTCAGGGCGGGGCCACAATGGCTGATCAAAGTTTTACATCGGAATACATAAGAAAAATCTTTAAAAATCTTCTTCTCAAGAACAGCAAAGCCATGATTGGTGATATTTATAGGGAATCATCCTCAGGTGGTGTAGATTCAAGTTTGTTCAAAACATCTCCCTTTCAAGAATTTTTCACTCATATGGAGACGTCACCGTATGCCGGTGAAGGGCTTCAAATTTAGACCTATGCTCGGCACTCAGGGCCATTGAGCAGTGAGGGTTCTTTATCGTGCCAACACCTACCGTGACACGGGACCTACGTTTTTAAGGTCATATTCGAAAGACCTGTCTTTCATTTCTAGTGTCGAGCACATGGCGAAGGAACAGTCACTACCAAAGTTTACGTCTTAGGAATGACGCGGCGCCGCGAACGAGAATCGAACCCGGGCCTCCCGATCATGAAGCGAACGCTCTACCACTAGGTTACCGTTACCTGTGCCACAATAGATGATTGAATTTTACATTGTAAAATATCGGAACAATCTTTAAGAAAATCTTCTCAAGAACAGTGTGAAATCATTATTGGTCATATTTATATGGAAGCATCTGCAGGTGGTGTAGATTCAAGTTTGTTCAAACCATGACCGCCGGAGGTAAGGTTGAGCCACAATGGATGTTCTTGGGTTTAATTAGGAATATATAGTAAAAAATCTTTTAAAAAATCTTTTTCTCAAGAACATCAAACCCATGGTTGGTCATATTTATATGGAAGTGTCCTCAGGTGGTGTAGATTCAAATTTGTTCAAATCATGACCCTTTGGGGTAGGGTGGAGCCACAAAGGACGATGAAAGTATAGCATAGGAGTATATAGGGACAATCTTCAAATATCTTCTTCTTAAGAACACCTTATCCATAATTGTTCATATTTATGTGAAAGCATCCACAGGTAGTGTAGGTTCAAGTTTGTTCAAAATCATGACCCCCTGGGTAGGGTGGAGCCACAATGGACGATCAAAGTTTAACATAGGTGTATTTAGGAACAATCTTCTTCTTAAGAACAGCAAAGCCATGGTTTGTCCATTTTATATGGAAGCATCCTCAGATAGGGTAGATTCAAGTTTTTGATGAAACTGTATCCTCCCTTACCCCTTCTGCCATTTAGGAGTAGGTCGGGACCACTCATGCATAAAGCTTTTTAATACTAAACTGATTTTTGTTTTAACCTAGCCACAGTACTTAGGTGAGCGATGTGGCCCCTGGGCCTCTTGTTAGTTTTATATTCTGGAATCGACACTTTTTTCCTGTATAATTATTTTGCGATGCATTGCAGGTAATTGAAAATGTATGTTTTTCGTCCAAGTGGAGCCAAAGTTGTGTTTGTAAATATATGGTTTTCAATTCACACTTAAAAAAGATTTTTCTGATTGTTTATCTAAAGCATTATAAAGCATTGGATATTCATAAATCAGTGAATTTGTTACAGATTGTTCTTTCTTTCACTCTTCCATTCTATTTTTAAATGCCACAAATTTGTAATTATCTCAGTTGAAATGCTCAAATCTGGTTATAACTCCAGGAATTTAAATATGTGCTAAAAGCAAGTCATTATTTGTAGAAATCATTTCAACATTGGCAACCTTTTTTAAATATTAGACTACATTGTTATAACCTGTTTCATCCCTGCAAACCATAGTTGTGAAGCTGACAAAAAATGTTTTATTTCACTGCTTTCCATAGAAGAGATATTATAGATACAAATTACATAACAAATTAAAATGCTTTTTGTTATATAAAAATATTTCAAAAAAGGGTATTTAGAGGCTAAATGAAATTTGTATTATTGAATTTGTTCACAATGTTAATGAAGTGCAGGCTATGATACTTTTTTGTAATTCAGCTCATTTGATAAATCAGACAAAAGTCATTGAAAGTGATTATTTGTCAATTTTGTGTTACACACACACACACACACACACCCTCACACACACACAGATACATATATATATATATATATATATATATATATATATATATATATATATATATATATATATATATATATATATATATATATAGTATCTGTGCCATGTAAGAAGCTTGAACGCTAGTGTGCACTTCGTAAGCATATGTGGTATAATTTGAATATCATTTTTGCCTCTGAAACTGACTGAATACAGGTGGGAAAAAGGTTAGCTTTCCTATAAAAGAAAAGATCTGCTATCATAGTTAAATTTCTATTTTTTAAATTTGTACCTAAAATATATTTACCTGGAAAAATGTTATGTCAAACATTTCTTGGTCAACTATTTAACTTTGTGTGGCACTAAATAAAAGGGAGAATAAAAGAAAAGACAAATATTTAACATATTTTGATGTATGCTTAATCCATGGTTTGTCATTCTTTGATAAACAATCAACCAAAGTCAACCAAAGTTTTAGTAGGGACAGACGATGGGAACAGTTTTCCTAGTTTTTTCTCTTTAGATTTTTCAGCCAAAAACGATATATTTGACATTTAACATTTTCAGCTTCTTCTTTAAAACCGCTCAACCAAATACAAATTTTGGCATATAGCATATATGGGTAAAACAGGACAATAATTGTGAATATCATGGTCCCTGATCCTAGACCCTGAAGGGTGGATCAAACCACTCTAATCAATGGAATCTTGAAAATCCAGCAGTCAAACTGTTGGCAGGATATTAATACGCACTGAGTTCTCTACCATACTTGTTGAATTCATGGCCCAGGTTCTGGGCTCTATAGATTATACAATGTATAGTGAAAGTGCATTAAAATTTTCTTCTCTTATTTTCGGGAATTAAACAAACAAACTTATAAAGATATAATAAACAAGACAAAATTGTTAATTTCATCGTCCGCCCAGGTTCGGGTTCTGGTGTAAGCGTGGGGCTTATATTGCTTATATGGAATATGCATTAATTCTTTGAAAATCTTCTCCTCTGCATAGTTATGATGAGCAAGGATGTCTATTCCAAAATTTATACTGTGAATGTCATTGCCCCAGGGTCAGGCCAGGGATTCTGGTGTAGGCGTGGGGCTCTATTGATTTCACAGTGAAAGTGTAAAGTCTTTAAAAATCGTCTCCTCTGCTCCTAGGTATCAAATAAACTAACCAAGTGCAAAGTTATTATTAGCAAGGATGTTTCTTACAAAATTGTTAATTTCATTGTCCCAGGGTAAGGGTTTCCGATATTAGGTTGGGGCTTTATTGATTATTTATTGATTTTTTTAAATCTCATCTGCTTCCGTGTATTAAACATTCTAGCTTCATAGTAATGCTGAGCAGGGATTCTTCTTCCGGAATTATGAATTCTAAGGCCCTTGGTTCAGGGGTACCGTAGAGGGGGCTCTAATAATTAAACACTGAAAATGAATTAATGCTTTGAAATGTGCTCCTTGTTTTGAGCAAACCTTCATGATGAGCAAGGGTGCCTTTTCCAAAATTGTGAAATGTATGGTCCTGGATTTAGGGGTTCATTTGGTCTCGAGACACTACTGATTATTGCTTATTTATACTGATTAGTTAAAATGGATTATTTTGTTCCCCTAATTTGCCTATGGGTATTAAGTAACCAAATTAAGTATTCTAAGCGCATAGTTATGATAAACAATGGTGCCTCTTTCAAAATTGTGAATTTGGATTAAAACACGAACCACATTCAATTGCTGGAAAGTTGATACATGATGCTCAGGTCCATGAGACTCTTGTATATTTATATATATATTCTTTAGTAAAAAATTCTTTAAAAAACGATAGTTGTTCCCATTTCTATTCAATATGGTGATTTTTTTTTGGTAAAAGGACTTGGTGCAGACGCAAGTATTGGATTTTCAGCAGATACAAAGTCATGTTTATATTCAAAATATTGGAGGGTGAGTTTTTCTATTTTAAATCATAAAAAAGTTTTTTAAAAAGTCTTGCTTTGATTGTACAAAGTTTGAGTGTTTGTCGAAAAAATATCAATGATATCAAAACACACACACACACCCTCACGTACCACACACACACACACACACACACCCTCACACACACCCTCACCCACCCACACACACACACACCCTCACCCTTCACCACCGCGTATATTGTACGCTTATGAATTATCTCAACTGTATAAGAACACCAACTTGACAACAAAAGAATTTATATTGAAGTTTTTCTTATGCCCCCGTAATCGAAGATTTGTGGGTATATAGCTTTTTGTCCTGTCCGTCCCTCCATCTGTCTGTCTCTCTGTCGGTTTGTCCGAACAAACTTTATTTTGCCAATAACTTTAATTTTGATTTCTAGGAGCTATGGCTTTCATATTTCACTTGTGTATTCCTTTTCAAAAGGTCTTTCTTTGGATCTAACATATTTGACCTCTTGTCCATGGTATTAGACTTTGATCTACTTTTGCAAAAAATATCCATTGACAACTTTAATTTGGACATGACTGTTGAATTGTTGGTGCCATTTTTTTAAACAATTAGCATAAATGCTTTCACAATTCACAGGTATATTCGCTGTGAAAAGGCCTTTCTTTAGATACCAACAATTTTGAAGTTTCCACTTCAAATTCAATTTTTTTGAAACTTCGAATGAAAAATTACAAACTACGCGGCTAAACTTGTTCAGTTTTTTTTTTTTATTGAACCATGGTTGTTAATTATTTTCAATCTTTATGACAAAAATTTATTTGTATAATCTGTCCTTAAAACGATATCGTCGAACACGTTAAGGATAAGTTTATGAGAAAAAACATTTATCTGAAGATTCAAATTAAGAAATTTCAAAAATTTGCCCTGGCATTAATGTCTAATGCAATGTTTTTATTACGGAGATGTGGCATTAAAATGAAAAGAGGAGAAATGTCAAATTATCAAAGTGATTATATAATGTATGAGTTAAAACTATCCTTTTCAAATACTTCTTATATATATATATATATATATATATATATATATATATATATATATATATATATATATATATATATATATATATATATATATATATAGCACTAAAAATGACCAACGACACGAACAATAAAAATTGTCAAATTTTCGGGACGCCCTATGAAATGCGTCCGGTCTATCGGGTATCCGATAGACCGGACGCATTTCATAGCGGTCCGAATTTCTTTCTTTATTAGTGTTCTTAAAAATCTAAAAAATTTCCAATTCAACATGTAATTAAGTATGTAAATATCTAGTGTTTAGTAGTTTAGTAGTAGTGCTAGTTGTGCTAGTTGTTTTTGTTTCTCTTTTTCCTTTGTTCTTATGACTTTTTAACTTTTTTCTTTGTCCTGAGGAAGGGACAGGGCGTCCCGAAAATTTGACAATTTTTATTGTTCGTGTCGTTGGTCATTTTTAGTGCTTTATATAAATATCCATCCGTGACCTTGTATCTATATATGTATATATATATATATATATATATATATATATATAAAATTTCAAAATCAAAATGTTCAATATTCAATCTAAAAATAGCTTAGCTATGACATTACACACTTCGCCATTGCTTAACTGTCGTGTAGATGATTTCCTTCGGTTTTGAACTTCTGCAAAAGAGAGAATACATTATCAAAGAAGATAGTATCATTTTAAATATTTTTAAAAAAGTAATACATTTATTTTTTTAAGATTGGAGCAACTGCTTTCCTCGGTGGGGTTGCCTACGGTGAATTTGGCATTGATATACTGATTGCATTTGGTGGTATACGGATTGAGGGACGGATTCTTCAAATAAGTCTTGACATCTCGAATACACTTACCTGGAATAAACCACCCGTAACTCTCATGTAAATTTTCAAAATCACATATGTTACTTTTACATTTTAAATTTTGATAAATGGGAATATGGATCATTGATGATAAAAATTATTTTCTTCAGTATTGAAATATTTTATTGATTAGGATTCTTTATACAAATCTGATTTTTTTTCCATGCATGGATACTACATATCTGGTATAAACTTTCCACATTTAAGACCAACCATGCTTTAAATTCAAGTGAACATTTCTGATCATCATTGTCTGTCTTTCCCTCCTTTTTGTTCTATCGATGTCGGTCCGTCTCTGAACGTTACGTATGTTCTATTTCTATCAGTCATATTAATATGTTAACATCCTTAGTAAGTGCTAACTCAAGTTTGCTAAAACTAGGGAATAGAATTTGGCACAAGCACGAAGACTTACGTAGGATTCGATAGAAAATTTGTGGAAAACCTCTTCTTTAAAAAGTAAGGCCATGATTAATCATGCAATAGTGCAAATTTTCTGATAATGAAGATTAATTTCTTCCAATCATGACCCCGTGGATAGGATTGCGCAAATTTAAGAAATCAATTAATTGGGGATATATGTATATAGCAAAAGAATTTTAGAATATCTTTTAAAATACAGGATGCAGTACATATGAATATGCATGTTTCGACAAAATATGTACGTTCAAATTTCTGCTAATCATTGCAAAGAGGTTTAGGGTGGTTGATCCGAGTTAACATGGAGTATAGTTTAAAGGAAATGAGAAAAAAAAAACTTGACTTTGAATTGATATGAATATGACATGTCGATCTAGGTATATATCACAAGTCTAATGTAGGCTTATTAAATATTAACAACAGAATTAAAAGCGTGCAGGTATCGAAATGGTTGAATTTTAACTCCATTGGCTGATCAAGGGAAGGGAGGAGAGTTCTGAGCGTTGGAACTCCCCCTATTTTATAAGAAAGGGAGAGAATGAGAGAATTATTATTTTTCTGAAACATATATATTTTTACGTCTAGTGTTTTTTTAAATATAAGATAAGTACTTCAGTCTCTGCCCTGTCTGTCTCTAGATAGAGTTTTGTGTATTGCTTTCTTCTGTGTACCTTCACAACCCCGGCCCCGGGCCTCGACCACACACACGTAACATGAAAGATTTCACGTTGATTATTTCGGAAGATAATAAAAAGTCATGAAAGGAAGAATGCATAAGGTAATGTTTCTCTCCTGATATTATTTGATATAGAAAAGTTCAAAATGTCCCCGTAGTCTTTGGGGGAGGGAGCTCACTTTTTCTTTTTAAAAAATCTTGAATTTAAGTATCCCCGTTGTGACCTAGAACCCATGCCCTTTTTCAAAAACTGATAAATACGACCCTGTTCTCGAGTACTAGAGGGTCTCAAGTTACCCTAAACGTATTACATTTTGTCATGTACTCTTTTAGCGCCTTTGGCGGAAAGCAATGTCTGCTAGTTTAGGTGCATCGCTAAATGTCCAGAGCTATTTGGTCTTACAAGCACAGGTTTGTGTTCTGTTTGCTAGTGACGCCTAGACTGGTGATAATATTTGCTACGGATATGAAGCATTTACACCAGTTTCGTAACATGAGTTATGTGCAGCTTTTTTTCCTTAAAAATCATCCGAGGACAATGAAAATTCGTATTTTTCTTGGATATGGGATTACCCATATCTATTCTCGTAACAACGATGCATTAATGCGCGAGTTTATTTGGTTACTCTGAAAGGTGGCACAGATTTACCTTAATCATAAACATTTCTACACTGATGTGATATTACTTTCATAGTAAAACTGGCCTACAGTTTTGTCATTTAAAATCGGGATATTTCGATACATGTTCTTAGTAGCCCATAACGGCTGGGACGTGGCATTTGTACTATATTTATACGGAAGATTCTATCACCAGAAAGATAAATAAAACACGCTTAGCACAGATTTGTTGTAACAAGATTTTTTTTACGCTTCTCCCTCGGGAATTCACCAAATGGAAAAATGTTGCTACAGGCCTGTACATGTATATGGATTGTTGTCTTTCAAATTATTTTGCAAACCTTGATGCACAAAACTAATACCGGTAAACATGGTAAACGCAATCTTTTAACACTTAGTAGTTGAATCTATGATTATAAGAATGTATGTATGAAAGAGAAAATAAGATCTTGGTTACGCCAAAGAATACAAAAATTCGATGTACAGACATTATAGAGCGAAGTTTGCCAATGATTGGCATAATCTATTTTGGAAAGGGTGAATTGTTCTAAGGGCAAGTTGTCTTAGAGTCAAACTATCCCATCTCTCACCAGAGGGCGTTTTACGCTTCTGTACAACACGTGAAGGTAAAGATTGCAGAGCGCGCTCTCTCGTTAGAGGTTGGCAAACTATCTAGCATTATCGCGCATGCGTAGCTTGACGAAAGCCCATGGCATCCGGTTTAACATCACTTATATATTATTTCGCAATAACCATTGAAAATCTTTAAACAAAAAGTCTGTGAGCCAATCCTCATTAGTAATACCCGCGCTTTGATTGGAATGAGTATGGAAAGACAAACTGATAAACAGGAAGTTGACGTATGGATTCCTACAACAATGTATCCCACTGTATGACATGGCTTAACATAGAGTTTGCTAAAATTTCATGCATCTGTCTTGAATAGTCTGCTTTTCAAGAGCACCCGGAATATCTTGCTCGTTTTCAACAGGATACAGACGAAATCCATCGTCGCAGGCCACGTCCAAAATGTACGATTATCTTCCGTACTTGGAGAGAGCTAATGCGAACTCTGGACCGTGGCATGAAAGGATGGGCTAAATCTTGACCAATAAAGTACTTGTAAACGAAATTAATAAACTATCTTTTGATAAATTATCGAATACAAATAAGAAATTTTACATTACAAATAAGAAATTTTACATTGCAAATAAGACATTTTACATTACAAATAAGAAATAATACAAATGCAAATAGAAAATATAGAATGGAAATGAAAAAGTATACAATTCAAATGATTTTTTTTCAATACAAATCTACATATATAGAAACAAATAAAATAATTAATATACAATTCAAATGGAAAATTATACAACAGAAACCGAATATCTTGCCATGCAAATGGAAAATTACGGAGTACAAATAAAATTTAAAATTACAAATGGAAAATTTTACAATGCGACTGGAAAATTACATACTAAGTTGCGTTGAGTACTAGACGATTTTATTTATCCCTGATTATCCTATCTCGCTTGCTTTTGTTCAAAATATTTTTATCTGCCAGTTTGTTACTTGTTTATATAATACTCTAATGGATTCCTTAGAGTATTGTATTATAATCAGGTGACCCTTCACGCCCATGGACCTCTTTTTTGTCAAGATTTTCCGTTAAGTTGCCCCATACCCTCCACTGATATTGCTTTAGACGTAGCTGGATTAAGAATTGGGATTAATCATCGAATTTAATTTTTTTAATTTTGTAGTTTAAAGACATCATCTGGTTAAGCTGTGTACCACAGAATTTTTTTCTACTTTCAGATTTTCTGTTGATCTTAATATAGTTCCTCTGGAACTAAGGTTAAGTGCTGTCGCTTACATCAGATTTTTCTTTGTGGAAAAAAGGATTTTCGATCAAAACATCTGGAGCATAAAATTCTTTCCATTTCATGCCAACCTGATAAAGGTTATTAAACAGAAAGGAAAACCAGCCATAATAGAGAAACCTTCTTCAGAATTTTCATATTATAAAACAAAGCTTTTACGAAAAAGAAGCATAAATGATGGATGCAGTGTGCAGCAAGTTAATGGAAGAGATCCCACAGATCCTGCCTTTCTGTTGTCTACTGAATTAGCAGCTTCACTTGGAGAATTATCCCTATCGTATTCTGTCGGTACGACACCCGGAGGCACGGATGTTCTTCCTTGGTCTAAAATGACTAAACCTGTTCTGCTTGCTCCGCTTAAGTTACCTAGCGGAATTCCTCTATACTGGTCTGTTAAAGGAGTAACAACTGATGGCAATTCGATGGTAAGGTCATGTAGTCTTTCAACGTACGACAATACAGTTCCGAGTGGACGCATAGATGTGTTATATCCCTATACCAGTCATCCAAAGAGGATTGCAGCTACCATTATCGTGTTTGATGACTCCCCTCTAAAAGAAAACCATACTTATGCAATTGGATTAGCGCCAGGTTATAAGGGAAATCAAGTATTAGATTGGTCTGTTTTCAACTTTACAAAAGTGGTCAAACATTTTGATAACATTGAATCTTTCAGTAGAGGAAAAGATGGTAAACTGAGTGTTACACCAATGAAATCATTAAAAACCAAAGATCATGAGGAGTGTGCTCTAGTATGTGTCAATACTGGTGAAAAGTGTATTTCTTTTGATTACGAATTCCATTCTGAAACTTGTGATGTTCACGAAGTAATTGAAGGACCAAGCGCTGATCTTAAAGTTAGCGGGACATATAAGCATTTTGAACGAATTGGCGTCGGAAATACTCATAATTTTGAATACTCTTTTGATTTACTACATGGTGAAAGGTATTACATAAACGCAGAAGTAACAAATTCATTGATGTATAAAAGTCTTCTGTCATCAAAAGGTACTATTGTTGACTTCACTCCTCCAGAACCTCATTTTATTGGCAATGCTTCCCAAGACGAGCTTTTTGCTGATAAATGTCATGCATCAATACTCCAAAGCTGTGAGGAAGTAACCTGGAGACAAAATCACAGGTATATTCTTTCATGTCTTAATGTTAACGCATGATTTTCTTCAGCCATGGAACCGAACAGGGAGATAAATCGTTATCAAACTCAAAAATACATAGAAGAAATACAGATCAGGAGCAAACATTGACCTGTAAAAACATCAGAGTAAGCATCCCCTGCCAAAGGCTTTGTGCTTTTTGTCATGATCGGGAAAATTCTGTAGACAATGCATAAATAATGACCTAATTATTAGTATAAGAGGTCATTCAGCATTAAAGTTAATGTGATTGTATTTGTTGAGACGGCCATTGCATCGACCATAGAATTTGCGAGGAGACTCGATGGTCTGGTAACGTCAAATTGTTCTGTGATAGTTTGCTTAGTTTTATAAATTGGTCGACGCAGTGCATGCTATTGCATATCGAATCCACTGGGAGACGTAAAATATATATGCAGGTGATAAGTATATATCCCTTCTAAAGTAAAGAAGGTTTGTGAAAAAAAAATAAAAGCTACAGCCAACATAATAATTATAATGTTTTCATGTAAGGTTACTTTTTACGTAATTATTTTAGTAAAATATCAAAATAAGAAACATATTGTCAGATTCTGCTGTACCTTTTATTTCAAGTTCACTTTAAGTCGACATATGAATAAAAGTTACTATTGGTAATTGGTTATAATACGTCATTGATATACATGTAGCTAAATGTCAAGTTGAAGCCACTACAAAGTTTTCTTATTTTGCTTTCTTCAGTATTTTCTGTATACATGTATGTTTTATTATTATTATTTTTTGGCAGAAAAATAGTAGACGGGAAAGACGCAGCTACTGTATATAATGGGCATCACCCGGAAAAAGAGACAAAGTTTACATTGACTAATCACTTTGCGTCAGGTACATGTATATTCTTCTGTTATTAGATCATCTGAAGCACAATCTGTTTGAATCCATATATTCCCCATGTTTTAATGCATACAATTGTTTATCCCTTTTATTTTTATCAAGATCAAAGTATTAATCATATATACATGTATATTTTTTAAATTATCAATAACAATTTCCAATCAAAATCATGCTGTGTACAGCTTAAAATGTATATGGTAAAACAAATGTTCTTAAAAGGTTTTAAAAAATAATATTCTAGGGTTAAAAAAAATTAGTTAAGATTAAAAAAAAATAGTAAAGATTTTAAATTAAAAAGTAAGTCCTTGCAAATCCAATATCAATGTTATACCTGCATTTTTACAAAGCACTTTGAAAAATTACACACTTTGAAATTTTTTTCAAAGTGCGTTAAATTTGGGACAATATCAACGCACTTTGAAAAAATAATTTTTTTTTCAAAGTGCGTTAACATCGACCGTATTTGCCCACATTGAGAAAAAAAAATGGGTATGGCTTTGTCAATATTCTAGCAAATCTTAGGTATGATAGATAGATAAATGATGAACCTGTTGGATAATTTTTCGTTGATAAGGTCACTTCAGGGTGTGAAAGTGAGCGATTTTGATTTTTCCATACTTTGAAAATTCTTTCTCTCTCAAATGTTTTACTCTGCTTAAAGTTTTACAGTTTCATGCATTTTATGTAAACTAAAATTTATTGAAATTTTCAACGTCATGCCAGTTATGCAAATACATATACTCAACAAAAAAAGAAACGCATATTGTTTTACTCGTCAAAGATATTTTGAAAATGTACATGGAACAACTATCTTTTTTATCATTGGATACCTGTGACCTATTAAATGGACAGTATTGGGTTTTAAATCCCAAGTGTTGAATTATCTCCCTTTATTAAACGTGTTTGTGAAAGTAGTGTTTTTCATGATTTCTTCTAAATCGGATGTCTATTTTCATTGATGTTTTGAATTTAGAGACACAATAAACCCTCCTTTTAAACCCATATATATAAGATTTGATTTCAATGTTGATGCTGCAATTCCACGCCTCAACAAAGATGAACGCAACCGTGCTAACGATGATACTAGTCGGAGCTACGCAACAGGAAGTTGCAACTGTATATGGAATACATCAGTGGGCTTTGCAGCATATATACGTACGTCGAAAGACCAAGAACTGGCCGTTCACAGGTAACCACACCCATGCAGGACCGTCAAACCGCCGCTCCCCCCTCTTTTTCAGCACCACAAGCGATTCAGAAACGCTGTAAAAACTGCTGCTATAATTGCTGGGTGAAAAAATCAGCATTAAAGTTCATAAATTTTTCGCAAGAGACTGAGAGGAGCTGTTATTTGTGCACGGCATCCATACATTGGAAATCCACCAGCGCTTACGCGTCGCAAAGACATATGGATTGGTTAGGACGGTATGCCCCTAGAATTTTGAGGCGTCGACAATAACATAAACTTCACTTTTCTACTTGCAACAAAGGACATGTTTGATTTTAATCAAAACCCTCTAAAATCACTTTTAATAAAATAAGGATTAAACTGAAAACTTAGATTATCATGTTTAATTTGTGTGTTTCTTTTCTTGTTGAGTATATATTTGATTGTAGCATAAGCATTGTACGGGATGGGTGGATGGGGGCTTAGGCACAAAAATATTTTGCAAAGATATACATAATATAGGCATTGAAAATTTGGGCTTACCTTGTGTGTTGGGGGGGGGGGGGTACACTTTCAATTTGCTACCGACGGATATGTTTTAGAAAATAAAGAGTTTGGCTGAGAGACCCTCTATTCGTCGTCTCCTTGTTCTCATGAGGGTTAATCAATATTTGTAAATTAAAACGTTTTTCAAAAGACATAATTATTACAAATTGATTTCAAATCAATTACTAAAATCTAAGTCTAGAATTTTTGTTTTAAGCATATTTTTTCAAAGTGCGTTAAATATTTCAGTGGTAAAAAGGTGTCGAGGTACACTCTTAACGCAATTGGAAAAAAAATTACAAAGTGCGTTTAGTGTACACTGTATCCTAAATTTAAAGCACTTTGAATTTTTTTTCAAAGTGCATTGATTTTATCCAGGTTTTAACACACTTTGCTGTCAAATTATACATCACAATTTTTTTATGAAGGCTCTAGCGTACGGTGCCGCTGGAGGGCCAGGTAAAAAAATATTTTTATTTGTTCGGACAAATTAGAAATTCGTTCGGACGAATTAGTCTTTTGTTCGGACGAATTAGATATTCGTTCGGACGAATAAATTATTTGTTCGGACGAATTACATATTCGTTCGGACAAATTAGAAATTCGTTCGGACGAATTAGAAGTTTGTTCGGACAAATGAGTTATTTGTTAGGACAAATTAGATATTTGTTCGGACAAATTAGAAATTCGTTCGGACGAATTAGTTATTTGTTCGGACGAATTAGATATTCGTTCGGACAAATTAGAAATTCGTTCGGACAAATTAGTTATTTGTACGGACGAATTAGAAATTCGTTCGGACGAATTAGTTAAATTAGAGAAAATGTGAACAACTTTCAGGACACCGCGATTAATGTGCGATTTGCACCAAGATGGTTCATTTTACTTTGATTCTTTGCAAAATAACTTTAATGAACAGCATTATCAATAAATATTTTGAAGATAAGTCGTTTTAATGTTGATCTCCTTCTTATAATTTTATGTACATATTCACTACCCTGCAATTTATTAATCATGACATGTAAATGATTTATGAAATACATTTCTGATACATATGTCGCCGATATGTAGCTGAAATATTGCCGAATCGGCGTAAAACATTCAATCAATCAATCGGTACATATGCGGTGTATAAAATGAAAAAAAGGTCCTCAATGGGTTTTTAATTAAATATTCCTGTTTGTGAATTAAGAAAACTTCACAAAAATGAACCTGTTCGTATTGATCTCAGGTTGTTCCTATGACTCGCGAGCCGGTGAATTAAGATGTCAACCGGTCAATCTGGTATATTCCCTAGTCCATTGATTTACAGTGCATAATTATAGCCCCCTGTCCTTATTGGAGAGGTACAAATATCTAATCCGTCCGAACAAATAACTAATTTGTCCGAACAAATTTCTAATTCGTCCGAACGAATATTTTATTCGTCCGAACAAATAACTAATTCGTCTGAACGAATTTCTAATTTGTCCGAACAAATATCTAATTTGTCCGAGCAAATAACTTATTTGTCCGAGCAAATAACTTATTTGTCCGAACAAATTTCTAATTCGTCCGAACGAATTTCTAATTTGTCCGAACAAATATCTAATTCGTCCGAACAAATAACTAATTCGTCCGAACGAATTTCTAATTTGTCCGAACGAATATCTAATTCGTCCGAACGAATTTCTAATTTGTCCGAACGAATATCTAATTCGTCCGAACGAATTTCTAATTTGTCCTAACAAATAAAAATATTTTTTTTACTTGGCCCTCCAGCGGCGCCGTACTAGCGAGCTTTTCTGATCGAAATTTGTATGTAATCTGTCGTTGTTGTCGTCGTCGTTGTCATAAACTGTTCACAATTTCATTTTCTTCTCCACAACCACTGGGTCAACTTCAATCAAATTTGGCACATAGTATATTTGGGTAAATGGGATTAAAATTGCTTAATGAATGGGTCGCACCCTCTTTCATAGGGGGATAATTACAAATAAATAGAAAGTGATTGGCATCTATTAAAAATCTTCTTCATAAGAACATTTGGGCCAGGAAGGATAAGCCTTATGTAGAAAATTCTTAGGTAGTGCCGATTTAATTTATGACCCTCGATATATGGTGGAAGCACGCTGGAGGATCAAAGTTTTTCATTTGAATAGATAGGAAAAATTTTGAAAGGAAACATATGGAGGTAACAAACAGGATTCAAGATCAAAAGTTCATAAAACAAAAAAAAATAGGAGCAGAGCAAACAAAACATATCCAAAACATCGGAGGAGGGATCAGGTGCCATCGAGGAGTGAGCATCCCCTGCCGACCAGTCAAACCCGCCGCGTGTTCCTTACTGACAAGGTGATTGTATTGGCCGTAGAACGCACGAAATGATGACTTTATACCAGATGATGACTTTATACGAGACTGCTGATATTCTTGTTTCATCAACTTGTGTGTCAATAATTTACCACGTTTTAGATATTGTTCATACGTAGAACATGCTCTTGCGCATCGAATCAAACTGAGATATATAAACTCCGTTTGCAGGTGATGAAGGTATATTGCTGGATAAGTAAGGGAATTTGACGATAGGAAAGTTAGTGTCATTCCGTTTATCATAGAGCTTATTTGTTAGATTACCATTAACGTCTTTTTCAAGTAAAATATCCAAATATGCAACAGGTGTGTCAGACTCTGTGATATCTTTTATCTCCAGCTCACTAGGATATATTTTATCGACATAAGAATGGAAATTACCATTGTTAGTTGAAAATACGTCGTCGATATATCTATATAATGTCGAATTGAAGGCTACAACAAGTATTTTCTTCTTTTTACGCATACGATTTTGCACAAATTCTGCTTCATATGAATACAAAAATAGGTCTGCTAATAACGGGGCACAATTGGTACCAATGGGAATTCCAATAGATTGATGGAATCTTCTTCGACTCAGCAAAGCCATGATTTTCATATTGATGTGGAGCATCCTCAAGTAATGTATTTTCAGATTTGTTCAAATTACCACCCCGGGGTAGGGCGGGGCCACAATGAACATGCAAAGTTTTACAAAGGAATAGATAGGAATTGTTTTTAAAACAGCATCTCAAAAACCTCTAAGCCATAATTGGTTATATTTATATGGAGCATCCTCAGGTAGTGAAGATTCAGATTTGTTCAAAACATGATCACCGGGAGTAGGGTTGGGCTTCAATGGAAGACCAAAGTAATTCTTAGTAATATAGGAAACGTCTTTACAAATCTTGCCATATATATGGTAGCATCCTCTGGTAATTTACCTTCCAGTCTTTCTAGCTTGTTCAAATCATGACCCACAAGGGTAGGAATGGGCCACAATAGACAATAAGTTTTACATAGGACTAAATAAGAAAAATCTTGTCCTCAAGAATTGCAAATCTAGGATTGGTCATTTATATGGAAGCTTCCTCAAGTAGTGTAAATTAAAGTTGTTCATATCATTAACCCCGGGGGATAGGGCGGGGCCACAATGAACAAAAGAAAACAGAGTATACATGAAAAAATCTCATAAACAGCAAGGCCATGACTGGTCGTAAACTATTTGCAAGCATCCTCATCAGGTATTGTAGATTCCAGCTTGTTCAAATCATGATCCGCGGGAGATAGGGTGGAGCCACAATGGACATACAAAGTTATATATAGGGATAAAAAGGAATTCTTATGCAAATCGGCCTCTCAAGAATAGCAAAACCATGATTATTATATAAAAACCTGCTCAGATAGTGTAGATTCAGATTTGTTTAAATCATGACCTCTGGGAATAGGTTGAAGCCACAACAAAAGTTAAAAGACATATGGAAAAAAGTTACAGTTCGGCAAAGAAATGACAAATCAGAACCCCCCTTTTTTAGGGGTGGGTCGGGGGCACTTATGCATTTGTGCTTTTTAATATTGAAATAATTTCTGCCTTTTTCTTAGCCACAGTGCTCAGATGATAAGCCTCTTGTTAAAGAGGTTTGATAGTTGTCCATTCGTCTCCATTTCTATGAATAAAGGTCCCATTCGTGTAGAACTAAATGAATATTTTTTATTATTTTATAGCGAATTGGCGACCTTTCACTGATAAAGAAAGTGGGATATCGGGATACACGTGGGCATTTGGTACATCAGTTTGTAGAACAGACATATCTGACTTCAAAAATCCTCATCAGCATCTTTCCGACAAGAGGTTTTGGACATATACGGGATATGCTCGAGATATACATCTTCCTGACGGAAAATATTACACCACCGTGCAGGCCATCAACAATGTTATTCACGGTGGTTCCCTAGTAACCACAGTTTGTCACTCAACCCCTATAGTTGTTGATACAACACCGCCTTTATTTAAAGGTGTCTCCGATATACTATTTGACGAAGACTTTAATATTATGGCCATATATTTTGAAGCAGAAGACAAAGAATCATTCTTGTCGCGGATTGATTTTGGACTCGGAAAAACAAAACATGATGTGGAGGTTCGAGGTTATTCGGAAATTTCGTATCCAAAAAGGGAGAACCCTTACATTTTGATAACTGATCTAAACATAACAGATGGAGAACCGGCTTGGATAAGACTTAGAGCTGTAAATAATGGTAAATTTTAAATCAATTACATGTATACCTACTAATCTGTCACGCAGCTATGAGCCTTCTTCTAAATTTTGATCCGAATAATCAGATTATACACCATTATTGATAATAATTATTTATAAAGATAAGTAAGCTTTTGTCTTTTGTAGTCGAATTGTCAAAAGCTGGGCATAGTGATGACCCTATACTTATTGATAGAACCAATCCTATAGCAGGGGAGGTGTTGGATGGAAATACTATCGGACAAGACCAAACTTATCAACCTGAAAATAATCGGATATGTGCAAGCTGGAAGGGCTTTTATGACCCAGAATCTGGAATCGAAGAGTACCTAGCAATAGATACATATATCTAATATTTATATATGTAATTAAAGATGCAAAATATACAGTTTGGTGGCTGTATCGAAATACAAAATGGTTAATGTGAGAAAAAAATTCAAATTTACTCAAACTGTCTTTTAAGCTACTGTCATTTTTCTGAAAATATATGTTTTTGTAGATATCACTGGGGTGTTGGAACCTTCCCGGGGCTTGATGACATTGTTGCCATGGAAACATTATCAAGAAGCACTAAAAACAAATGTTCCTTTGCAAACCTTGCTCACAATACAACTTACTACTCTGTCATAGAAGCAAAAAATAGTGCACTGAACTCAAAAACGATCAAGCAATCATCCAATGGAGGTAACTATCAATTGACTTAAACGAGATAATACGTGTAACAAGAGGCCCATGGGCCACATCGCTCACCTGAGCACTAAGGGTAGGAAAAAGTAGAAAATGGCTTTTTATTGTAAAGTTTAAATCCAAAAGTAGTCCCATGACCAATCATGGATTTGCTATTATTTAGAAAATGATTTTTAAAGAATTTTCCCATATATCTCTTTAAAAAATTTGGTCGGCCATTTTGGCCCCACCCTATCCCTGGGGGTCATGATTTGAACAAATTTGAATCTACACTACTTGAGCATGCTTCCATATAAATATGATGAATTATGGCTTTGTCATTCTTGAGAAGAAGATGTTTAAAGAATTTTCCTATAAATTTCTATGTAAAACTTTGGTCGGCCAGTTTGGCCCCGCTCTACCCCCGGGGGTCATGATTTGAACAAACTTGAATCTTCACTACCTGAGCATGCTTCCATATAAACATGATGAATTATAACTTTGTCAATCTTGAGAAGAAGATTTTTAAAGAATTTCCTATATATTTCTATGTAAAACTTTGGTCGACCATTTTGGCCCCGCCCTACCCCGGGGGGTCATGATTTGAACAATCTTGAAACTACACTACCTGAGCATGCTTCCATATATATATGATGAATTATGGCTTTGTCATTCTTGAGAAGAAGATTTTTAAAGAATTTTCCTATATATTTCTTTGTAAAACTTTGGTCGGCCATTTTGGCCCCGCCCTACCCCCGGCAGTCATGATTTGAATAAACTTGAATCTACACTACCTGAGCATGCTTCCATATAAATATGATGAATTATGGCTTTGTCATTCTTGAGAAGAAGATTTTTAAAGAATTTTCCTATATATTTCTATGTAAAACTTTGGTCGGCCATTTTGGCCCCGCCCTACCCCGGGGGGTCATGATTTGAACAAACTTGAATCTACACTACATGAGCATGCTCCCATATAAATATGATGAATTATGGCTTTGTCATTCTTGAGAAGAAGATTTTTAAAGAATTTTCCTATATATTTCTATGTAAAACTTTGGTCGGCCATTTTGGCCTCGCCCTACCCCGGGGGGTCATGATTTGAACAAACTTGAATCTACACTACATGAGCATGCTCCCATATAAATATGATGAATTATGGCTTTGTCATTCTTGAGAAGAAAATTTTTAAAGAATTTTCCTATATATTTCTATGTAAAACTTTGGTCGGCCATTTTGGCCCCGCCCTACCCCCGGGGGTCATGATTTGAACAAACTTGAATCTTCACTACATGAGCATGCTTCCATATGAATATGATGAATTATGGCTTTGTCATTCTTGAGAAGAAGATTTTTAAAGAATTTTCCTATATATTTCTATGTAAAACTTTGGTCGGCCATTTTGGCCCCGCCCTACCCCGGGGGGTCATGATTTGAACAAACTTGAATCTTCACTACCTGAGCATGCTTCCATATGAATATGATGAATTATGGCTTTGTCATTCTTGAGAAGAAGATTTTTAAAGAATTTTCCTATATATTTCTATGTAAAACTTTGGTCGGCCATTTTGGCCCCGCCCTACCCCGGGGGGTCATGATTTGAACAAACTTGAATCTACACTACATGAGCATGCTCCCATATAAATATGATGAATTATGGCTTTGTCATTCTTGAGAAGAAGATTTTTAAAGAATTTTCCTATATATTTCTATGTAAAACTTTGGTCGGCCATTTTGGCCCCGCCCTACCCCGGGGGGTCATGATTTGAACAAACTTGAATCTACACTACATGAGCATGCTCCCATATAAATATGATGAATTATGGCTTTGTCATTCTTGAGAAGAAGATTTTTAAAGAATTTTCCTATATATTTCTATGTAAAACTTTGGTCGGCCATTTTGGCCCCGCCCTACCCCGGGGGGTCATGATTTGAACAAACTTGAATCTACACTACATGAGCATGCTCTCATATAAATATGATGAATTATGGCTTTGTCATTCTTGAGAAGAAAATTTTTAAAGAATTTTCCTATATATTTCTATGTAAAACTTTGGTCGGCCATTTTGGCCCCGCCCTACCCCTGGGGGTCATGATTTGAACAAACTTGAATCTTCACTACCTGAGCATGCTTCCATATGAATATGATGAATTATGGCTTTGTCATTCTTGAGAAGAAGATTTTTAAAGAATTTTCCTATATATTTCTATGTAAAACTTTGGTCGGCCATTTTGGCCCCGCCCTACCCCGGGGGGTCATGATTTGAACAAACTTGAATCTTCACTACCTGAGCATGCTTCCATATGAATATGATGAATTATGGCTTTGTCATTCTTGAGAAGAAGATTTTTAAAGAATTTTCCTATATATTTCTATGTAAAACTTTGGTCGGCCATTTTGGCCCCGCCCTACCCCGGGGGGTCATGATTTGAACAAACTTGAATCTACACTACATGAGCATGCTCCCATATAAATATGATGAATTATGGCTTTGTCATTCTTGAGAAGATTTTTAAAGAATGTTCCTATATATTTCTATGTAAAACTTTGGTCGGCCATTTTGGCCCCGCCCTACCCCGGGGGGTCATGATTTGAACAAACTTGAATCTACACTACATGAGCATGCTCCCATATAAATATGATGAATTATGGCTTTGTCATTCTTGAGAAGAAGATTTTTAAAGAATTTTCCTATATATTTCTATGTAAAACTTTGGTCGGCCATTTTGGCCCCGCCCTACCCCGGGGGGTCATGATTTGAACAAACTTGAATCTACACTACATGAGCGTGCTCCCATATAAATATGATGAATTATGGCTTTGTCATTCTTGAGAAGAAGATTTTTAAAGAATTTTCCTATATATTTCTATGTAAAACTTTGGTCGGCCATTTTGGCCCCGCCCTACCCCCGGGGGTCATGATTTGAACAAATTTGAATATACACTACCTGAGGATGTTTCCCCATAAGTTTCATCTTTCCTGGCACAGTGGTTCTTGAGAAGAAGATTTTTTAAAATATGCCACTAAATTTTCATTTATTCCCAATTATCTCCCCTTGAATAAGGGCGTGGCCCTTCATTTGAACAAACTTGAATCCCCTTTTCCCAAGGATACTTTGTGGCAAGTTTGGTTGAAATTGGCCCAGCGGTTCTTGAGAAGAAGTCGAAAATGTGAAAAGTTTACAGACAGACAGACAGACGGACAGACAGACAGACAGACAGACAGACAGACGGACAGACGGACGCCGGACAAAATGTGATCAGAAAAGCTCACTTGAGCCTTCGGCTCAGGTGAGCTAAAAATGTTTACTTTTTATTTTTTTGGATTTTTTTGTAGTTCTTGTGGATATGACTGAACCAAACGCTGGATGGGTTAATGATGGAGATGACCCAGAAAAGGACCAGAATTTCTCCTCTGAATCTGCCTTGATATCAGCAAGATGGGGAAACTTCTCAGATGAAGAAAGTGAAATAAATCATTACGTTGTAGATGTTTTCGTAAATGATGTAAAAGCTAGAACTTTTGACGTTGGTATTAAAAAAGCGTTGGATGATTTCTCGATGAGTTTTGCTCAAGGAGATCGTATTTATTCACTTGTCACAGCATATAATGGAGCCGGATTGTCAGTGAAAATGAAATCAAGTGGATTTATCATTGATCTAACCCCGCCAAATTTGAAATACATTCATGACACAAAAAATGGACTATCCTATCAAAGTGACTCTCAATCCCTTTCATATGCCTGGAAATTCTTAGATCCAGAGTCAGGCATAAAACAATATCGTCTTACAGTATTTGAAATGCATCAAGGAATGAAAATTAAATTCTACCCGACAAACGAAGATTTTATTTGTACCAATGCAGAAAATATTACTTTATCTGGTCTTTCTTTGCAAAATGGAAGAAAGTATCTCGTCAAAATTGTTGCTTTCAATAATGCCGACATGCCTGTATCACATGAATCAGAGGGCGTGATAATTGATACGTCAGCTCCAGTCATCTCACAGGTAAATTCAATTTCTTATATTTGCATTCTCTCTGTTTTCTCCCACTATGAACATTTTTAAGAACATTTAAAAAAATGTTTTGTGCTACAGTGGCTGCAACGTTATTGTTGACAAACCAATCGTGTAGAATCGTTACATCCACTGTAGCTTGGTTCATAGACACAAAAAGTATAGCATTCCAATATCATCATCGCAATTTGTGCCTTGTTGATATACCTTCTCTGTCTATAAATCTATAAAAAGAATAGAGCAACAAATAATAATCTTTCAAAAATGTCTCTCAAAGTGTCTTACTCTATCTACAGTTTTTGACTAATTAAGAAAAAAAACAAGTTACAAGTTTTGCATTGCAAACATAAGGTTGGTTGAATCTGTAGATGAAAAATTGAGAGACAGGATAAGCGTCTCACGGAGATTTATTTTTAATAGTTGGGTATTTCACATTAGCAGAATCAATTGCCAATTGTCAGTCGCATTGCTTATCCACATGTTAACACGAAACTTTCTAATTTAGTGTAGTCTGTTTTAACGTTTGTCTTTTAGGTTTCCCATAGCAAAACATGGACATTGTCATTATATTCTTACCTATGACGTCACATATGCCGGCTTCTGGATAACATTTGATACGACGAGTTATTCCTCTTTACACATTACCGTAAAACAATATATAGCGAAACATTGACATTATGGGAAGCGGGGGGGGGGGTATCATTTAGTAGCTCATTGCTCACAGTACCTCTAGGTTTTTTTTAATATTCATCCTCCAGACTAGATGATACAACAGTGTTGAAAATATAACTAAAGAAAATAAACTACAGAGAGACCCGTTTGCTTAAAACCTTTTGTATAGATGTACTCCTATTATAACTGTTATACTCAGTATATGAGTGTGCTTGTGAAATATATGACATATTTTTTATACCCCCGCTTGAAAAGTGGGAGGGTATATAGTGATCGGGATATCCGTCCTTCCGTCTGTCTGTACGTCCGTTCATCCATCCATCTGTCTGTTTCACTATTGGGTACCCATATCTTATCCGCAACTCCTCCTATACCAATGAATGAAATTAAATGAGACTTTTATAGAATGTTTGTTACATAATGCCATTGTGTACCTCCTATTTTACTTTTTGTTCTGACACTTATTTCGGGTTTCCCAGAGCAGAACATGCACTTTGCAAATATAATCATATGAGAGGTGGGGATATCATTTAGAGAGCTCATTGCTCACAGTACCTCTAGTTTGTACTGCATTTCGGCAAAATTTTGAACTCTGATTGTGTATATTTGATTTTAACGCCTGATTTATAAAAAAAAAAAAATTTTTGAACAGTTTTGATAAATATTAGATTTAAGAACTAAGATATGTAATGTATAATGACATATTTAGGTTCATATCGGACTACCAGGGGTCGAGGAGGAAGAAGAAGATGGAAAAGTGATGCATGCAGATCAGTCTGCGATGACAGTCAGCTGGAGAGCTGCAGACTATCAGAGTGGAATTGTGAAGGCATGGGTAGCAATTGGACTCAATACTAACGACACGTCAATAACGAACGGGTTCAAAGAATTTGAAGATGGAAATGTGGCGCGACTTTCTGAGTATTTAATCTTTTTCTAATAACATTTTGATTGTTTAATATGATGACATTGCTCATATTGAATAATTTTAAGGTCTCCATGGTTCTTCTTTATTTTTCTTTCGATTTTATTATAGCCTTTCCTTAACTCCTTCATCGATCAGTGACACAGAAATCCAGTATTACTATGTAATGGTAAAAGTAATGAATGGAGCAGGTTTGTTGTCATTACAAGCTAATTCTAAACCAGTTTACGTAATGAAGAGTAATGTACCCGGAACCGTGTTCGATGGACGTGAAGCATTATCCGATGAAGACTTTACCTATGATAGAACATCACTAGCCATGTCTTTCAATGGGTTCGAAAGTGAGGCGTGTAATCTTATTCAGTATGAATGGGCCATTGGATACAAGCCATTTACCTACGATGTTTTACCTTTTACCGACTATGGAATTGTGATGCATAATCAAACCTTTGGTCAGGCTCAAATACATGTATCGTTATACGAGGGTTCCACATATTTCATAACTGTTCGAGCAAAAACTGGTTTCAATTGCCCAATGGGTGAATACGTCATATCTTGTTCCGATGGTATCAAATTAGACACCACAAAACCGCAGATTGGTATGAGCTATGAAGAAAACACAATTACGCCAAATTCAATGCCTCTCTATCAGACCAGTATGGATTCTGTCAATTTAAAGTGGAAGATCAAGGATTCGTCAAAGATCTCAGAATCGTGGTGGTCGATTGGAAGCCTTCCAAAACAAGAAGATGTTTCGAAGAAAATTAACACCATGGACAATTTTATTCCTAGTGGATTTTTGAAATTGTCTCATGGACAAACATTTTATGTCAATGTTGGTGCTAAGGATAAAGCTGGAAATGAAATGATTACGTCTTCACCTCCGATTACTATAGATACCACTCCTCCTGAAATTCACAATTTCACATGTACTCCCTTTATTTCTTTGCGTAAGTCTTTAGTCGTCTGCACCTGGGCTATGATAGAAGAATGGGAAAGTGTTTTAGCAAACACTGCTATTGGCATCGGTAGGAACGAAACCTATCCGGATATATCAGAATTCCATACATTTTCAAAACTGACGAGAAGCTGGACTCGAGATCTTCGCTTGAGGTTAAAGAATGACAACTTTGCCCATATTCATATAATAGTTAAAATGCAAAATTTGGCTGGTTTAGAGACTTACAAATCTTTCAAAATAGTCGTGGATTCAACTCCACCATCTGGAGGAATTGTACAAATTGTGACCACAACTGCAGCAACAAATGCATCAAGAAACGTTCAACGATGCCAAATTCCCCAGACATATTTAGAAGCTCGAGTTGCCAGCTGGGGAGATGCTGAATCTGGAATTGACAGGTTTGTATATCTTATATTAGGAGCAGTACTGAATCTGAAATTATGTTAAGCACTACGTATTGCTATAAGTCACAATCCTCCAAGGCAATGGTTTGGTTTTCCATCATCCAAAACTTGTTTTATGATTTTATGATTTTAAGTAAAGAGTAAAAAAAAGAGTAAAAAAAAGTCCCAAAACATCATGAAGAATATGGTTGATTTTATTTAAAATAAAAATAATTATTCGAATCTAAAACATTTAGTGCAGCATTTTTACACTTTTGCTTAAGAAAATCGTTATTGATTACTCAGTATGTCTTGAAGCTTTGGGACATATTCTTCTTATGGTACCTTTATATTTTCGGGGGATGAAAAGAATATAAGGTAAACTATTCCATTTTGAAGTGGAAAAGAATCTTAAAACAGTCATCGATTGTATATAAACTTTCCATTTGCACGATGACAAGGAATACACACACAGCAGATGTGATCGGTCAACAGGTAATGCCTACTACTCCATGCATATGGCACTTCATCGTTTTCTGGTGTTTTAGAGGTCAATGTTTACTCTGCTCCCAATTTGTATTTTTCATTTGACTTTTTAACTTGATTAATATTCGATATCTCCATATTACATTAATTTTATGACTACATTATTTTTTAGTTGCTTAATTAACAACAGTAATTTTCAGTTTATAAATTCAAATAAATGTGATAAAAAGACACCATGGAGTCCTATGGAAGTTCAGGGGGCCGTTTTTATTCCAAGTCCACGATTTTTTATTGTTTAAAGATTATTTTGAGATCAATCACTATCCGTTATCCTTCTCTTTTTCTACTAGAAAGCTGTCTCCCTGCTCGATTTCAGCCTTCCGATAGAACTTTCTTGAAAACAATATTTAAAGCAATGTTTTTAATTTTTTTTATTGTAATCAATAAAAAGTATAACCAGAGTTATGATTTAAAACGAAATCATGGCTGAGTTATGAACTTATCTTTAAGACAAACAGACCTATGGCCATTATATGCAATATGTGGAGATAATGAACACAACACTATTCAAGTACAAGAATCCATTTGATAAGAATGAAAAATTTTGGAGCTGAACAAACTCGGACCTACAAAACATCAGATATGGGATCAAGTGCCATGCAGGAGTGAGCATCCCCTGCCGACTGGTCGCACCCGGCCTGTGCTCCTTGGCATGATCGGGAAATTAACGGGAAAATCCTTACACAATTCAGTGTGTAAATAATGGCCTAACAATTTATTGAGTTTATTCTAAAAGTTATTTACTGAACACATTTTCCTAATTACATGTGTAAGGTTTGGGGGGGGGGGGGTCATCTCCTAGTCACTACATGCTCGAGTTAATTGTAAATTTATTGCAAATGAAGACAATATGTGGCAACTAGTAAGGGATAATTTTTGTTGTGATTATGGGAAAAAAGATAATTGCTAAAATTTAGGCGTGTAATACTAGTAGGTCAAAAACAATATCCTTCCCTTTTACTATGTAAAGATTAATTCTTAGAAACTTATAGAGAATTAAAAAAAACCATTTAGTTTTGATATGAGCGTGAAATGAAATTAATTTGAATTCTCTTTTTAAACCAGATTTTAGTATTTTAGTTGTTTGACTACCTGTTTTATTTTCATTTTTTCTTCTAGGTATCAAGTAGCTGTTGGGTGTGGTGGAAAATCTACCAATATTCTCAAATTTAGTAATTGGATTATAAATGACGTCATATTAATTCCTAATCTTGATATGATAACAGGAAGTAGGGTCGTAGTGACTGTAAGGGCGTTCAATAAAGCAGGGCTGTATGGACAAGTGAAATCCGATCCAGTCATTATAAGTCCAAATCCCAAACTGTATGTTTATGATGGTCCAACGGAAATTGATATAGACTACCAAAAGTCACTGTCTTCCATTGAGGGGAATTGGCGATATTCAGATAATTGTCACATCGAATCGGTTGAATGGGGAGTGGAAAGTATCGACGGTAAAGTCATTCAAAAATTTCAACCTGTGCCATCCGCCTTACATCATTTCTATTCGGATCTAATAGACCTACAAAATGGCGTCACTTATATAAACATTATTAGAACCATTGATGCACTTGGAAGGGTTCGTGAGAGTAGATCCAATGGTCTGGCTGTAAAAATTCAACCTCCAACCCCTGCAACCGTGAGGGATGGATCGGACGACGATTTGGACTATCAAGAGTCAACTAACGAATTGCAGATCAATTGGGACTCATTTGGTAAACCGAATTGTAAAGATCCAACAGAAAGAATTGTCAGGTACGAGGTTGCTCTGGGAAATGATGTTCGATTCGAAGAGACTAGAAGTAATGTTCATTATTTTCTTGACGCAGGACTTTCAAACAATTATGTTTTCAAAGGACTTAACCTTACATCAAAAACTGTGACATATTACGCAACAGTTCGGGCATATAGCCAAGCTGGAAGTTTCCAAGATGGGATTTCTGATGGAATTAAGGTTGGGTTCAGAGAGGTGTTAACAGAAGGTAATATCGAATATAATGCTGCCCAATATATGACTGACAAAATATCCGTTTCCTGGTCAGGCTTTGAGGCAGATATGGGAATTGATCACTTTGAGGTTGGTATTTCATCAAGACCGCCATTATATCCTAATGGAACACATGACTGTTATACATTTAGGGATTTCGATGAGGTTTTTAACACCAAGAAGATGGAAGGAGTGGGGAAAGACACTTTCAAAGATTTAAAACAGTTATCTCTTCTTCACGGTCACAGTTACTTCGTCACTGTTATTGCGGCAGATGTTACAGGCAAATGTGTTGGAAGCACTGGCAAAGCGGTCATTATTGACACATCACCCCCTGAAAAGGGAAACGTTACCATCCGAGGAAAATATTCTGATAATATTGTTTACATCAAACATTATGATCAGATAACTATTGAATGGAATGGATTTCAAGATAACGAATCTGGTATATTGGAATATGAAATAAAGTTGTATTCTTCAACAACATGCTATGATGACGGTAGTGACCCAGAAAAAAATACAGATATTCATACACCAGAAAAAGCTGTAACTGTCAAAACTGAGAACAAAATTACGTTTTATGAATTATCTCTGAAGCAATTTAAAACATACATTGTCAAAGTGACAGCTAAAAGTAAAGCTGGACTTCAGACTTCAAGTTTGTCGGAATACATCAAATGCGATACAACTCCACCGACGAAAGGAACAGTTAAAGTTGGTGACAGCTGGTTCAAAGAAGCTGCATTCCAGCCTTTTACAGATAAATTAAATGGAACAATCGCATTAGCACATTCCGAAATGGCATATCAGTGTCAAAGTCAAAGACCATTGGACGCACAAAATGAACTGGAACCTATGAAAGGACGTTTCCGAACTGAATGTGTCATTACGTCAGATTCAAAAGTGAAAATTGAAATCCGTCATGATGATAATTTACGTGGCATCATTAAAGGAGGTGTAAAATCGATAAAGAAAGAAATAATAGCAGGAAATTATTCCAGTAAACTCACAACTGCTAGAGGTAAACAGATGGTGACTTCAATTTTTCTTGCAACTGGAAGTCAATTTGTTAAAGAAGAATTAGATTTTCAAGTTAAAGAAAATCAAACTGACATCGATTATGATTTAAACAATACTTTATCTGATTCCTTTTCAAACATAACAAATTTTGAAACTTCCAATATGGAAATGTTAAATGATTCGAAAATGTTGAATAAAAGTACAGTGAACTCCGGCATGTCCAAAAATATAAACCATACATCAAATGTCGAAAAGAGTTCTGTTTTAGGATTAAACGATATTTTTGGCATTGGATTTCACATACCAGGATACACAAAAGATAAGCAGTGGTTTGTTTTCGTATGGGTATTCGACCAGTACATCTCAACATCTAGACAAATACCAATAGACTTTGACCCAACCGTTTCAAATGTAGAATATACCATCCAATTAACAAACAGCACATTTGTTGGAAAAAATGTCTGGAATGTTAAATATTTCATACAATCTGAACAGATTGCAGAATTTAATGGCTTGCGATTTGAAGAATATGGAACATTTGGTGTCTATAACTGGAACGAAAATGAATACGTGCCACCTATAGAAAATATCGATTTTCCTGTTGCATTTGAAGCTAGTAGTACCATAGAGATAATGAAAGAACCGATTCCGGCTGACAAGCCCTGTATGTTCGGGTCGTCATTTTTTGAAAAGGACAGTTTTATTCAAGAGTTTTGGGTTAAGGTGTCTGAGTATGAGAATGAGACAGATACTTCATTTGATGATTATTTGTTATATGCTTCATTCTGCCAGAAATGTACTGAAAATTGTAATATTGGATGTAGGCAAGATTGCAAGCCCTCTATGACAGAGTTTGAAATATTGCAATTCACCATTGAAAATCTTAACCTGACAGCATCAAAAATGTCTGGTGACAGGACAAATGGAAGCGCCGTTCAATACGATTCTACAACTTATTTCATCCATACTCTAATTGTCAATTCTGCAGGCATCACTACTCATTCCGCTTCTAAGGGTGTAATTATTGATAACACCCCACCAGAATTTAATTATGTCCGATGTGTCGATCCCCTGTCATCAACAGAGGAACCCTCTCTATATCAGGGATCAAATGATAGCTTAAGAGCCTACTGGGATTGCAAAGAAGATGTTGGTCAAATTGTCGACTATAAAATAGATGCTGGCACATCACCAGGTATGAAGATACATATTTTTTACATCTTAATTCTTCTTTTTATTGAATGTTTGTTTCTCATGAATTAATTGATTGCAGAAAATAATGACATATTGAGTGACCTACCAGTCGGAAAAGGAAGGAAGTTTTTATACTCTAATCTGAAGACTCCTTTGGAACACGGTAAAACGTATTATATTACTGTAAGGGCTGTGAATTCTGCTGGTATGGTCGGAAAGGGGTCCTGCAATATTATAGTGGAACTATCCCCACCTAATGTCGAAAATCTAATTGTGCAAAACATGTTTACTCAAGATGATGAAGAAACTTTCGATGTTTCATTGTCAACCAACGAAATTGGACTTCAATGGCAAAATGGAACAAACGACGTTGAATTTTATGGTAAGAATAAAATTAAATTTATAGAAATATGCCTTTTGTAACTGTGTAAGTATACATATCATGTAAACTCTTACATCTACTTTAGAATGGCAAATTGGATCTGAGAAAGATACTGACGACATATTTCCAAGAATAAAAGTTGGGCTTGCGGACTCCAAGAAAGCATCTATTCAGAATGGTGAACTTTTGATTGATGATATATCTCTAAATGCAACAGTGGGTGTTTTTGCCTCAAAAAACAAAACTAATCAAAAAGATGTACCAAACCAGTCGTTCTTCAATATGGAGCCAGGATTATGTTTGCATATTAAATTGTTTGCTGTTGGGAGATCACATCTGTCGAGCAGCGTAAATCCTAAACCGACATGCGTTATTCGTAAGCACAATAATACATGCATTTGGAATGTCAAAACATTACTGCATTTTACTCAAATATAATTATCAAGGAAAATGTTTATTTCCGATTTTTATTTCTGATTGATGAACTAATTACAGGTGACAAAGATGAACAGATTGATTTTACCAAAACAACAAAGGAAACGTTAAAAGATCCAGTGACTTTAATGCCTGCATTGTCTTTTACTGGTAATGATTAGGTTGTTTACCACCACTTTTTTGACACTCAAAAATCGTTAAATCTGTTCCTTTATGTAAAGTTATCTAGATTGAAAGCCTAAAATTATCTTTATATGTTTCAAAACTTAATATTTTCAATTAAAGGTAAAGATAATGTAATTCTTGCTGGAATGCTTTCAAAGTCCGATGTCATGCGTGATTATGGTACTGCAGCTTCTGATCGTTATAAGCGTTATATAGTGGATCCAACTGATACTCAGAACAACACTGAAAGAATTCTTCAGAAAAGGTAAGCAATGAATATACAATGTAAAATGCAATCAGTTTCTGAAATATTTTTACATTTTTCATTTTCTTGAACGAGAGTGTTTATTCCGAATGCTTTGAAAACAGATTTATTGGCAATACGGAGCATATGTTTTACCTGTCACCAATAACGAATATCGAGACCAAGTTTATATTAGATTTGCCATTCAACCATCACAAATACGATGTCAATCAGGAGCGCCCCCTTTTGATCTTCTGGAACAAAGGTACGTCACATTTATGTCTGAAGATTATAATGAAAGTGCTAAAGTTGTTAACTGTATGTTACCTTAAAGAAACATAGAAGATAACGAACAGTTTTCAAGATAAAAAAAATCCCTTAAATAATACAAAACAGGAGCAGAGGAAACACGGACATCCAAACATCGGGGGTGGGATCAGGTGCCATGAAGGAGTGAGCATTCTCTGCCAACCGGTCACACCCGCCGTGTGCTCCTTGTCATGATATTGAGATAACAGAAAAATCCGTCGTCAATTCAGTGTATAAATAATGGACTAACAATTAGCATGAAAAACGTCAGTCAGCTTTTGACTCAATGATAGATTGTATTTACTGACAAGGTCATGGTATCGACCATAGAAGTTACGAAATGATGACGTGAAAGGCGACTGCTGAAATTCTTGTTTCATCAACTTGTTTTACAATAATTTACCTCGTTTTAAAAAACTGTTCATACATAGAGCATGCTCTTACGTATCGAATTAACTGAGATATATAAACTCAGTAATTTCTTTATATATATATATATTTTTTTTTTCAAATAGAAAATGAGAAATGGGAAGATGTTGAGACAAACTGCGAGACATCATCAGTCATTGATTACCAGACAGGAACAATGACAATAGAGGTTTTTATTTTTATTATGGTCATCTTATAATTTAATTGTTAAAACGTTAGTCATCCAAGTTATCTAATTCTTAAAATGTGATAAATAAAAAATTTCAGAATTAATTTCGGTTTACTGAATTGAACTTACATGAAAATTCATTTTTTTCTGACTGATAATCGACATGAATTTATCTCTTTCAACTTAAGAGTTCTGTGTACCATTTCATTGTTCCATCACGTGATATTAAAGTGTCGTTGTATCAGATTCCTTGATGAAGGTAAGGGATTTTTTTCATATTATGGCTAATATGTACAAGGTTGCAAAGCTGGTTTGTTTACAAATTAAAATGTCTTTATTTATTTCAGAATTAATTTCGGTTTACTGAATTGAACTTACATGAAAATTCTATTTTTTCTGTTGTACCATGAGCAAAAGCAATAACCCCAAACCACTTCTATTAAATACATTTGCATTTATTTATACCCTTTTATATTATAATGCTTGATTATTTATTTTGTGAAGTATAATTATACTATTGTATCTAAATGTGTTAATACAAGACGTCTTTAATAGAGTTCTAGTACGATTTTTCCCTGTATTTTTTAATGTGACATAACATTTTCCTATGTGGTTTCTTTGTAAAGTTTGCCCAGCTGTGGTCAACTCATGGAATCTCCATATTGAAAGGACAATTAATTTATGAATGATTCGTTCACACAATTACACACGACAAATACACCGATCTTCTTTATGTCAATTTGATGGAATTTCAAATTTGAATTTAGGTATGCGGCGATATCTTTCTCGTTGACAAGAGGCATGAAGGGAGGCAAAAACGGAGCACAGCTGAAAAAGGAATAATGCAATCCCCAAGAATGTTTGCTTTAAGAAAGGTATCAAAGACCGTCCCAAATAACCCGCCATTCATTACAACAACTGAAATGCAGTACAAAGAAGATGAAACATCGTCAGAGTTGATCAAGATGGGTGATCCAGAGAATGACTCACTATCTATCAGATTAACTATGCCACCAAAACATGGATCGGCCAACCTCACATCAAATGGTGTCTTAACTTACCTCTCTCATCGTGATTTCTATGGGGATGACGTCATAACCGTGAGAGTCCGTGAAGTCAATGTCACATCTCCATTGACGCCTCTCGAAATCGAAAAAAACATCACAATTAGAGTTCTTCCCCAAAATGATGAACCTATTTTATCATTTAAACAAAGGTACCATGAAATGAAATGCACCAAAAATAACATCACCTTGGAAGTTCTATTGAATGGAAATGAAACTAGACATATCTTCTATGGAATTCTCATATTGGACGATATTGATAGCAATAACACTGTACATTTAGGGACTATGCACAATAATACCCCCAATAATCATTTCGTGCTTGAACAACAACGGCACAATGTGGCGAATTTTGGTCATAACGGCGTTCATAGGGAATATAGCATCAAGCAAGATATACACAAATCATTCAGTGGGATTGCAGAGTTTGCAGCCCGTGCTCATGATGAATTTGACGGAGGAAAAGTTTCTTTCAGCAAGGAATTTAGAATCAGTACTTACATTTTAATTAATCCCTGTATCCATGGTATTTGTGCGAATAAAAGTAATGTTCCCTGCAAGGACAAATCACGAGCTTTCAGTTTCGAAAATTTCCGTTGTGATTGTTATCCAGGATATCGAGGTGACTGGTGTCAAGTAGACATTAACGAATGCGTTCCAAATCCCTGTTCTGTTTTTTATGACTGTAACAATTTGATTGGACGGTACGAATGCATCTTGAATGGTCCTAAATCCTTTGGTCTTGCCATAGGTTTCACTGTTATTGTGGCTACACTTGTCCTTCTGATCCGACGATGCATTCAAAAACGACCTCTGAATAACAAAATTGCACCAATTAATATCTGGTAAGTTGCCGGTATCTTATTTGGAAAAGTGTTATGATTATCTTATGCATATTTTGTGAGACGAGTAAGGGCTTCGTGGTAACTATGCAGGCGTTAAACAGTCCAAAATATAAGTTGTTTACCTTTTGATTACATGTACTTATATTCATAATTTCTTTATTTCCTTCTGTCATCAGTTTTTATTTAAACGAAAGGCCCCTAGACCACAGCGCTCACCTGCATAACGAAGGCCTCGCTCTTTGATTTCTTCCTATTCATTCGTTTGTAAAACATGAATCACACATTTAGTTCCACGCCATCCCCGGAGGTCTTGATTTAAAAAAACTTGAAATCACACCACCTGAGGATGCTTTCATATTGATATGAATAATCAATACTTTGTTGTACTTGAAAAGAATATTTTGGAAGAATTTTTCTTAGGAATAAACTCGTCAATCACAGGCCCACCCTTAACTTTAGGGTCATGATTTAAAAGAAACTTGAATCTACACTACCTAAAGATGTCTCCATGCAATTATGACCTACATGACAAAATGCTGTTGTTTTTTTTTTTATATAAAGAATGTTCCCATATATCCCTATGGTAAAAGATTGTTCAACCCTATCCCTTTGGGTCATTATAGGCACAAATTTGAATCTATATGACCTGAGGGTGATTTCACTGCTCAATGGCCCTAAGTGCCGAGTATTGGTCAAAATTTGCTGTCCTCCCACAGGTGGTGGCGTCTCCGTATAAGTGAAAAATTTTTGAGAGGGATGTTAAACAAGAAACAAACATACAATTAACCTATTCAGTAACGGTATAATTACAGAAATAAAAACATATTCGTGTCCATTCATGCGAGCTCTTCTTGATTTGCACTGCATCGATTATTTGTAAGGAATCCGAAGGGAAAAAATGGGCAACTAACCAGTATACTTTCAAATGTTTAATCATAGCCTTTTCGTACATTTTAAATTAATTAAAATTTTGTTTCCATCAGGGATGAAAATATGACTCGAGAGAACTCTGAGCCAAAGGACTTTCCACTAGATACATTAACTGCTGAGTTATCGACAGCACAACCAGCCAACTCTGTCGCTACGGAAACAAAGAACAAGCGGTTATTTTTTAAACGACTTGGCACTAAAGGGCATGAGGTAAAGGGTGGATCTGGAAGCCTGCATGAAATTGAAAATGATCAAGATTTCAATATAGACGAAAACCAACTAAGCAGAAGAACTGTGTTGTCGGAGGAGCAGATCCAGGCCATGTTGACACCCTTGTCATATTACAGTTCTGCTGTTGGAAAGAGTCTTCCGCCTCACCTACAGAGGGGGCGTATGGAGGAAAGGATGAGCCACGACGGTCCAAAGTCCTCGCAGGCATAAAACTGTCGACAAGAAAGCGAATTTAATAACTTTTATTTTTTCACACATTTAACCAGAGCTTGTACCCTAAATGTGAATTTGTGTTGACTAGTATTAAACTGACTTGCATTTCTATTGCTTTTTTATTCTGAATGTTCAACCGGGAAAAGAAATACGTGTCTACTAGAATTAATTGTAAAGTAAGCAATATAAAGTCAAAAGTCTAAGAATTTGTAAATTCTTTTGAAAAATTATTTACAGATAATTAGGAGTCCTTAATAGAAGGACAATCTTTTTATTTTAAAGGAAACGCTTGGTCATTGTTATTTTCATCAAAACAGACATGCTATAGATATTTTATGGTAAATCTAGAAGAGTTCTGTTATCAAGATATTTTAAAAGTGACTACAGTAAATTTTCGGGTATTTGTTTCAACAATATCTCAAGGACTACTGGCATGTAAGAGTGTACATAAATCGTTCAGGTGTTGATTAAAAGACAGATTTAAGTATGTTTACCTGTACCTAGGTTGACCAGCTGATAACGGGGGTTTTTATTGCATATGACGAAAACGGCTAAAGGAATCCCCGATATCATACTCTTTCTGTTAAGTTTGTACTTGTATTACATAGAAGGAAGATGATACATATAGTGATTAGGAGTTTTATACTCCTATCCTTATGGATGATAGCTAATGGGCATTCACATAAAGGTAAAGGTACTAATAAAGGTAATAATTTTTATTATTTATTTATAATTTTAATAAATTGCTACCTAATATATATCGAAAATCTTTAGATATTATAATCTTATCTAAAATACAAACGGAAACTGTTAAATGTCGTTCCGGTGTTTTATCTGTCCAAACTGCTCACATGACGAGCAGAGAGATCGAAGACTCTGAGCTAGCGAAGTTGTGTAAATAAAGATATACTAGTATATGATAAGCAAAATATAAGGGATAATATGTTTGAAGTTAAAACAATTGAATGAGTAACGTTTGGTCTATAAACATCATAAGTAAGAAAAAGAAACAGAAAATTAACAGAGGCAGACAATTACTGAGTATCGTGTTATTTGGCTTTCTATGAATATGAACGGAATATCAAAAAGTGTCTTATTTAGTGAAATTGATATTGTCCTAGTTTATCTGGAGGATTACTGTGGGAAGACCTTAAACATCCAAGGGTCCTGGACCCGTCTAAAGCTGACCAGAAGGGATGAATATCCTGACAATTTTAACTGCACGGCCTCTATTGTAACCTCCGAAATGACGTACTCGGGAAATCCCTCGCGCCTGATGGTGGTTATCCACAAACTGGAGACCATATGTCCAGGAGATAAACTTAGACTGCTGGATGGAAACACGTCTACCCCTCTGAAAGGTTTGAAATAGAATACTGCTTACGATGTTATGTTTACCCAATTCTTTCTACATAATGGGTATATACAGTTATACTTATTTAGTATATTTAATTAGCAGGCGGGCTACTCACATATAAGTTAATTGATGCCACAGGTTACTGAGTATTTGACAATCTTGTTTAAATTCAACATATCTAAATTATATGATCGTAACAATGAGCTTTTCAGCATATAAAACTTATCACTTGGTTTTATTTCGGCTGACTTGTTTCATACCAATTGTTAGGCATTTGTTTTAATGTAAAATTTGACTAACAGAATGCACTGTCTGTTTGATCGATGCATGGGGCTGACGATGGGAGTGACGAGTCAACAGCTGGGAAATCTTACTACTCCTAGGCACCTGTGTCTATCTCCATAATTTCCGGGGTCCTGTGCACATATTTTTGTAGATTTTATGCCCCCGTAGTCGAAGATACGGGGGAATGTAGTTTTGGTCATGTCCATGAATCTGTCTGTCTGTCTGTTTGTCTGTAAAAAATTTAACCTTGACTATGACTTTTGACTGCATGGATGGGGCCTTAGCTTTCATATTTCACAGGAGTATTCCTTGTGATAAGACTCTTATTTGAGTACCAGCAGATTTGACCTCTTAACCTCGAACTTGCAATATAGCCCACTTTTACAATGAAATACAGAACGTTAATTTTGACCGTAAGTTTTGAACCGTTGGTGCTAGGGCATATACTTAATATGTGTATTAATTGTGATAAGACTTTTCAATTAGTAAAAAATATATTTGACATTTTGACCTTGACCTTTGAGTTTGACCCTTGTAAAAAAAAAACTCGAACCTCGTTTTTTCGCAGATAGTACTAGGGCTTTCATGTATCACTTGTGTATTTTTGTGAAATGCCCTCTCTTGTTACCAGCAATGTTGACCTTTTGACCTTGACCGTGAAGTTTGACTGGCAATTGAGAAACTTCAACCATCGCCATAAGCTGGAATACGGGGTCATCGGTGTTTCACAAAAATATTATTATTTTTTTTTTTTTTTTTTTTTTTAGATTTTATCAATGTTTGTCATATTCGACTTTTTCATTGCTTAATTATTTAAATTTTATTCAGCATTATACTATTGTGGAAAACACGAACCAGAGCAGGCCATGTACACCGTCGCTTCTCAATTAATCGTAAACTTTGAAAGTGACGCTTTTAGAAATGACGACGGATTTGAACTGTACATCACACGTTTCCATTTAGGTAAAAATCTACTGTTTAAAACCCACTTCATGCACTTTATCTACTTAAAGTTTGAAAAGATATTGCTTCTACGGGTAGCCTTGCATAGTGCATTTGAAGCAGTTTACCTTCATACTGTACGTCTGAGGTTATTTGCAGTACTCTGCTGTAGGTATTTGTGGGGATGACGAGTTTCGGTGTGCCAAAGGACCGTGTATCGATAAGTCTCTGCACTGTGACGACCATGACCAATGTGGGGACGACTCGGACGAGTGTGAACGGAAATCCGGACTGGTGGCCGCCATTATTGGAGTCACGTGTTTTGGATCACTACTCACCATCGTCGTTCTATGCTATGTTTGCCCAAAGTATCGCATATTTTGCAACAAATCGGAAACACGTGGACAGATACAACGTAGATCAACGGTATTTTTTTATAATCATGTAGTGTTTTACATCACGAATTCAGTGAAGAGAAATGACGTTTCAATGTGATGTAACTGTCTTAATTTAATCGAAGAGAAAAGAAAAAGAACGAATTATTTCTTCAGATATCGATGAATTAACTTAATTATCTTGCTTATTCATAACAAATCTTTTTATCAACATATTTTACAGAAATGCAGAATTCATTCTATGCCGTTTAACGACACCAAGATGGCGTCACCAGGGATAGTATTGTCTGTGCCACCTTCACTTAAACAGGCACCACCACTTTACACTCTTTCACCACCTGCATATTCGATGGTGGTCAACGATACATCAGTAGATGGAAGCGAAGGAGTGCTGCCAACCAAAACCCCCCTCAACTAGAAAATGTGTGATTTAATTGATTTCTTGTATTTGTTAATTAAGACAGCTTTGACAGACGTTATACTCATGGATGTATAGAATGTTACTTTTGATGATGATGTTGAAAAAGACAAACTGAATACGCTTACAAGTGTTAATTACATACTACATTAAATTACAAATCGTAACATGCTGATGTTAAAATATAATTAGAAGAATTTAAATTAGATGCAAGAAAGAATTTCTAAACCTATCTTTAGTTCACTTAAGTCAAAGACTCGAATGAGCTCTTCTGATCGAATAGTATTCGGCGTCCGTCTGTCGTGTGTTGTATGTTAACTTTTTCACAATTTCAACTTTTTCTCAAAAACTATGGGTCTTGTCACAAAGCATTTTTAGAAAAAGGGACTTTTTAAGTATTCACAGGAAGGATCAAGCCCTCTCTAAGTGGAGAAAAAAAATCAAGAATAAATGAAAACTCTTTCCATGCGGGTAGGATGAGGCCACAACCGGGAGGAGGTTCAAACACTTACATAGGAATATATAGGGAAAATTTTTTAAAATCTTGTCAAGAAATTAAAAGTAATGCCATAATTAGTCCAAGTAAAACAGAAGCATCTTCGGGTAGTGTACATTCTAGTTTGTTCACATCGTGACCCCAATGATTTTACAGGACAACAACAGGGGATCAAAATTTTACATGGGAATATACAGGAAAATTTGAATTAAAAAATCTTCCTAGGAACAGCAGAGCCATCATTACGAAAACCGCAAAGGCTCATTTCTGTGAAGATAAAAAAAATATTTAACTCGTTATAACGAGTTAGTTATTTCCTTATAACGAGAAAATTAACTCGTTATAATGAGCCTGAGAAAACTAACTCGTTATAACAAGATAACTAACTCGGTATAACAAGATAATTATCTCGTTAAAACGAGTTAAATAATATTTTATCTTGTCAAAAATGAGCCTATACAGCTTTCGTACATTATTAATCTTATTATTACAGAAGCATTTTCAGGTAGATTAAATTATTTATATGGAAGCATACTCAAGTAGTGTTGATTGAATACATTTTAGGTATAATTAGCAAATAGAGAAAATACTTTGCAAATAGAGTATATTTTCTTATTAGCCAAAAATGTGATTTTTACAAAATATAAAAACTTCTTGCAAAAAAAAAGAAAGCAAAATGGTCAGAATAAGTCTGATTTTCTTTTTTCTCATTTTACGAATTGTTTGTTAGGTCTCTAGGTCTGTCAAACAACTATCATTAATGCAAACTATTCATGTATTCTACTGGTGAATTTATGCACGGTCTAATAATTTTTTTATATCATTTACTTCTGGGGGTTTTGAGTCAACTGCAAGGAAACCTAATTAAGATATACAGAAACTGTGGTACACATTCCTCCTACAAAACTTCACACAAATTCACTAACCCTGTGGTATTAGGTCACACACTGATTAATTCCCTGCATTTCTCTTAATACAAATACTTTTTTTTTCCTTTATTGGTTCTTGTCTTTATGTGACACAATTCTGAGACTAATCCTCAAACACATAAAACAAAACAAATCAAATGTAACAATTACTGTAAACAATAAAATACATCTAATTGCACCTTTCCTCTATAATACAGTACCCCATTTTGGGGCAATTCGAGGAAAAAATAAAACGTAACATGAATCAGGTGTAAATTGTTTCCTTATAACTTGATATATAGCATATAAAACTACAAGAAATTAAATAAAATGATATGCAAGCAATAAATACACAATTATCTGTATCAAAGATATGGCGTCTCTAGCACTGATAAAATAAAGACATATAAATAAGTACTGAATGACTTCTTAACAATACTCAGCTAAAAACATGACGTGATTCTATTTCAAAACATTTCATTCATAAGAGATTCTTTTAATCATCAGATAATGAAAACTCTTGATTATTCAAAGTGTGGATATTTTGTACTTGCTGAACAAAGTAATATGGTTTACCGGAAGGATAAGTTCAAATTTTCAATCATTTTCAGATAAAGACACTACCTATTAAAATAGTTTTATACGAAATAAAAATTAAGTTTGGATGTTTCTTTGTGTCTGGCTCTCATTAGACAAGTTCATAGCAAAGATGAATTCCTAGAGCAAAGCGACATTTATTTTTCTCTCAACTCTCAATAACAAATTAAAGCCTGGATACAAAAAAATTAAGAACACAAGGAAACAGTTTCTGTCACCTCTGGTTTTACTCTAACTACATGTCACACTATGTAAAACTAAATATTGCAATGCACAAAAAAGCTTTTTTTTTTCAAGTATCTATAACAATCTGAAAAAAAATCATATTTTTTCATCTTTCTAGGTGATATGTAACCCTTTTTAACCCCCTTTCCCCAAAGTCACATAAATTTCATTCAATCAAAATTAAATGAGGCATTTTTAAAAATCATCTTTCAATGAATGAGGTAATCATTTGTTCATCAATGCATGGTATGAGCACTTTTATGTAGCTAATAATACCCATAATCATGGTATAAAGAGTATGAATCAAAAAATTGTTCCCATTTTATTTAAGCCAAAAACATAAAAAGGTCATCTAAAGCCATAATATCACAATGTATAACTTGATTTCATATAGAGAAAGGTTAAAGTGCTGTAAACCAATATCATTTGTGTCATCTTTTATTCCCGATTCATCTGCTTAAAATGAATCTGTGGAAATTAATTTTCGCTACTTAGGAAACATTCTCTACAAATACTACGGAAAATTATGGGTTCATGGCAATTAATATTTGCAAACTCACCTCAGTTGCAGAACTCACGAATATTTAACGCACACGAATAAAAGTTGGTTTACAGGATTTAAAAATTTTCAATATTTTGAAATAAAACAAACAGGTGATGATGGAGTGTGACATAAAAACCCTTAAAACATGATGAGCTACATGTAACTGGACGTAACACAGAAACCTTGAGACACTGGGAAGCCCAAATTCAAATAAAACAAACTAAAAACTTAATGCTTCTTCACAAAATACATTTAATGACCTTTTCCCACACACTTTCTGTTCAATTACTTCCTGGAAGTCAAAAAAAAGACTTCATATGTCTGTATTCTGAACTTTACATAAAAATAATAATATCGTTCATTCATGAAAAGGTCAAACTTAACATTTAAAAAAATATTTTTAAAAAACCAATTAAGATATTGGTAAAGAATAATAAAAGCAGTATACATGTTTATATATAAATACATTTTTATCTTCTACAATGGATAAAACACAAAATAAATGTACATCATAAATAATTCAGCAAACAAAGAAACATTGACTTCAGAAGGTTTCCCATTTAAATAAAAATCAACCTTCATTGACACATAAAAATGCCTAATACATATCCACGCATTGTCATGCATTTGTTCAAAGCTGTCCACATTAATTCCTTGGTTTACTATTTAATGGTGGAGAACTGGATCTCATCGTAGGCGGGGGGAGCAGTGGGCGGGGCTGTAGGTGAAGGCATGGCAGCATTGACCTGATTGACCTGGGCTGTGTAGTCATACACTGGGTAGGCAGGGGTCCAGTTAGCTAGGGGGGCGGCATTATCCTCATCCTCCTCACCCCCCTCCAGTCTGATGGGCCCTGACACACACTCCGAATAAGAAGGGGGAGCTGCAAAACAAAGAGTGTGCAAAAGATTGCTTTTATCTCTAAAAATTTGTATTCACTTGAACAAAATTGTGTTCCAATATTCAACTTTTGTTTTCATCTTTTACACAATTTATATTTTTACATGTACCTAAACTGATACCTACTTTATGATTAACAAATATAACCTTAAAATAAAAATGAAGGTTTCAACTGAAGAAGAAAAAATATGTCTTTTTATGTTTTGTTTTCACACACAGTGTTAAAAATTATATCTAAAATGAAATAAAATATCTCAATAAAACTTAGTCCCCTTCACCCAAAGATTGATGAATTTAAGCTGTGGTTCTGAGTAAGGTGTTGAGAATGTTATAAATTACCAGACACACAGCACAACAGAAATGTGAACATTGGACACTCTTTATTAAATCAGAAAAGCTCACATAAGCCTTTGGCTTACGTGAACTAAAAAAAATTAAGAAACACGAAAGGCAAACATATGAGAATAGTAATTGTTCCACTTGCTCTGAAGAAAAAATTTCAACAGATGCACATTTATTTTCTACATTAAAGTATATAAGGGTTCATTGATACACTTACCATCAGGATAGGGAGCCATGAGTGAGAAGTCCTGATTTTCTACCGGTGGGGGATAATCCTGGACCTCTGGGGCTGTGGGGACTGGCTGGGTGACCTGGGAGGATATGTTTCTCAATGGAATACTCCCTATGATGACTGTATTATCCAAGGAGATTGTATTCCAACCAGTGGATATTTTAAACTACAGGAAATATTAATAGTTTAAAAAAAAAACTATCTAGCGTAAATATCAACTGAGAATGTTCATATACTATGAAATTACATGTACAGTGTTAAGGTAATATCTATAATGTTATATTAAGGTATGTCACTCGTCATCTTTTTAGAAAAGTTCACATAGAACCTCTTATGTCAAAACTTTTTATCATAATTCAATTTTTATAACATATTTGAATTAAACAATGTATATTATTCAAGATTCAAGGAAAAAACTGCTCAAAAATCCTCAAAGAAGCAAGATTTACGAGGGACTATTTCTTGTGGTGGAAGGATATTTAGCAGAAAATTCTGCAAATCTGAACATTTATTAAATTTAACATATTGGAACTTAAGTCTCACATACTTTTACTCGTAGAATATTTTCCGTTAAGATATGCTAGGAATATTTAATATAGGTCTCAATTTGTATTTTTAGAACAAAATTTACACCTTCCCTCAACAAACTTTGACAAGAAATGAAGATATGCTAAGGAAGTCAAGATAAAATTTGCACCGTTTTTCGTCTGAAAATCACACGTTTTGACCAATATTTCAAAATTAACATCACTGACCCCATCTTTTTCTTTCATTATTTTAAACTACTCAATACTTGTGACTGATCAACACTTAAGTCGTAAAAAGTTTGATATAACAAAATATTTTATTGCCTGTATAGATTTTTAATACCCAAAATATATAATTTTTTTTAGTGCAAAAAGGTCACACAATAATTTATGAGAATTAATTTGCAAGATTTGTTCAATGATAAATATTATTCAAACTATTTTAGGTAAAATAAGATTACATTTATTGCCATGTTTACATTTTATAAAATATTATAAAGCTTAAAGTAATTAACCAAAGGGTTAAAATTTAAGTGCAAAAAGGTCACCTTAATTGTACCGTAGCTCAGTTAGACGCGCACTGACCCCCTCTTTTCTCTGCGATTTTGAGTCATACTATATGAGTACTTATCCAAAATATACTTCTCAAAAAATCCTTGATTTAACAAATTTCACGAGTGACATACCTTAAGTGCTTTCTGTGTTTGCAAATACAAAGAGTCAAGCATTCTAAATGTCTGTGATATTATTAACTTACTTACAGTAAGTTAATACTTAACATCTATGGAGATACATGTACCAACAAAAGTTTGCACTGAACATCTATGATGTTACCCTATTACCTACAATAAGTGTATATGTATGACTATGATGTACTTACTGTTAGAGTATACTGAATGTCTATGATGTTGCAGCCTTTTAAGTAGGAAGGAGGGAGGGAGGGGACAGGCATTGCCCGGGTAAAGACCTGATGCTGCCCCGCCCCCACTGCCAATGTTCGATTCACGTACAGTGTGTAAGTCTCACTCTTAGTTTTGTACTTTGGATTGCCAGAGGAAAACAAACTGTTAGAAAATCCTGTGTAAGTCACATCCTGAAAAGAAAATCAAGGTTATCTACAACAACAAAAAAGAAGCAATTCCAGCACAAATTAAATGGCAAAAGATTAAGACTGTCAAATAAAGGATATGTTTACAATAGAAAATACCAGTTAGCCTAGGATCTTGAAGCAACTTAGACTTGAGCCAAAATTTTAAAAATCTGACCTGTATAAGTTCTACACTCCAGGCCTGCACAGGATTCTCACTCTTGTTGTTAATGTCCATCTCTACAACAATAGGTTCCCCAGGGACAAAACCCGACTTATTCACCTTCATCTGAGCAATTATCTCCCCTTCTGAGCAACAACACCCTGATATTTCTTGTCTCCTGTACTGCATGATTGGCATCTGAATGACACAAAATTTAACTGTACCGCATTTATGTCAAAGTTACAATAATATCCATACCTTTCTCAAGTGACATATGGAACACTAACGACACAGATTTCAATCGCAGGGGGAATAAGGAAGCATACAAAATATTCTACCTTGGCTAAATCAGTGCTGCATTATGACGTCATAGTAGGCAAGATGACGTCAATTTTAGAAATCAGGTTTTCAGAATATTGGTATTTAGCGATGTAATTTAACTCTAGAAAATGATTAGAAACGTGTAAACATTAACAAAAATAAAATGTTTTTATTTTCTTATGCTGTAACAGTTATTATGATTGAAATCTACCACCGATGACGTCATATGTGTACATCGAGTAACTTGGAAATTGATCATGTCTTGTAAAGAGAATTTGGCTAAGACGGCATGTTCAAAGATACGTAAACTGGAGTTTAAAAGGAAATATCGGAAATACTGTGTTAAATTCATATGGAGTTCAATTAATTAAACAGGTATGCTAATTTATTTTCATCAATTATATTCTCTTTCGAAGACAGTCAGCTATATTAAGTATCCCGGTCGGCCTATCGTCTGTCATTCTTGACCAAAAAATGCAACAGAACAACAATAAGCTGGATATTTCAAAACATACGATTTGTACAGATTGAAAGTTTGCATTTTGACATACTTGGAAAGTGCTGCTAGAATCCCGAGTTAAGCATGGTTGTACGAAAAATCTCGATTCATATGTATAAAATTCAAAACAAAGGGTAAGGTTTCGTGCGAATGTGTGGAATAAATATTTTACGGACATGATAGTTGGATTTTAGCAGCACTTTTTAGACAAAATAGATGTTTTTCAGCTATATTACATACTAAAAGAAATTATCAAACTCCGGGGTATTGTTGTTCTGTAAGCCTTTTTATTAAGGACAATTTTGCTATTAATAGAAGTCACGTGATGTCGTGGCGGTGATGCACGTCTTTGCGTTAGACACGCTTTTACCTGTATGCAATAGTAAATAACAGTTACGTTTATCAGTGGTTTTGGTAATTTATTAAACTAAATTTTCTTCAAAAAGTCTAAATTTTCCGAGAAATTACTTATATGCTTCCTTAACATACCCGCGATGATTTCTTCAATGTTCAAACAGCTGTTTGCTAAAATCTTTATATATTATTGCCACTACCAGTACATGGAGAGTCAACAGGATACATTATTTTGAGAAACTTTCTGCATAGCAGGTTTGTGCATAGACCCAATGACTCGGAAATTTTCCCATTTAAAATAACATAATCCCCTGGTTATTCTGGCAATGTTCTCTCAACCACCACCAAAGAAGGAATCCAAAACAGGCTTCTACTTTGAAAATATCACCTTCTATTTTGATATTTATAAACACTGTATAGTATAAATTTCACAAGCTTTAAATCTGCTGCTACTCTTACCACTGAATCAGGGAAAGCGTTGAGATCTAGATGATTAATGACAGTGAATGGTAGAACCACATTCTCATCTGCCTTCCATGGCCTTGCTATCTGCCCCTGAAGGGTGTATCTCACATAGCCCTTCCTGCCCTCAAATGATGAGGGAAGCTCCCCAGCAGTATTGAGGGGGATAGCAAAGGGGTACACATGGTCCCCTGCCTCTAGAGTCTGAGCCTGGGTTTGAGATCCTAAATAAAAATTATTATATTCAAGATATTCACACGTCATACATGTTTCTAGTATTAGTAAAGCTAAGTGAATATATATTATGTTGTTTATAAATTAATATCTTTTACATTAATAATACCTACCTCCAAACAAGTAGAGCTTGTAATTGACATAAGTTTCTTTGGCTGTAAATTCCCTCTTGTCATTATCTGATCTACGATCAAACTTACATTTTGCTTTTCCTAATACATAGACACTGATGCCTACAAAAATCATCATTTTTAACAAACATATCTACACATGCATTTTTATATTGCAATGTTTGCCCCCACATCAAATTTTGAAAACTTCCTGACAATAAATTGTACAGAAATATAAGCAGAAAATTGCAAATTTTTATATCCTTTTTCACAAATTTTCACAATTTAAGCTTTAGAAAATGACATATTTATTATCATTCTACACATTATATCAAAATATTTATCCTGAACACACATGCGCTCGGTGAAAAATATAGACGAAATATGTACATTTTTCTGCAAAATTCATAAAAAAATGAAATTTACGTCATATTTGTGACGTCATTACGTTTATATGACGTCATTACTTATGAAATTATTCAGTGCTTTGAAGTCAGCATATACTCCCCTGTTTAAGGACTTAATTAAATATTACTCCATCAAAGTTTGATTTTGGGGGGCAAATGTTGGTTAATACCGCATATAGTTCTTTAAACAAATTTACATCAGAATATGTTTATCATTCAATGCATGAAATTTAGCACTGCTTTACATGATTTTATGTTGTCTCATTAAGGACCGTATTCAAGTGAGAAACTAATAACCTCATTGTTAAAAAATTCATAATTTAACTTGCAAATGTTTGAAAGCAACTAATAAATGAGCTACAAACAAGTTTAGGTTTCAAATGCTTACTTTGAATTTTGAGTGAATGGGAAACATTTATGTATACTGTGCCCCTAAGATCTGTCCCTGATAACACCACTATATTACTGCTAGTCTGACCGTCCACGTGAATCTCAAATCTCTGTATTTTCATTTCCCACTTAAATTGTTAAATGTTAATCACCATCTTGGGGTAGTTACCTGAAAAAAATTGATTGCATGTATTAAAAACATGCATTATGTCTTCATTTCAAATTGATTGTACTTACTATATTTCTAAACACCTTTTATAAATAAAACTTTCAGTCACCAGTAGTTGAAAGTTGAGATTTCAAAAAGTGAACTTAATATCATTATTAATGACAAAGATATACATGTTATACAAGCACTTTCCTTTCTATCCATAGATGCAATAAAAAAAAAGCTTCAAAATTGAATATCACACCTTTATCACTTATGAAGAACAGTTCCAAATTTATTGATACAGTCACACTGACAATGAAAATGTCAAAGATTTTGGACTAAAATTACTTTTTAAATCAGCAATTTTTTAAATCAGCAATTTTGCATCAATAACTCAATCATGTTTCATTTTCTAGGAGATAAGATCAAAGCAATGTGGTAACTTAAGTAACCTATTTGTAATCTATACAATTTAAAAAAAATTACTTCATGACTCTTAACAATGTAATTAAAATTAAACGTAAGATTCCCTCGCATACTCGCTACACTAATATCTAACAACATCCCATAGAGGGTCACATCAGAGGTCAAATTCGGAACAACTCTAGACTTATTCGTTTCAACACTCTATGATGTTTTTGCAGGCGACGATTTGATTGGTTGATAGAGTTTGAACTCTGACGTGACTCTCGATGGGATGTTGTTAGATGTTAGTGAAGTGAGTACACGAGCGGATCTAACATCTAATTTTAATTAGATTGGTACTCTTAAATTACAGGTTTTTGAGACAATTTTTATGCATTTACCCCCTCCATTCTCCAAAATCAACACTCCAAATTTTGCAGTGCAACTTACTGCTTAACACAATTAAAAAAAAAACAAATCTGACCTTTTATAAAGAATTCAGATGTGCATTGACAATGAATTGTATTTCTTTTTTCAAGGAAAAGTACTTGTAAAAGTAAGTAAAAAGGAGCAGCTTTTATGTTTAAATAATAGTATCTATGTAGCTATTAATTTCTACGCAGGTACATAAGGCGTCGGAAGCAAATCGAAAGTGGAGGGGGGGGGGCTAATCCACCAAACAAGGAAAACCCCAATTTTCAATATCTATATATACTGTATATATTTGCGAAAAAGTGGAGGTGGGCTAAGCCCCCCTCACCCGGTTCCGACGCCTATGGGTAGTAATAGTTTTTGGACTGGACATAATAGTCACTGGTCATTACAGTATACAATAAATCCTTGTGTTTAGGTGATGAATTCATCATACCGTTGTATTACCTTTAAAACCAACATTTGATATTTGAGAAAATGAAAAGGGAGTGTCCGAATTTTGGGGATAAACAAAATATACTTACCACATGTTTTTTAATATAGTTTGCGTAATATGTTCCAAATACTTTTTTACGATTTATAGATTTTTTTTTGGATTAATCACATAGGAAGCTTGTAAAGGGAACTAAACTTCAGAGCCTATTACGCATTGCTTTCAAATATCCGGAATGATGTCTTATAAGCTAGTGTTGGGGTTTGTTTATGTTTCTTTAATTCTTTTATTCACATTTTTTTTTTTACATTATTATTTACATTGAAGTTATTATATTTATATACAATATGATGTATAAATAAATAGACAAAGAAATCCTAGAAGGTGTGGAAAAGAACAAATCGATCAAAGCCATTCTTGATATATGTCACAGTCAAATCACGGAAACAGGACAATATTGGAGTAGGGCCTAACACCTCTTAAAGACAAAGGGCATTTAATTAAAGACAGCAAAGAGGGCATTTAATTAAAGACAAAAAAAAGCAAAGCTCCGAGACAATTTTCATCATGCAGTCTTTATAAACTGGAGAAAGTAAACAAACATCAACCTTAAAGCAGGAATAAATAGAATCATCATTAGAGAAGAAGATATGGTAAAACTGCTGAGAAACATCAATCAATCAAAAGCAGATCGATCTGATCTAACATCCCAAACAAAGTCCTAGAACAATGTGCAGACCACATACATGTAGCACAATCACTGTCGCTCATATACCAGAACTCTCTAGATCTACTGGGAATCTGGGAATACTGGGGATCTACCGAAAGACTGGCTCAGCTTAAATATATCGATAATGGCCATCAGGTGGACATAGCAATTTCTCCAAAGCATTCGACACTGTTCCCCATGATAGACTCCTTCACAAACTTAACCAATATAGGATACGAAGGGACATTAACACCTAGCTTACAAACTTTTAAATCTTAAAAAAAAAATGACAATGAGGGTCCAATATTTTTCCTCTGCCACATAAACGACCTACCCGATGCTGTAAAAATCACCAGTACGGCTTTTTGCCGATGATTGTCTTTTGTACAGAGAAATCAAATCCAGTAAAGATCGGAGCATACTACAAAAGGACCTCAACCAACAGGAAAAGTAGGCATCGGACTGGGGAATGAGATTCAATGCAAAAAAATGTAAGTTATATACTACGAAAAAAATTAATAGCCAATACACCCTTGAAAACCACACTCTAGAACAGTCACCAAAAGGTATCAAATCCTTACCCAGGATTACAAATATCCGAAGACCTTAAATGGAAAGAGCATATAAGTAACATCTCAAATAATGCTAACGCCACCTTAGGTTTCCTCTAAGAAGGCTCAGGTGAACTAAATAGAAGTTTTGGATAGACGTTTTCAATTCTCTGTCAAGAGGTAAAATTTGTCCGTTGTCTGTCGTCGTCGTTGTTGTCTTTGGCGTCGTTGTTGTCGTAAACTTTTCACATTTTCATCTCCTTCTTTAAGACCATTGGGCCAGTTTCAACCATACTTGCCACAAAGTATCCTTGAGTGTAGGGGATTCAAGCTTGTTCAAATGAAGAGCCACGCCTTCTTTCAAGGGGAGATAATTATGAATCATTGATAAATTGATGGTATCTTTTAAATTCTCAAGAACCGGTGGACCAGGAAAGATGAAACTCGTGTGGAAGCATCCTCATATTGTGTGAATTCAAATTTCTTCAGTTCATGACCCCCAGGGGTAGGATGGGACCACAATTGGGTATCAAAGTTAAACATTGGAATACACAGAATTTTTTTTAAAAAAATCTTCTCAAGAAACAGTGGGCCTGGAAAGATGAAACTCATGTAGAAGCATCCTCTGGTAGTGAAGATTCAAATTTGTTAAAATTATGACCCCCAGGGGTAGGATGGGACCACAATGGAGTATCAGTGTTTAACATAGGAATACATAAGAAAAACCTTTAAAAATATTTTTTCTCAAAGACAGTAAAGCCATGATTGGTCATACACTGTAGTTACTTAGTATATGGAAGCTTCATCAGAAAATCTACATTTAAGTTTGTTGAAATCATGACCCTCAGGGGTAAGGGGAACCATGGGGGACAAAAGTTTAACATAGGAATACATAGAAAAAAATCTTTTAAATTCTTTTTCTCAAGAAGAACAAAGCCATGACTAGTCATAGTAATATGGAAGCATCCGTGTAATGAAGATTCAAGTTTGTTCAAATCATGACCTCTGCAAGGCAGGGGCCATTATGGGTGATCAAAGTAGGATTACATAGAAAATAATCTTTAGAATTCTTCTTCTTGAGAACAGCAAAGTTTTGATTGGTTATACAATGTACTTATATGGAAGCATCCTCGGGTAGTGTAGATTCAAGGGTGTTCAAATCATGACCCACGGGGGTAGAGTGGGGCCAGAATGGTTGATCAAGGTTTTACAGAGGAATACATGAGAAAAATCATTAAAATTCTTCACAAAGACGTGATTGATCGATTTAAAAGCACCAAAAAGGTATTGTAGATTTTTTGTTCAAATCATTCAGGGGAATAGAGGAGCCATTTAAGTTGATCGCAACAAAGAAATATAAAGACTTTGGCTATATATAAAAGTTTTCATAAACAGCAAAGATATCTTGTGTCATATTAATTCAAAAGCATTCTTAAGAAACGTAGATTAAGTTTGTTCACCCCCCCCTCCATCGAACCCACTTTTATAATAAATTTTAACTTTTCAATATTGAACTGGTTTTTGCTTTTACCTAGCACATTGTTCTTTTTTTTCTCAGAAAGTGTGTGACATAATCAATCACATAGTTTATTAAGTTAAATTTTGGGATGTAGTGTTACATATCCCTATTTGTAGAAATGAGATAATTTAGTTGTAGTACTAATACTAGTATCTTATCCTTTTCCACATCAAAAGGGTAAATGTAGCTGTTCCCCGGTTAAGATTGTAATTTATTTGGCAATAACATTTCATCACTAAACTTTTTGTAGCCTATCCACAGTTATATGAGTTTTGGGCTTAATCAATGTATAACCTGGCCATGGACATACGTACATTTTAAAAAAATTGTGTTTCTGTAAAGTATTCTTTAGTGCCATGGAGGATAAGAGATCTGCCATCGGTTAATTAAGATTTTTTTCATCAGTGTTGACATGTTTATACCTTTAATATTTTTGTTTAATCTAATTGGATTGCTAATATTTCTGCACATATAATGAATATGCAAGGGGACAAGGGATCTTCCTGTCTGTAACCCAATAGATGTTAATTCTATTAGAGAGACTACCATCTTAATTATTGCAGATGAAATATATTGAGATAACGAACAGTCTTCACTCTCAAAAGTCCATTAAACAATACAAAATTGGAACAGAGCAAACACTGACCTCCAAAACATCAGATGTGGGATCAAGTGCCATGGAGGATGTAGCTTTCCCTGCCAACATTGACACCCGCCGTGTGCTCCTTGTCATGATCGGGAAATAATGGGGAAATCCGTTGTCAATTCAGTGTATAAATAATGGACTAACAATCAGTATGAAAAATGTCAGTCAGCATCTGACTCAATGATAATTGTATTTACTGACAAGGTCATTGTATCAACCATAGAACTTACGAAATGATGACTTTAAACGAGACTGCTGATATGAAACGGATGGAGGAGAGAGCATCCCCTGCCGACCGTCACACCTGCCGTGTACCTCTTGTCCTGATCTAGAAATAAATAAAAAAAAAATCCGTCGACAATTCAGTGTGTAAATAATTGCCAAACAATGAATATGAAAAACCAGTCAGCATTTGACTTAATGATAAATTGTATTTACTGACAAGGTCATTGTAACAACCAGTTACGTAGAACTTAGTTCGTAGAACTTACGAAATGATGACTTTAAACGAGACTGCTGATATTCTTGTTTCATTAACTTGTTTGTCAATAATTTACCTCATTTTTAGAAATTGTTTATTCGTAAGAATGTTTTAACGTCTTTTTCAACTAAGAGATATAAACGTATGCAGGTGATGAAGGTATATTGCTGCATAAGTAAGGGAAGTTGACGATTGAAAAGTTCATTCATTACGCTCAAGTAGATACGCGACTTTCGAGCCCTTGGATCTCATTCATGTATTTTGTTTACATTGGCATGTTTTATTATAGACATAGAAATGTATTTTAACAGAAAACAAGAAAAGAATTAAGACTACAGACATTACCATTATGCACAATGAAACGTAAAGAAACGTGTCTACAGAAAGGTTAATCCTATCTCCACGCGCTGAAACAAAATAGTTTTGGAAAAAGAAATAAAAACATGTATGTAGCTTAAAGTAAGTGATCGGGACAGAAATCGACAATCTTTTTGTACGAGGATTGTAAAATAAATTATGTCCTCGGTGATCGGAAAAGAGGAAAAGTTTCGTCTTAATGATTTCACTTAAATATTCTCCTTTAATTGAAACACAGGTCTGTAACATTTTTATCCAATTCCTGATCGCTTTAGAACACAATTTCTGAGTCTTCCCTTTGTATACTGAAATATTTCAGATCATATGATATATGGACTTGGTTTCTCTCTCTTATAGATGTTTCTTCACATTTGGAAAATGAAACAAGTCGAAGGGTAAAAGATCTGGCGAATATTGTTTCTGAACAAAACATTTATCCCCCAAACTCCTCACCTGTTCATGACGTGTTGGTTTGGACGTTGTCATGAAGAAAACGAATGCAACAAATTACTGTTTGTGGTTCCGTCTACCCAGAAACCTTGCGATTTTTCGCAAATTTTGCTTTCTAGACTCGCCCAGTAATTGAACGGCTCCTCATATAAGAATGTGAACAAGACCAATACTATTATAGAAAAATGCATTTTAAAACTTTCTTTTTGCTCCTTCAATTCTTTGCCGTTTTCAAACCTTTGCTGTTTTGGTTTTGGTCAAGTGCATCTTGTTGTAAATATTTCTTTGGGTTTCAAATTAGTGGATTCAGGTTTCATTATCTTTTAGAATTTCAGACAAATGTGGATAGCTACAATTTTTGATTTTTTAAAAAAATAATTGTTTGGATGTTCTTACACGCTGTCGTTTTCACTCATTTGTCAAAACATAGGATGATCATTGCGTACCAAGCTTTTTTTTTACTGTTAAAAATTTTGCTTTAAAACAGTGTGAACTACCCCAAAATTATGTCTAACATATTTGCGTCTTAAAATCAATCAGACATCATCATCAGTGATAATTTGTTTTATTTTGGCAAATATTACATTGCTTTTTGTAAGACCTTGTCGCCAAGGACGGTGCAAATTTCTGACGACCGTTTTATCTTTTTGATCATTGAAATCCACCGGCTCATGTGTCCAAATTTCACATACTTCAGTTAACATTTCTTCGGAATTCTTAACTGCAGTTTGCCGCAGTTTTATAGTAGCGTCTATCTTCACTTTTGTTTACTGATTCTTTACCATTTCATTAAATGCAGTGTTTCGAATCGCCCTTGACTTTCCATTCTGTTGACCATTCTGTATTCCAATGAATGTCAATTTAATGCGAGTTGTCAATTTTGTTGCCAACTACAAAATAACTTTGTCAGCCCTCTGTTTGTAACTCATTTCTCAGGCTGGAAATTCTAATCTTCCGAGTATATTTAAGGACCGTCCGTATCCAGTCCCCAGCAGACCATCGCCTTCAACACATTATGTATGTACTTTTCACCTTCATTCACAAAGTTGACAAATTTAAGACTTTCTCCGTTTTACTCTGATTCTTGATAATTTTTTCCCAGATATCAGGTAAACTGGCTATCTAGACCTTCATCATGTCTCCGCCATCTTTTAAAAGCCTCTGAGCATGCTGATAATTTGTACTCCAAGTTTGCAAATTTTTCTACAGAGAACATACTTTCTATTATCTGTTATTACCCATGTTACAAGAATAGTTGGGCTGGGAAAAACATCGTAAACAGATATTAGCTGCAATTGAAGTCTGGATGGTGCCATGTCTTCTAAATATCATTCCATTCAAACTTCCCTGGTCGTATACTGTATGTCCCCATTTCAACCAGCTCCCTTGCATCTTTATTCCAACTGCTTTCACCATTCTAAAATTTCTCTCCATCGTCAGTAATTTCATTTGGACCAAAGTTCGTTTTCTTTTTCACTGAAGCTGTCCCCAATTTTCCTTTTGGTGTAACATCATGCCTATCGATCTTTTAACTCCTTTCCTTATTGACAAATATCTTGATTTCTACTCTTGCTATTCGTACTTTCTGATCATTGCTATTCTTTAACATTAACTAATGACGTTCTTTGCTACTTTAAATTCTTCATTTATTTAATAGACTAAAGAGGTAGCTTTGTCTCCGAGTTATATAGAGTTATATAAATCAATGTCGCTGAAGCTTTGCGGTACCACCAGGCATCTACTCGGATATCTGCTTGCTGTTGTATCCATTCCCTCTACTGTTGACATTGGTACATCATACACCAATAGTGTTCATGTACCCCATGTCGGTAAATCCATGATACCTTGTGTATACCAGACAACCAACTTTCATTATTCATACAGCTGACTGTAGGTCTCCTTCACACTCTGCCTGTCCTGCAGTTATTGATTGATTGTATATTGTTTAACGTCCCTCTCGAGAATTTTTCACTCATATGGAGATGTCTGTTCTACAGTGTGTTGGTATTATCTCCATTTCAATCTTGAATCTCTCTCGGTTTCACTTTTATTCTTCCCGATCTTCGGTATTGCTTTAAAAATGTCTTTGTTGTGGTTGTCATGTCGACCAGTAAATAACTTCCATGTGACTGGTGTATTTCTAACTTCATTTATGACCCTCATCGAGCATGTAATTGGACATACCGATATTTCATTCTAGTTTTAGGAGTGATACATTTATTGTCTTAAATTGTTTAAGTACTTCGGCTTTCTCCTTCTTGAAATAAAAAAGCTCTTTGTTCTAAACCAGGTCATTACTTAATATAACTTCTCCTCCAAACAACAATTATGACGTATTGCATGCTACATGTTCTTACAAAGATGCCACAGGTCTTGGCTCATCTTTTGCCATGTTTCTTTTTACCATTTCGTGACTTTTCCCTATCCTCTGTGCTAAGTTTGTCGATACCTACATCATCTATAATTTGATGTCATGGTTTCTTTCTTCCTGTCAATACTTCCTGCATTGAGAATTGTATACACTAACATCAACATAAAACAGATCCCAGTCACTATTTTCCTCGTCATTATATCGGTGTCTGCAGACCAGGTGTATGTCCCTTCTCTTGTAGCTGTTCCCCTTTTATTGATTATTGATTGCTGTCCTCCCTGTCATGGGTGTCAATGATAATAAGGTATCATTTTAAAACATTCATGAAGATGAGGGTTTCCTTTCAAAACAAAAGCAACCCTACTTTTTATAAATAAAAGTGTCCAAATACACATTAACAAATACCAGTAGTCATATATTTGTTCAAAGTTGTCTATAAAAAAATTAATATTATACAATTATGGACTCTTTTGGTGTTGAATATGGTTTGTTATTCACCAGAAAAATATTCATATTGACCGAGGCGAATCCGGTGAATATGTAGTGTTATGAACTGTTTGCGTTTGTATAGATTATATAGGGACTATAAATAGACTATATAATAAATTGTTTTATTATTTTGAAAAATTAGATATCTCCTAATATGCGGGTGGAGTAGTGGGCAGAACAATTGGCGGGCTGTAGGTGAAGCTCTGGGTGGTGGAAATGCAACATTGACCTGTATCAAGATCAAATAACAAAGTTTAAGCTTTTTCTTATTTTAAATACATATAAGGCAAGAAATTTTAAGAGGAGTTCACCATGACCAACCATTTAGTTGATTCTTGGCTAAAAAAAAATCTGAAGTATCTAAATAGAGCCACGGAATTCGAAAAGTAAGTCACAATGACTTACTTTTTAAATTGACACACTTTGTGGGTCTACGATGACAAAGTTTAATGATTGTAAGCCAATTAATATATGAAATATCTATACTCATGAAATAGCAAAAGTAGGTCACAGAGACCTACTTTTAAGTTGAAACACTGTGAGGACTTGTGATGCATTAATCGACAAAATTTGATAATTTTAGGATCTGGAATATTTAAATATGCCATTAAAATTACAGAATAGGTCATGGTGATCTACTCTACGTTGATTTACTTCAAAGACTCAAGTTTGATTGTTCTAAGTTTGCCTTAGAAAAGAGGAAAGATATCAAAATATAATATTCGCAATACAGATCAACTCACAATTATAAAAGACAGGTTATGCGTTTGATAAGATTCATTTATACCAGACACTGTTATACATGCCATTTATCAAGTAAAGACACCAGGGAAGCCATCTGAATTAATTCTTCCTGTAGATGATAATACTAATGTTTCAAAGCACCCTTTTATTTTTCATGCATTCTGGAAACGCTTTACTAATAGAATCAATACTAAGAAAGGCATACATGCATGTCTTCATCAGAAAGGCAACATCAAGGAATCATATTTAATAGGTAATGTTTGTTTTTAATAATTGACATATTTATCTTGAATTGTGGGTCAAATGGTACGCAACTCTTCTATTCTATGCGGCATGCTTATACGCTTCGATGAACAGCGATACCCAAAACTGTACAATTCTATTCCTACATCGCAAAATAAAGATTGAAGAAGACTAATAGTAAGGTGCATTCATATTTCGACTTGTTAACTTGAAAAAAAGATACCGAGTCTGATATATCCGTTTATTTTAAGATACTTTACCAGAAAAAACCGTATATATGGTAGCCTTATAACAATTTTATGACAAATTTTAAACCCGTTGACTTTAACTTTTCTCTCCACAACTTCCCTTACTCAAGAAGCAATATACCATAAGGCTTCTCATCTGCATATGGAATTTATTTCTCTCTGTTGATTTGATACGCAAGAGCATGCTCTATGTATGTACAGTGTATAAATTTCTAAAAACAACGTGGTTAACGAATGTCCAAGCCACATCAATTAGAAACTAAGTTGTAGCAACTGTAAACGCTTAAAAAGATACATGATGGAAATCTGGTACAGCTGAAGAAATTATTACACATTATGAATGAACATTGTTTGTACAGGTATTCCATAAACGTACCTTTGATATAGACATGCCTATAATATTTTTGTTAAAATATATCTGAACATTTTCAATGCATTGTTGTCTACTGAAAGTGCTACATGAAATGAATACTGCACAAAAACAAAGCAATTTGAAAGAGACCCAAAACTCTATGATAGTTTTTATTGTGAACTGACATAAATAACCGTTTTGGTTATTTAAATTTAGTTAATGTAAAATGATTGGTTGACGAGTTAGTTTCGTTATCGTTACGAAGAAATAATGAATCTCTAGGTACAGTACTTTATGAAAGTTATCATAGGGAAATTGTTATTCAGAAATATAAATCAAAATATAATATTTGACCCTAAAACAGTCATGTAAACGTTACACAGTTCAAAATATGATCTTCAAGTTTGTTCTGCAAATGTAAAAAATTTAAATTATAAATAATGATATTCAAGGAATCCTTTTCAATGGACTCAAACTTTAGCTCAAACCCTTATATGAGATTTACACCCCATTCATCACTAGGTCATCATGGCACCCATTCTTCATTATTCATTTTGCTTCTAAAATTTAATCTTAATTTCTCAAAACGTTTATTTTGATCCATTAGACAGTTTTTATTTTACATAGATAAGGAATCTTTCTCATCAAAGGTAAGATATTGAAAATATTGTGTCCTGGTAAAGTAGGATAATTTATGAAGACCGATTGTTATTTAATTTACGTTGTATTTTATTAAAAATATATTAGTTATGTAAAATTACATAATAATTTTCTGTTCATGTGTAATAGTATATCATCATTACTCTAGAACATTCTATTATTTGATATTTCAATAGCTGAGATAATCGATAGCTTGGTCCGCCATACTTTTCGACAACGATCAAGGAAATTTTACTTTAATGATTAAATTAGTTTTCATGGTATTTCTTCTATTTTTGATTTGTTTCATAGATGGAACATTAATGTTTAATCTTAATAATTCTAAGCGTACGTCGCTGATTTTAATAGTGTACGTAAGAAAGTTTCTCTTCCTTTTGATGACCTTTTCATAAATCATGTGTACTCGCGCAACCCGGTTCATTACGTAATCCACTCGGTGGAATTTACCAAGGCTGTTTTTATTACAGATATCGATTGAATAAGTATAACTGGTTTCGAACTTGATGTTTTACTTATTTTACATTTATTTTAGAATGGTAAATAAACTAGGATAATATACAAATGGGCTCAAAACTTACAGACCTCGCTGACCTGAAACCTTCAGCTGATTATGCATTGAACTCATTTCTGATTGGAATAAGTGACGAGTTGCTTGAAAGTGATTTGGAAAAACTGAAATTTCTTTGCAGAGGTAGCATTTGTTTTTGTTAATACATTTATCTTTTAAATGCAATGTACATTGTCCAGATGTAAATCATTTTCGAAAAAGACCATCATTGAAAAAAAATATTTACAGGAAAATATGGTATTGGAAAGGCAAGGCTTGAAAAGGTTAAATCTGCATTGGATTTATTTGAAATCCTACGAGAGAAAGAACTGCTCAATGAAAACAACATCATAACACTTCAAAGCATGCTCTGGATGCTACCAAGGAAAGATCTTCAAAAGAGATTTGTTGAATTTGCGGATTCACTTGACTCAAGCATTCATTTTGTCGTCCCGAAAGAAACACCAGGTGCTTTTACCATCTCTCTCTCTCCTTCTCTCTCTCTCTTATCTTTGTATTTAGCTTATTCAGATAATACAATTCAATTTACTTATTCCTGTATTAAAAATAAAAATATCTGTATATACATAGAAAACGGCTTCAAATATCTGAAATTTCACATACGGGGAAAGAACCTCAACAACTATGGAAGAACAGAACTGGAAAGGCTTCGCTCAATGGTAGCAGAACTGCTTTTAGTTCCAAAGGAATTTATCATCATATCCGGAATCGAACCTTCAAACAGCCTAGTTATCACCATAATGGTACCAGAAGAATTTGCAAGCAGAGTGTTGTTTTCAGATCCACACAAATTAGCTATGCTGAATGAGGTGTCTGTAAGCCACGTAGGACTAGACGAGGATGTGGTTTGGGTGCAAGGTATATCAATGAACAAGACAAAATGTATAAATTTATACTGTACGTGAGTGTACGTGTTTCAAAATAATTATCCAGTAAATTATTAGATCTTTGATATCATTTCAGAGGATGCACATACTCATCTATTAACAGAAGACAATATGGGGGAAGAAGCACGAAGTTTGATGCTCAGACAAAATCAAATGGAAAGAGAGTTAGAACAGGCACACAGTAAAATAGCCACTCTGACCACACAAATTGATGATATGAAGAAAAATGATCGGTCTCAATGCATGTTGTATTTTTTGGCTGTTTTGATTCAACAAATGCATGATGTTTATATAAACATTATGAAAGCAAGTAAATTTATGAAAGAGTGTGCCTTGGATCCTGTTGATAGTCTTCAGAAATTATGTGTCCTTAGACGATTTCGATATCAGCTAGAAAAAGTAAGAAAGTTGGGTTATGATGAAAATATTGTCTACGATTTGCTGGATGCCCAAGCATTGGTTTTTCAATGGCAAAAACATGAAAAATCAGATATAACTATAGTAGATCTTGCAAATACCATCAGAGAACTTGAAAGAAAACTTGCCATGGTTTCTTGGGAAAGAGACAAACTTGCATATTATCACGGTATCGGGATTCAGGATAAGGTGATGTCAAAAAGAGATGAATATTGCTTTTCAGCCTTACGGGAAAATATTGGTATACCCTTCATGATTGAGCAAAGAACTGAAATGGAAATCCCTGAAGGTAATGTATTTCATTTATTTAATTGTATAATAACATTGCTTAATGACTACTTTGCTTTATAAAAATAATTTCAGAACCAATTTCGTTCGGGAAAACAAACGAATAAACATGTGCACAGCAGTTTTCCTCCGAAAGAACTTGTTAGCTGTATCTGAGGGATAGCTTATAAATGCATGAGTCGCGATTTTGTTAAATGATTGATTTTTTTTCAAAATCAGAATATTTCATCTTTTCTAAATGACCGGGGGCATGAATAAAAAACTGACAAAACCCGAAAACTATATCGGGGGGGGGGTATCACCAGTTAAGGTTAATTTATTTAATTGCTTCTAATTTAATATTTCTGAGTAAGTTGAATTAAATGCCCTCTGCCAGCGTTCTCTTTTCAGATTCAAATAACCGTCCCCTATGTGTATAAAGCATCGAAACACATGGCTTTGGGCAATAGGCATATTGAGCCGGAATATTGGTCAAGATCGTATTGAAAACGAACGAGATATTCCTGTTGCTCAACTAGGATATATGGATAAGTTGTACCAGTAAATACTTATATTTTCATACGCCAAATTTTTATACTATTTTGATCGCCTTTACAAGAAGAGCTCCATATAAAGATATAATAAAATGATCAAATTTTAAAGCTAAAATTTATGAAATTTTTCTTTGCCAAATGATAGTTGACAGCTTAAGATATCATATCCCAAAATTTAAGTTATATCTGGTGGTTAATAAAAAGATAATTAGTTGACCTCCTAGCCTCCTTAATGCGCGTTGCTTTATAATGTAATATGAAACTAGTGCTAATTGTAACGGGGACCGTTACAGATGTTCCCCAAACGCTCCCCAACTCCCTTTTGGTGCCATATTCCCTGTAAGCTTTATTAAATAAGACAAACTCTATGCATTTGAGACTTTAACAACGTTAACCCAGAAGTCTACCAAGTTCATTCAAATTTTAGCAATTCACGCGTGCGCATGTAGATGCATGTGCGTAATGACCATATCATCTTGTCTACACAATCTTTATATTTTTGTATATTAAATATTTAGGTTTTTAATCCAAAAGTATCAAAAAATACGCTCATTTAAGTGTATTTTTGATTTTACTCATTTCACGTGCACGCACGTGCATACATGAGCATGGTGACCATACCTTCTTGTAGAAGTCCATTACATCTATCTATGTTCTAAATCCCACCCCGTTTGGTTGAAAACCAAGGGAGTTATAGCTGTTTAAATTTTCAGCCAATCAGATTGCAGCGCACGTACACGCACGTGTATGCATGTGCAGGGTGACCATACCTTCTTGTAGAAGTCCATTATATATATCTATGTTCCAAATCCCATCCTGTTTGGTTGAGAACCGAGGGAGTTATAGCCATTTAAAGTTTAAGCCAATCAGATTGCAGTGCACGTGCATGCACGTATTTTCATGATAATTGCTATATATCTTGTTGTAGGATATCCTAATGCATGGCTATGTTCAAAATTTCAAAGGATGTCGTCAAAAAACAAGAAAGATATTGAGACTTTAGTTTCAATCAATCAGAGCGAAGCGCACGTGCATGCGCGTGAGATCTTGCTCTTTTGACCATGTCATATTGTCTATGCTACTAATATATCCTTATATTATGAGTTTCAAAGCATTTCATCAAAAATGTAAAGAGTTACGCCTATATCAATTAAATTGGTCATTTCACGTGTTGCACGTGCACACTCTTGCAAGCACGTGCGCGCAAAATGACCTTCATTCCGCAAATCTACATAACATGCCTACTGACCCTAAAAAGGTTTTATCTAAGTCGGATGTGTAGTTTACAAGATCACTCCCGGACAAAAAGTACCCAGGAAGAAGAAGAAGAAGAAGAAAAATAATAATAACTAGAGCCGAGCTCGTTGCAAAGCAACGAGTAGGTCTTCCGTCCGGTTTTGACCGGAAGTGCCGGAAGTGACGGAACAAAAGAAAGCAATGAGATAAGTAGTCTCCAGTGACTTTATAATTTCAATTTTGCATCAAAACCTTAAAAATAAGCCATTTTCGCTACTTCCGGTTTGACCGGAAGTGACGACGACGGACGGAAAAAATACTTTTTATGCTCCCAAAGAGATATGTGACCCAAAAACTTGTCGAGAACGGCAAAAAAACGTGTTTTATGACTACTTCCGGTTTGGCCGGAAGTGACGACGCCGGACGTATTTTGAATCCCTCAGTAAATTGAGCTTGACATTATGAACAACTTTGCTTCTTTGATGTATTACAAATTCTCAATGCTTTTTGAGATATAAAGGAAAAACGTTCGACCCCTCTAGGCCCTTAATTTTAGGGGCCAGCCCTTTTTTCGAGATTTCATTTGAAAGATCTTGGGATTCTACACTTCTTTTGTTCTTAATGTTTTAACAAATTATTTCCAGGTAAAAAGATATCGTAGAAAAGGTGTCAAAAATTTTGAAATTCGCGAAAGGACAAGTTTCGGGCCATAGCCAGCGCCGACGTGCGGCACTTCCGAAAAAAATGAAATCATTTTCCCATATCTATAGACTTAGGACTATCATATCGGAAAATTTCACGTTTCTATCTATAGCCATTTCTGAGAACGTTCGCGGACAACCTGACCCTTCAAAAATCACAAAATCGACAATATCTCCAAACCGGAAGTGACGTCATCGAAACGAAACAAAATGCATAAGGTTTGAGTAATGTTACATATGTCCTGAAAGTTTCATGGAAATCCATCGAGCCGTTTCCGAGAAATCGCGTGCACAAAATCGGTAAGAAAAAAAGAATAATAATAATAACTAGAGCAAAGCTCGTTGCAAAGCAACGAGTAGGTCTTCCGTCCGGTTTTGACCGGAAGTGACGGAACAAAAGAAAGCAATGAGCTTAGTAGTCTCCAGTGACTTTATGATTTCAATTTTGCATCAAAACCTTCAAAATAAGCCATATTTTTGCTACTTCCGGTTTGACCGGAAGTGACGACGACGGACGGAAAAAGTACTTTTTATGCTCCCAGAGACAAATGTAACCCAAAAACTTGTCAAGAACGACAAATATACGAGTTTTTCGACTACTTCCGGTTTGGCCGGAAGTGACGACGCTGGACATATTTTGACGACTTCGATAGATTAAGCTTGACATTTTGAACAACTTTGCTTCTTTGACGTATTACAAATTCTCAATACTTTTTTAGATAAAAAGAAAAAACTTTCGGCCCCTCTAGGCCCTTAATTTTAAGGGCCAGCCCTTTTTTCGAGATGTCATTTGAAAGATCTTTAAATTTTACACTTCTTTTGTTCTACATGCTTTAACAAAATATTTCTAGGTAAAAAGTTATCGTAGAAAATGTGTTAAAAATTTTGAAATTCTTGATAGGACTATTTTCGGGCCATAGCGAGCGTCGGCACTTCGTACTTCCGGTGGTTGCGATATACGAAATTCACTTCTCCAAAGGTTGGTCTAGCATCAATAAAAATTTCATGCTTCTGTGTTATGTGCTTTTTGAGAAAACTGCCGGACAAAGTGACCCTCTGAAAATCACTAAAACGCGGAAATCTCAAAACCGGAAGTGACGTCATCAAAACAAAAAAATATATATCTAGTTTTTTCCATGCCCTATCAGTCCTGAAAGTTTCATGAAAATCGAGCGAGCCGTTTTCGAGAACTCGCGTGCACAAAATCGGTAAGAAAAAAAACAATAATAATAATAATAACTAGAGCCGAGCTCGTTGCAAAGCAACGAGTAGGTCTTCCGTCCTGTTTGACCGGAAGTAACTTTCATTTGAAAAATATTAAAGAGTAATGAAGTCCCAAAATGATTTAATCTTCCAAATCTATGTTAATTATTGCAAAATAAAGCCATTTTGGGAACTTCCGGTTTGACCGGAAGTGACGTTGACTGACGGAAAATTAAGATTTAAGCTTCCGGTGACATATGATATCCAAAAACCTGTCAAGAACAGCAAAAATATGCAATTTTTGACTACTTCTGGTTTGACCGGAAGTGACGTCGCCGGACGAATTTTGACGACGCCATTAGATAGAGCTTGATATTTTGAACAACTTTGCTTCTTTGACATATTACAAATTCTCGATACTTTTTGAGATATAAAGGAAAAACTTTCGGCCCCTTTTGGCCCTTTATTATAGGGACCAGCCCCTTATCGTTGATATCTTTCGAAAGATCGTGACATTCTTCACAACTTTTGTTCTATATGTCTTTACAAAATATTAACGTGTAAAAAGATATTGCCAAAAATGTGTGAAAAATTTCTAAATTCCCGATAGGTCTTTTTTCGAGCCATAGCGAGCGCCGACGTGCTGCACTTCCGGAGAATAAGAAAGGTGTATGTCACATCAGCACATGTTGCTCTATCATCGCTGAAAATCTTACGTTTCTATCTAAAAGCACTTTTGAGAAAAATGCTGGACAATGTGACCCTCTGAAAATCACTAAATCGCGGAAATCTCGAAACCGGAAGTAACGTCATAAAAATAAAAAAATATATATATCAGGTTTGATTGATGTTCCATCAGTCCTGAAAGTTTCATGAAAATCGATCGAGCCGTTTCTGAGAAATCGCGTGCACAAAATCGGTAAGAAAAAAAACAATAATAACTAGAGCAAAGCTCGTTGCAAAGCAACGAGTAGGTCTTCCGTCCAGTTTTGACCGGTAGTGCCGGAAGTGACGGAACAAAAGACAGCAATAAGCTAAGTAGTCTCCAGTGACTTAATAATTTCAATTTTGCATTAAAACCTTCAAAATAAGCCTTTTTCTGCTACTTCCGGTTTGACCGGAAGTGACGACAACGGACGGAAAAACTTCTTTTTATGCTCTCAGAGACATATGTAACCCAAAAACTTGTCAAGAACGGAAAAACAAAAGCGTTTTCCGACCACTTCCGGTTTTGCCGGAAGTGACGACGACGTCCGTATTTTGATGACTTCAATAGATGAAGCTTGACATTTTAAACAACTTTGCTTCTTTGACGTATTACAAATTCTCAATACTTTTTGAGATATAAAGAAAAAACATTCGTTCCCTCTAGGCCCTTCATTTTAGGGGCCAGCCCCTTTTACAAGATATCGTTTGAAAGGTCTTAAAATTCTACACTTCTTTTGTTCTAAACGTTTTAACAAAATATTTCCAGGTAAAAAGATATCGTAGAAAATGTGCTAAAAATTTTGAAATTCGCGATAGGACTATTTTCGGACCATAGCGAGCGTCGGCGCTTCGTACTTCCGGTAGTTATGATATACCTAATACTCTTCTCCAAAGGTTGCTCTAGCATCACTGAAAATTTCATGCGGCTGTGTCGAGTGCTTTTTGAGAAAACTGCCGGACAAATTGACCCTCTAAAAATCACAAAATCGCAGAAAACTCCGAACCGGAAGTGACGTCATCAAAACGAAAAAAAATGAATCGAGTTCAAGTAATGCCTCATTAGTCCTGAAAGTTTCATAGAAATCCATCGAGCCGTTTTTGAGAAATCGCGTGCACAAAATCGGTAAGAAAAAAAACAATAATAATAATAAGAAAAGTGAAAAAGAAACCTAAGAATCACTAGAAGGTCTTCCGCTGAAGCCGGAAGACCTTAAAAATAATAAAAATAGTGGAAAAGAAACCTAAGAATAACAAGAAGGTCTTCCGCTGAAGACGGAAGACCTTAATAATAAAAGTGAAAAAGAAACCTAAGAATAACAAGAAGGTCTTCCGCTGAAGACGGAAGACCTTAATAAGAAACAGAGTAAAAACAATATGTTCCCCAACTTCGTTTGGGGAACATAATTAGAATAATTTTTCCTGCAGATCTACAGGAGGACGGGTAGACAGATCGACAAGTATAGATAGGTCGACTGGTTGACAGGTTGACAGATCGATGGATTGACAGGTCGACGGGTTGACAGGTGGACGGGTTAAATGGCGGACAGGTCGACGGGTTTACACGAAGATGTAACCAATTATGGACTGTCTACCTTTGTGATGACACTGTTGAATAATCAATAAGTACTGTCGACCCTTGTGATGTCAATGTAGATTAAATGTGGAATTGTCAACCACTTTGTGAACAAGTGGCTTCTTATGGACTATTTTTAAAAGGTTCATTTATTTGAAGTAATTGCCTGACGTCACAGCATCAGGCACTACTAAGAATCAATATTTCCTAGGTGCGAAGCTATAAGAGGTCACAGTTAGCCAGCAAAATTTTGTGCATGCTGATTATCATCGGATTTTGTAACCTGCGTTTCAACAACAACAGTTCGCAGAAAAATAACCATATTACTGATACAATTTATATTGATGTGTTAATTTCCATTAGTTTTTCGTATGCAGTTAATTATTTCATGCAAGTTCCCATACGGACATGTCCGTTTGACCTTTGTTTTGCGTTTCTGTACTACTGGATTAGTCCATTTGTCTTCTAGGTAAGGGGTGATACAATCATTTCGCGCCAAATATCACGTGTAAGTCTTTTCACCCTTTTCCTGGACTATTCTATTGAAATGAAAACTCCATGAATTATATAAAACCTATTCTTTTTATCGGAATCTCGATCGGGCTTTGGAAAAAAAATATTGTGAAGTAATTTAGAAGTTACATCATTTAAAAGTTATAAAAACGAAACGAACAAAAACTTCTTTAGAGGATGAACTAGCTAATATACATGTACATCTGATCATATCCCCCCTTTCCAGGTTTTCCTCCTACAAAAGCAGAAAATAGACTTCGAAAAGTGCCCCCTCAAATTTCAGGATTGAGGAAGTTTATTTCTTTTTTGTTCGTACTAATATTTTGATATGGACCCCCCCCTCCAAGGAAAAAAAACATACTGAATCCGCACCTTTCGCCATTCATATATTACCGTCTAGTTTGTTGGGTCATTCATGCATATTTACACCACGTTTTCAACAACCGTTGATGCTTTGGCATACCCAACAAACTAGTTAACATATTCTGAATGCCAGTCATAACCGTTACAATTCCCAATTTCTTGTTTTGTTTCTTGGTTTTTAAAAATCTTCAATATTATGTTTTACATGTATCATAACTATACTCATATTTATAATTCAAATGTTAACCTAATGCATGTACATGTGCTGTACATTCAATTTTACGTTTTATATAAAATTTGTTCCATTTCCATTGCTCTGATGAGTAGCAAACAGCCTAAAATGAATGCAAGATGTTTTGTGTAACGCCTTCATAACTTTAGTGAAATAATCAGTTTACCCCCCCCCCCCCTCCCCCATGTAAAGGTTTATAACTTATCATGCTTATACAGTCATAAGTTCTATAGATATTGATGGCATTAGTCAGGCAAGCTTTTTCGAAAAGCTATTACTTGTAAGGCAAAATATTCTCATTATCTACTATGAAAAATGAAAAAATTATCGCATACAAAAATTAAATCATCGCATAAAGGAGGAATTATTCAATACATTTTGATATACACTGGAAGTAGAAAATGTAGAATACAATCAGAAAATGATAAAATTCAAATGAAAAATTACATAATACATATAAAAATTAAAAAAAATAAAAATTATACACTACAGAAGAAAATTATACCAAAAAAAAAAAAGGAAAGAAAAGAAAATCATACAATACAAACAGAAAAGATTGAATGTTGCAACGTTTTGTATGCCTTATTAATGTAAACGGTTCGGATCACTTGGAAAAATACAGTTACCTTTTCAATTATCACAAAATTAATAAGTCGCCATCAATGTTAAAATGCAAAAGAAGGTAATCAGAATTATATGTTAGGTCAAAATATCTCTTTTTTTTTATCAAAATCACTTTAACACCAGTTCACATGCGATACTTGGTAGTTTGAATAAAGAACATGCCAAAAAATTGTAAAATTATGTATAAATCATGGATATATCGGACACCGGTAATTTAAAAGTATAAGTAAACTCTTTCTCCTTTGTAGAGTGCATCGAATATGTATTCAAACGCTTGGACAAAGACATTTCTAAAGATGATCTGAAAATACTCTTGGAAAAAATCAATGTAACTGGAAAGCCAAAACGTTATGCTGCCTTGTCTGGCTATCAATACTTAAAAACAGCCCACGATATTCAGCGCATGCATGGTAAAGGCATTGAACTAAGTAAGTATATGTATTTTATTCACCTTATATTTAAATCTATATTGATGGTTTATATTTTACACCCTAAGAATGGATTTTTCTTAATTCATTGCATTAATTAAAGGTAATAAAACTTCATTTTTATACCCCCGCTTGAAAAGTAGGAGGGTATATAGTGATCGGGATCTCAGTCTGTCCGTCCTTATGTCCGTCCGTCTATTACGCTTTGGGGTATCAATCTCTTATCCGAAACACTTTTACAACTGAATGAAATCTAAGGAAACTTTCACAGAAAAATATGATTTTTTAAACTCCTTACATCTAAATATATTAGTTATGCGCATATAAGCAGATATACATTGAATATTTCATTTTATCAGAAACCAGATAGAGAAAGTGTCAAAATAACCAGTTAAATGTGCGATTTCGGCAAACTTTTTTTTTTTGAAAACTATATTTAGAAAAGAATTCAGGAAAGACATGTTTTAAAAACTACCAAACCGAAATGATCGAAATGAAAGCTTTATCATGCACTTAAATGTAATATATTCGGATCATTGTCTTTGGCATAGTTCAAGGCTTTATTCATGCATTATTATGTTCCCCAAACGAAGTTGGGGAACATATTGTTTTTACTCTGTTTCTTATTATTATTATTATTAAGGTCTTCCGTCTTCACGGAAGACCTTATAGTGATTCTACTGTTTCTTATTCTTATTCTTATTATTATTATTATTCTTTTTTTGACAAAATTTTGTGCAGGCGATTTCTCGAAAACTATTCAGCGGTTTTTCATGAAACTTTCACCAAATATGTGTCATTATATGAAGTTGTTACATCCGAAGAGAAATTTGGAAAATTCGCTTCTGGTGCCAAGTTATGGACAATTTCCTGATTTTAAAATGCGATTTTGTCGCCCCTTTTTATCGAAAATGGCTAAGGATATGAAATGGAGACTTATTGGAGATGATAGATCATGACTTTGTGGTTTGCAGAATTGCCTTTTCGTGCGTCGTCAGTACTTCCGCTCGATACGAATTGCAAACTTAAAAAAATCGTATTTTCTAACTTTTTTGTTTTTCAGTATTTTTCATTTATATTTGGTATGGTAGTAGAAGCCCTCCGTATAATGCTTACTATTTAATTTGTTTGAATGTTAATATATCTAAAGTCTAGATATTAGCATTCAAAAATCTGAAGCGGGTCCAAAATGGCGGCTGTCTCTGTCAACGCCGACATTTCGCAATAGTGGTTTACGGAGGCAGCCGAGCGTTTGCTTGAACGAAAGTAACATAAGAATAAATGAAATGTAAAGGATTACTTGGATTGTCACGTCGTAGTTTCGTTGCAGTTCTGTGTCAAACTAACGTCTTCTATAATTGGTTTTGGCTGGTTTTCAAAGTAGAAAAACAAAAGACGATTGCGCACAATGTGCAAATGAAATTCGATACCTAATATCTTTTGTGCATCACGGAAAAACTTATAAGTAATACTTTCTAAAAAAAGAATATCAATTAATTTTGTCAGTATAAATCTTCACCACTGTTTTTCCTATGCACACTTGTGTCATATTAAACTATAAATAAGACAAAAATAAGAAAATGATTTTTTTAAAGATCGCTTCATGGAGTTTATTTTAGAATTCTTGTTTCAAAGACCGGATTCTTGTTATTGAGCATAAATGATTTCTGATTCCTTGACCATCAAAGGGCGAGCCATGTTTTTCGGCGAAACGTTTAAACCTTTTTCAATTAACTAATCGGGATAATTCAGTTTGGGGATAAACAGGAAATTAAAAAAAAAATCATAACCGTTTCATCGCTTTAGTGTTACATGCATACATACAATATGGAATTTTTAAAATGTGTTAAATATACTTTCTAAATCTGGAATCTTATGCTATAAGAACGTTCTTTTTTTTAATTTCATTGAAGCTATCACACCTATTTAATAGAACATTCCAAAGAAAAAGCGCGAAGATAAACTCGTGGCGTTTGGCGCTAAATTTTGAATAGTGACCTGCCTTTCATAATTTTAAGAGAGAAGCATATTCGTTAATATATACAAGTAGATTAAGAGTAGAGGTCCCGATAGCGTAATATTTAGTGCGTTGGAATTTCATGCTAGTGACTTGGGTTTAATCCTCCTTGTGTGCAAATCTTTTTTTTACTTTTTCAGCTCGATTTTACGTCTTCTTTCCGGAATCGGACGGAAGACCTCTCGTTGCTCGCAACGAGTTTCATATCTAGTTAGGGCTTTTCGACTTTTGTCGAAAAGACCTATTGTTTTCGTCTTGTTTATTATTATTATTATTATACTGAACACTTCTATCGTTCAGCTTTTGGGGAATACCTTTAATAATAGGTATTTTATTTTATAACCACTGAATAGCAAATTTAAATTTCACGTGCGTGAAACAAGAACAACTTCCGGTAAAGTCACTTCCGGTTTCTACTAAAGGGAAACTGAAATTTCTAAAGAAGCCGAAAACATTTTTAATTTTAGTGTTTCGACTCCCAAATTTAAGATATGAATTTTGGAGACCTAGTCCAATAAAAAAGTGCGCGTACGTAACTTTTGACCACAGATACTTTTCGAGATATAAGACTTCAAACATTGAAAAAGGGGGGATGAAATTTTTGAAAGTCACAATTACGTTACAAAAATTAATTTGAGCATATGAATATGTTAAAACGAATTAGTAGAACATGTGATATAAGTTTCATATCAATCGGAACAGAACTTCCGGTTTTATGGGTCTTGAAAGTTTTATATTAAATCTAAATTAATCGTGGCACATTTTCTCTTATAGTAATCAAGATTTTCTTGTAATATTTGATATACATATTGACTCTGATAATCTTGTGACATCATTAGATTAGAAAATTAAAAGTTTGGAAAATAAGGGATTTCTAGGGGCCAACATTGAAAACAGACCTTTGCCTGTAACTTTTTTATTTCTCAATGAATTTTCAAATAGTTTTCAGATTTGAATTAAGCATACAAAGGTCAGTCTAAAAAATATATGCCGTGGGGTCACTTTTTGACCCCTTAAAAGAGTTTTAGAGACCTGAAATATTGCATTTTTAAGTCTTTTAGAAAATATTTGTGAAGAGTTATCTCCCTTTGCCCACATGTTTGGAACCTTATATGCTGTCTATGTTTCAATGTTGGTATGCATATGAAAAGTACTTCCGGTTTTATGAGTGCCTTAAGTTTGCCTATGGAGATTTCTATGTTTAGTTTGAAATCACGCTAAATTAATCATGGAACATTATCTCTTACAGTATTCAACATTTCCTTGTAATATTTTGTATGCAGATTGACTCTGAAACTGTTGTGACTTCATCAAATTATGAAATTGAACTTTTTGACAATAGGGGATTTTTAGGGGCCAACCTTGAAAACAGACCTTTGCCTGCAACTTTTTTATTTTTCAATAAATTTTCAAATAGTTTTCAGATTTGACTTAAGCATACAAAGGACAGTCTAAAAATATGTTCCATGGGGTCACTTTTTGACCCCTTAAAGGAGTTAGAGACCTGAAATTTTGTATTTTTAAGTATTTTCAAAAATAATTGTGCAAGAGTTATCTCCCTTTGGCAATCTATTTGAAGACTAATATGCTCTCTATGTTTCAATTTTGGTATGGATATGTAGAGTACTTCCGGTTTTATAAGTACCTTAAAATTGCCTATGGAGATTTCTATGTTAAATTTGAAATCATACGATGTCCATTATTTTCAAAGGGAAGCAAGGAAGTCTCATAATATTTCTCATGAAAAACTACTTTAGCATTGTCTTTCGGTGCTTAAGTCATGAAAATAAAATTTCTTAAAATAAAATGGATTTTAGGGGTCAGTACAGAAAATAGTTTTTTTGTTTATTACTTTTTTATTTGTCCATAGATCTTCAAACTGATTTCGGTTTTGAGTTAAGCGTAAAAAGGGCAATTAAAAAATAATGGTCCGTGGGTCATTTTTTGATCCCTTATGGGTGTTTTAGAGACCTGAATTTATGTATTTTTAAGTAATTTTAAAAATAAAGATGCAAGAGTTATCTCCCTTTGTCAACCTGTTTGCAGTCTAATATGCTCTCTATGTTTCAATTTTGATATGCATATAAAGAGTACTTCCGGTTTTATGAGGCCCTTAAAATTCTCTATGGAGATTTCTATGTTAAATATGAAATCATAGAATGTCCCATATATCAAAAGGGAAGCAAGCGATTCTCGTTATATTTAACATTAATAATGACTCAATCATTGTCTCCAGTTGGTAATGTCAGGGAAAGAAAAATCCCTTAAATAGAAGGGACTTTAGGGCTCAATTTAGAAAACAGCCTCTTCTCCATATCTTTTTTATTTTTCAAGCAATCTTTAAACTTATTTTGGTTTTGCATTAAGCATAAAGAGTGCAGTTTAAAAAATACTACCCGTGGGGTCACTTTTTGACCCCTTATATGAGTTTTAGTGGATTGAAAAAAAAACATTTTCATATGTTTTAAATATTGATGAAAGAGTTATTTCTCTTTGAGTAGAAAATGATGGACAAAAAGAATCGATATGTTTTCAGTTCAGTATTTATCTTAAAAGAACTTTTGTGAAGTTGAACCTTATGAGTTTTATATCATGTAAGTTTTTAAAGCTCTTGATTTTTAGGCGTCGAAAAGCCCTCCGTTTTTGTTGAACGACAAAAATAAGGTCTAGTTATTATTATTTTTCTTCTCGGGAAAATTTTGTCCGCGAATGATCTTGTAAAGTACACGCCCGACCTAGGTGAAACCTTTTTAGGGTCAGTAGGCATGTAATGTAGATTTGCGGAACGAAGGTCATTTTGCGCGCACGTGCTTGGAAGAGCGCGCACGTGCAACGCGTGAAATGACCACTATAATAGATACAGCCGTAACTTTTCTATTTTTTGATTATATGCTTTGATTCTCATAATATAAGTATATATTAGTATTATAGACGTATTGACATGGTCAAAATAGCAAGATCTCACGCGCATGCACGTGCGCTTCGCTCTGATTGGCTGAAACTAAAGTCTCAATATCTTTCTTGTTTTTCGTCATAATCCTTTGAAATTTTGAACTTAGTCACACAATATGAAGATCTACAGCAAGATATATAATAATTTTCATGAAAGCACGTACATGCGCGTGTGCTGGCAAGAGCGCGCACGTGCAACATGTGAAATTACTAAGATATGGATGAAGCCGTAACTTTTCTATTTCTTGATGGAATTTTTTGAAACTCACAATGCATGAATATAGTAAAAGTATGGACAAGATGACATGGTCAAAATTGCAAGATCTTACGTGCATGCACGTGCGCTTTGCTCTGATTGGCTGAAACTAAAGTCTCAAAATCTTTCTTGTTTTACGTCATAATCCTTTGAAATTTTGAACTTAGTCACATATTATGAAGATCTACCGCATGATATATAAAAATTATCATGAAAGCACATAAATCCACGTGTGCTGCAATCTGATTGGCTGGAACTTTACATGCCTATATCTTTCTTGTTTCTCAACAAAACAGGATGAAGTTTAGAGTATGAATAGGTATTGTGGATTCCTACATGATATTGCTATCAAAATTGAATGCAAGGACGTGCTTGCATGCACATGCGCACACGTAATGCGTAAAATGAACGATATGTTTGAAAAACGGTAAAATTTATATTTTTACGACTTTTTATTGATTTCTGGAATATAAAGATATGTTAATGGTTTAGACAACATGTCATGATCACCTTGCATGTGCATGCACGTGCGTTTGCGAACAACGCGTTAAATGAGAAAAAGTTGTTATCATTGTACATTTGTAGCTTTTAAAATTCTTTTATGAAATCCTGCGATACTAAGCATATTGAAAAAAGTTTTAAAGGAAATTTGCACAAAAAGGGAGTTGGGGAGCGTTTGGGGAACATCTGTAACGGTCCCCGTTACAATTAGAACTAGTTAACCTACATGTTCTTATCAATAACAATTAGCTAAAATAAGCATTTTTCATTGCTTCTTTAATTTTATTATTTTAGTAAGCATAAAAAAAACTTTTTTCTTCTAGGATCTTTTGTGCAATATTACTTGGCAGACCCTCTACAAAGAACCGATTTTCTGGAGAAATTAAGAATCTACGTGAATGAATTCATTTCAAACTCTCAGACTACTACAGGCGGTCGTAGAAAAGCTGAGCGGCGTAAACCACAGACATATGTTATTCGCAAGGGATCCGGAAATAAGAAGTCAGCTATGCCCCGCTCGCAGAATCGGGTTGTGAATGATGCAGAAGAAAAGCAAAGTTATGGCGAAATTAAGGAAATGCTCTCAGAGCTTAAAGAGATGCTAAAGACGCAGGTATCTAAAAATGCGTTCCAAACAAACAAAAATGCCGTTTTTAATGGATACAGAGCTCTCTTTGATCCATCAAAACGTATTCCAATGGAATCTAAATCCTTTTGACAGATTAATTGATTCGGAATATGATAAAAGTAAAGTAATCAGTATTTTTCATATATCTGACACCAGGGAGACATTTTATAATTCAAATTCAAAACAGACTTGTGCAGATTTTGTATGAGTATGCACTATCTAAAATTAGCAATTTCAATTTAACAAACAATAGTGTAGTAGTGGTTTGAGAAAAGTATGTGTCTTTCTGTCAATTCATTGGAATTTTTTAAGCTTTTTAGAAAATATTAAAGTCTAATTTCATAATACTTTTTGGTTGTGATTTACTAGTATTATGTTCCCCAAACGAAGTTGGGGAACATATTGTTTTTACTCTGTTTCTTATTATTATTAGGGTCTTCCGTCTCCAACGGAAGACCCTACTATTATTCTATTGTTTCTTTTTCACTTTTATTATTATTATTATTATTATTATTCTTTTTTTTTCTTTACAATTTTTGTGCAGAAGATTTCTCGGAGATGACTCGACCGATTTACTTCAAATTTTCGGAGAAGGTGTATCTTTATCTAAACCTTATACGTTTTTTTCATTTTTTGAAAATTCACTTCCGGTCGGAAGTTATCGCCCTTTGATCGAAATTTTGATGACCTCCTTGTCTGTGATGGAACTCAAAAACGGCTCAAGCTAGAAAGCTGATTTTTTCAGGGATGATAGAGGACATGTTGCCCTATTGCAACATGGTCTGGATATTTTCCGGAAGTGCCTAGTATGGAAGCTCGGTAGGGGTCAAAATTTAGGACAGGAATCAGGACTGATTTTTTGAGACATTTTGCATCATATCTCTTAAAGTATAATTATTTTGTTAAAACATACTGAGGAATATTTTTGCAGAATGACACGATCTCTAATATGATATCAAGAAAAAAGTGCTGACTCATCACATTAGGGGCCAAGAGGGGCCAAAAGTCTTTATTCGATAACTCTTTAACAGTAAATATTTTGTTAAACATTACTGAAGAAAAATTGTTTATCTCTACAATCTACAATTATATACTATGATTGCAATGTCGTATGGTATATAAATAGGGGCCAGAAGGGGCCAAAATGCTGAATCTTTGACGCTTTATATCTCAGAAGTGGGAAATATTTTGATAAGCAATATTGAACAAAAGATGTTCAAAATAATGTTTTAAACAATATGCAACCTTTCATTTTTCGCTAAACGTCCCCGTTAGGGAGTTGAAGGGTTGGCCCCTAAATATTTCTTTTGCAAATAACTCGAAAACGAAAGAAAATCTCTGAATACTTGTTGAACAAAAAGTGTTCAAAATCCTGAGATGTGTAAGATAAAATCAAGAAAAAGGGGCCAGACACTCAAATTAAGGGCCAAGAGGGGCCAAAAGTCTTCAATCGATAACTCAATAGCAGTCAATATTTTGATATACATTACTGAAGCAAAAATGTTTATCTCAACAATCTAAAACTATATATTATGTTTAGAATGTCGTATGTTACATAATTAGGGGCCAGAAGGGGCCAAAACGCTAAATGTTTGACGCTTTATATCTCAAAAGTCGGAAATATCTTGATAAGTAATACTGCACAAAAGATGTTCAAAATAATGTTCTGAACATTATGCAACCTTTCATTTTTCGCTAAACGTCCCCATTAAGGAGTTGAAGGGTTGGCCCCTAAATATTTCTCTTACAAATAACTCGAAAACGCAAAAGAATCTCTGAATAGTTGTTGAACAAAAAGTGTTCAAAATCTTGAGAGGTTTAAGATGAGATCAAGAAAAAGGGACTGGGCATTCAAATTAAGGGCTGAGAGGGGCCAAAAGACTTTAATCGATAACTCTTTAGCAGTTTATATATTGTTATACATTACTGAAGCAAAAATGTTTATCTCAACAATCTAAAACTATATATTATGTTTTGAATGTCGTATGTTAGATAATTAGGGGCCATAAGGGGCCAAAACGCTAAATCTTTGACGCTTTATATCTCAAAAGTCGGAAATATCTTGATAAGTAATACTGAACAAAAAATGTTCAAAATAATGTTCTGAACATTATGCAACCTTTCATTTTTCGCTAAACGTCCCCACTAAGGAGTTGAAGGGTTGGCCCCTAAATATTTCTCTTACAAATAACTCGAAAACGCAAAAGAATCTCTGAATAGTTGTTGAACAAAAAGTGTTCAAAATCTTAAGAGCTTTAAAATGAGATCAAGAAAAAGGGGCTGGGCACTCAAATTAGGGGCTAAGAAGGGCCAAAAGTGTTTAATCGATAACTCTTTAGCAGTTTATATATTGTTATACATTACTGAAGCAAAAATGTTTATCTCAACAATCTAAAACTATATATTATGTATTGAATGTCGTATGGTGCATAATAAGGGGCCATAAGGGGCCAAAATGCAAAATCTCTGACGCTCTATATCTCAAAAGTGGGAAATAATTTGATAAGTACTAATGAACAAAAGATGTTCAAAATAATGTTCTAAACAATATGCAACCTTTCATTTTTCGCTAAATGTGCCCATTAAGGAGTTGAAGGGTTGGCCCCTAAATATTTCTTTTTCAAATAACTCGAAAACGAAAGAGAATCTCTGAATAGTTGTTGAACGAAAAGTGTTCCAAATCCTGAGAACTTTAAGATGGAATGAAGAAAAAGGGGCTGATCCCTAATATAAGGGGCCGTGGGGGGCCAAAAGTCGAATTTTTAAGTCTTAATGTTCAATGTCTGTTTACAGATTATGGAGGCATGATCGTTCTTCTCCACAATCTTTATCATTTATTTTAGAATGAAAATCTCAATCAAAATCTTATCTCATCTTATCAAGAATCGGACGGAAGACCCACTCGTTGCTCGCAACGAGATCGTATCTAGTTATTATTATTTTTCTTCTTCCTGGGAAAATCTTTTCCGCGAATGATCTTGTAAACTACACGTCCGACTTAGGTGAAACCTTTTTAGGGTCAGTAGGCATGTTATGTAGATTTGCGGAACGAAGGTCATTTTGCGCGCACGTGCTTGCAAGAGCGCGCACGTGCAACGCGTGAAATGACCAAAATAATAGATACAGCCGTAACTTTTCTATTTTTTGATTGTATGCTTTGATACTCATAATATAAGTATATATTAGTAATATAGACGTGTTAACATGGTCAAAATAGCAAGATCTCACGCGCATGCACGTGTGCTTCGCTCTGATTGGCTGAAACTAAAGTCTCAATATCTTTCTTGTTTTTCGTCATAATCCTTTGAAATTTTGAACTTAGTCACACAATATAAAGATCTACAGCATGATATATAATAATTTTCATGAAAGCACGTACATGCGTGTGTGCTGGCAAGAGCGCGCACGTGCAACATGTGAGATTACCAAGATAATGGATGAAGCCGTAACTTTTCTATTTCTTGATGGAATTTTTTGAAACTCACAATGTATGAATAAAGTAGTAGTGTGGAGAAAATGACATAGTCAAAATTGCAAGATCTTACGTGCATGCACGTGCGCTTTGCTCTGATTGGCTGAAACTAAAGTCTCAATATCTCTCTTGTTTTACGTCATGATCCTTTGAAATTTTGAACTTAGTCACATATTATGAAGATCTAACGCATGATATATAAGAATTTTCATGAAAGCACATAAATCAACGTGTGCTGCAATCTGATTGGCTGAAACTTTACATGCCTATATCTTTCTTGTTTCTCAACAAAACAGGATGAAGTTTAGAATATGAATAGGTATTATGGATTCCTACATGATATTGCTATCAAAATTGAATGCAAGGACGTGTTTGCATGCACATGTGCACACGCAATGCGTAAAATGAACAATATGTTTGAAAAACGGTAAAATTTATATTTGTATGACTTTTTATTGATTTCTGGAATATAAGGATATGTTAATGGTTTAGACAATATGTCATGATCACCTTGCATGTGCATGCACGTGCGTTTGCGAACAATGCGTTAAATGACAAAAAAGTGATATAATTGTAGCTTTTAAAATTCTTTTATGAAATCCTGCGATACTAAGCATATTGAAAAAACGTTTTAAAGGAAATCTGCACAAAAAGGGAGTTGGGGAGCGTTTGGGGAACATCTGTAACGGTCCCCGTTACAATTAGAACTAGTTAGTATTTGGATTGGAGAAGAAATTTGAATACAATTGTGGTAGTGAATGATTTAAAACGGTTTCCTACTAGCATCGGCTTTTGGGTTAACTCTTTGGCTCAATTAATAGAAAACTTGCATGCAGAGATCGGACTAAAATCCAAGGAGTGGCACAGACTTGTCTATTCTGTTACCACTATGCTCCACTACACTCTAGTATACTCTCCTCTACTCCAGTATACTCTCCTCTACTCCAATATACTCTACTCTACTCTTGTATCTGTATGACCTTTAATCTCTAGAAAATCATATATATTAGTGTGTAACAAGAGGCCCAGGGTTACATCGCTCACCTGAGCTCTGGCTTTGTAAAACTAAAAGCAAAAATCAGTTCAGTATTGGAAAAAAAAATTAAATATAAAAGTGTGTTCAAGAGGGATCATGATTTGAATAAACTTGAATCTACACCAAATGAGGATGCTTCCATATAACTATGACTTATCATGGCTTTTGCTGTTCTTGAGAAGAATTTTATAGATTTTTCCAATGTATTTCTATGTTATACTTTGATCCCCCATTGTGGCCTCATCCTACCCCCGGGGTCATAATTTGAACAAATTTGAATCTACACTACCCGAGGATGCTTCCACATGAGTCTCATTTTTCCTGGTCTAGTGGTTCTTGAGAAGAAGATTTTTAAAGATTTTTCCTTTGTCATGTTCTAAATTCTGAATTTACCGGGTGGGAGTAAATACAAAATTTAGAACATGAGTTGCCATGTTCTAAATTTTGTATTTACTCCCACCCGGTAAATTCAGAATTTAGAACATGACACCTTTATATTTCTATGTAAAACTTTGATCAGGAATTGTGGCCCCGTCCTACCCCCGATAGTCATGATTTGAAGAAACTTGAATCTACACTACCAGAGGATGCTTCCGCATGAGTTTCATCTTTCCTGGCCCAGTGGTTCTTGAGAAGAAAATGTCTAAAGATTTTCCCTGTGTATTCCTATGCTAAACTTTGACCCCCCATTGTGGCCTCATCCTACCACCGGGGGCCATGATTTGAACAAATTTGAATTTACACTACCAGAGGATGTTTCCACATGAGTTTCATCTTTCCTGGCCCAGTGGTTCTTGAGAAGATTTTTAAAGATTTTCCCTGTCTATTCCTATGATAAACTTTGACCACCCATTGTGGTCTCATCCTACCCCCGGGGCCATGATTTGAACAAACTTGAATCTACACTACCAGAGAATTCTTCCACATAAGTTTCACCTTTCCTGGTCAAGTGGTTTTTGAGAAGAAGATTTTAAAATATTTTCCATATGTATGCCAATGTTAAACTTTGACCCCCATTATTGCCCCACCTTATCCTTGGGGGTCATAATTTGAACAAACTTAAATCTACACTACCTGAGCATGCTCCCACAGGAGATTCATCTTTCCTGGCCATGTTGTTCTTGAGAAGAGGTATTTTTAACATTTTTCCTATATATTCCTATGTAAAACTTTGATCAGGCATTGTGGTCCCGCCCTAACCCCGGGGTTCATGATTTGAAGAAACTTGAAACTACACTACCTGAGGCTTGCCCCCGTGATTCTGGAGAAGAAGATTTTTAAAAGATGCCATTAATTTTTCACTAATTCATAATTATTTCCCCTTTGAAGAGGGTGTGGCCCTTCATTTGAACAAACTTGAATCCCCTTTAACCAACAACACTTTGTGGCAATTTTGATTGAAATTGGCACAGTGGTTCTGGAGAAGATGAAAATGTGAAAAGTTTACGACGACAGACAACGGACAAATTTTGAACAGAAAAGCTCGCATGAGCCTTCGGCTCAGGTGAGCTAAAATAGATCAGGTCCAGCAGATGCCCGTTTACATAAATTTGAAAACAAACAATAATTTTTCCTGTGCGATCAAGGGACTCACAGAGAATTCAACTGGATTCAATACCCGTTAAACTTTTTCATAGGGCAGGATCTAGATATCTCTCTTTTCTATATGTGCATGTCTTTTCCTGCTTATAATACCAGTCCATGTTAAAATCATGCAAAAGTGTTACATAAGTGATACACTGAAAGAATTCGATGATTTAAATACGTACAATGTTAATCTTAATTATGCCTGTTAATAGGAACAATTGATAAAGTATTTACATTTGATGTTTAGAATTTTAAGAACTTCGTTGTATCAAGTTTTGCATGATTTTTACATGGACTACTGGTACTAAAAACTTGGATTACAATATAAGACATGTTATTCTCGTTCTTTATAGAAGACAAAACTCGGAAATTTTTACATTTTTTCTGATTGGACATACGTAAATGTACTTTTTAAAAAATCTGATTGTACACACAAGTACTCTGAGGGTCGCCAGAGTTCCTCATTGATTGTTTGGCTGTATGTTGCTTACAAATGAACGTCCCATTCAAGAATTTTTCACTCATATACTAGCGACGTCACCACATAAGGGCTTCAAAAATTGACCTTTACTTGGCAACCAGGGTCATCTAGTAGTGAGGGATCTTTCGGGTCAACGTCTGTAATGACAAGGGGCGTCGGTTTTTAAGCTTTTATTCGAAGGAACGGCAACTTTCAATCCAAAGTGCCGAGTGCATGGCGAAGAAACATTTGATACATTTTTTTGGACTTAGATCAGTCGCAGCCGAAATTCGAACTCACGACCTTCCGATCGTGGAGCGAGAGGTGATTGTAAAGAAAGAACCCCGAAGCGCTATTAAATTGGTCCGGTTTATTGGGTGTACTCTGGTTGAGCTAATTATCGCTAATTAATTACGACCATGTAGTGACCTTCAATGAACCCGTTAGGGAACATTAATCTTAAAGGTCACAAATGGAAGGATATGAAAGGAAAACGACAGGACATGACAGTAGTGGTGATTGACCATAACCCAAGATGGACAGACTCTCAGAGAAAAAGCAAGGAAATTTTCTGCGTGCATAGACTGAAGACTGCCTTAATGGTATTAACAAACTAAATGACTTCACCAGGATGGAAGTAAGCTGAAAACAATTCTTGATTGTAACAAACAAGTTCATTCTATCTTCGAGGGTCAATATTATCTTTCTTTAAATTCTTTTATCCTGTAGAGTTAGATCTACGCTATTTTGAGAGAATACGTGTATGATTTACTATTTTGTAGGAATTGTCTTTGCTTCCGCTAGCATTTCACTATTACACTGAAATATTTTTGCAATTCTTCATTTAAATAAATAGGATCCCATCACCGTAAAATGTGGACTTTGATTGATTTTTTCAAAATGTGGAACGGGGGAAGGGGGAGTATTTTTAAATGTCGGAAAGCAGACGATTGGATTTATTTATCATTACAGATATGATCACAATTAATCCATGGTAAAAATTTTTGAAATTGTCTGATAATTAATATTGTTTGTTCATGCTTTTCCTCCCCACAAATAAAAAACAGCTTAAAAAGTGGGAAAAAACAAAGATTGCATTCAAGTTTAATGTTAATGTGTATATATAAAGATGCTATGTACATGTATTAAAGCAAATAGAGGTTAAATAAACATGATAAAAATGTTAATAGAGTAGAAAAATTTTTTGTTTATCAAATGAAACATAAAATCTAAGGATGACAAATTGTAACCGGTTATACCTCTGGTAAAATAACAATGAAGGTTTTATAATCATAAGAAAAACTTTACATGCTGTCATAACTTTCTCTGGTGGCAATTGTTTCGGTAAACATTGAGCCAGGTTCTATGGGACAATATCTGTTAGTTTTTTTCTCCAAAATCAGAGTTTGAGGGTCAATCAGGGCATTTTCAGATTATTCAAGTACAATTTGTGCAGGATTGAGTTCTCCTAATATAGTCTATTTTTCTTATTTTATCCGAGTTGATAATGGTATCGCGAAAGGAGGGGGTCGCATAGTAGATTATATCTATCTTTTAATCGTCTGTTCATATTCCAAGTGAGAATTTTGAGACGATTCTACTTCTGGCATTTTATGCTATAACGCTTAATATGATTCACTAGACATCACCTGAAGAATAGATTCTTTGGACTTCGAGTGAATGAGGAGAATTTTCGTGTACAACAATTGGATCTGAGTAACGAATCCCATGCACTGACTTCTTTTCAAATTTTTGCTTTATCGTTGCAAACAATGGTTTTTCTTAGTCTTCACTTTCCATGCGTGTTTTCGTTGATGAATTATTTCCAGTGTCTTTTCTAGAAAAACCTGTTTCAATGTGTTCATGGTAATCTTGGTCACTTCCATCAACAAATTGTGTGACTGCTGACACATTCTCCGAACCCGCTGAAATTTTTTGCGGTGACTGAACTACATCGTGTAGCGGTAATTCAATTTTTTCATGGTGAGGTTGTAAATCAGTGGCGCTAGAAGGCAGAATTCTGAACCCAATTCTATAACAAGAAAACATGAGACTTGGAATTACTATAAAGTTTTGAAGACACAAAAACAGTAGCACTCTTATGGATAATAATAGCTTGCAACTGTTATGTAATCATTGACTAATTCTTTTTAAGGAAACTCATCACAAATACTCACAGAAGATTGTCATTGCTGAAAAGAGAAAGATAAAATTGTTGAATTTCTCTGTTGTAAATTTGATAAAATACAAAGACAACTCTTGCGATTAAGTTTCTTGTATATTGAGGGAAAAAACTACTTACGATTCATCAAATGTTTCGCCTTTATCGTGTTCGATTCTAAAATATTCATATTTAATTATGATTAAAGGAAACAAAGATTTAATTCAATTATTCAAACATACAGTCAAATTCAAATATTACCTGTACGTCTTTGCATTGCAGCAGAAGAATCGATAAAAAATGGCAAGTAATATGATAATCAGTAAGCCCACTACTATCAGACCAGCTATCGCCTCTTGTTTGAAGCTACATCTGTAACTGTTGATCTTATCTTCACAATTGAAGAAAACACCACAAGGTTGCTGCAGACATTCGTCAACTTCATTTTCACACCACACTCCCATGTATCCTGGATAACACGTGCATTTATAAGAATCAAATGATGCAGCTCTTGAAGTATCCTGGCAAGATGGAGAAAATGTAAACTTAGGAGAACAAAAACCATGGACACAAGGAGACAAGAGAATAAAAATATGAGTCTCCAATCGCTCGGTGAAAAAGTTGTGATTATCAAACCCTAAGATGTAATAAAACAAGTCACCATGGAACGTTTTATTGATAACCATATCTGCCGAGTATTCATTATGTGTTCGTATATTTTCTAATCCGAAAGTTTCATTTAGAATCCATTCATCATCAATGCGCGTAGTGGTGATGTGGACGTCTGCTGTATTATTCAAGCTAGAAATAAAAGAGAGAGTTTCATTTTTGTCAACATCTGCAAAGACAAAGTTAAACAGATGATGAGAAGTTGTGTTTCCTTCCAAAATGATTGTCAAACTTTTATTGTTCATAACATTATAAGAGGAATCGTTATACAGATATCCAAACATTGGCATGTCATTAACTTCATCTACTTCAATCAAAATAGTTTTATTCACAATTGTAGACTTTTCAGCGACGTCCTTCAAGGCTATTTTAACGGTGTCGTTTCCAAAAAAGTCTTCTTTTGGGTAATAACTCAATTTACCATCAGATGTTAGATTTACAAAACCAAAATCTGACATTTCACGAAGGTAAAATTGTACGAAATCCATTTCGTTATCATGGTAAGGTATCTGAAAATCAATGAGTGGTGTGTCCTCCAAAATCTTAATAGCGTCTATATCGACCTCTGGTGGTGATTTATAGAAAGATCTGTTCATCACAGTTAATGTCTACTGGTACGGATTCGACATTTAAATATTTTTTAGATCTTTTGCATTTCAAGCATAAATTATGCATAGAAATATGTATTGAAAAGACCGGTCATCTTACGAAAGCCCAGAAGATTTGGTTTGTTTACACTTTTTTGGCCAAGCGAGAGCAGTATCCTAAGGTCATGACGTCAGAAGTTTATTAATAACCAGGGAATATTCCACATTGAACACCCCTATATTTGGATGTGAATATTTATCTGACACATTGCTCTATCATGTGGTCAAAGATATTTTGGAAATAAAGTTTTTTTAAAAAGTTGCAAAGAAAATAAAACACATGTTTTTACTATATAAGTCTATATGTAAGCTAATTGTGGTCCGGGTCCAAATAGCATATTTGTCCCCATCCAACAGACATTTCCTACCTCCTTCGCGAAAGAGTTCGGCTATGTTAAGTAATCGCGATATCAAGTATTAGCGCGGCTTATCTCCCTTTGCTTATGACGTCAGTAAGGCCCAGTCGCTACATTCAGTACTATAGTTTACATAACGATCATGTCTTTTGCATCTTAATTCTGAAGAAATATCATTATCTAGGTTAAAAAACTTGCATAAATATATGATGTTCGAACAATACCGTAAATCTGGAAATTTTTACTGTAGATAAATTTTTAGCAAATTTGCGCGTGCATTGAATTCGCAAAAATATTTTTCTTAAAAATAAATCAACATGCGAAGAATTTTTTTCTGAGAACTCTTTTTTTAATTTTTTAACTCAGTGAATATAGGTGTCGGTAAGCAGTGGTCATTTTTAAAAGAAACCTGTTTACACTAGTCTACTATAACTACAAGTTAATTACCCGTGCGTAAATTGCCCTCATTATATGCAATATCGTCCGATGATTTGACAAGCACTGAGGCGGTATGCCCCTTTTTAATTATTTTAATCAATCAATTTGCCAATAAAGAGAGAACTGTCATTTTATCTAACCGTGTATCAACACGGGCGATAACTCAAACTCAGTGCATTTACTAGAAAGTTCCAAATGTAAACGCGGCATGTAAATTTTAGGTGAGAAAAACCAAACGTTGAGAAAATTAGTTATATTTTTTCTTCATTTGGATTATACTTTAGGTTAAAAGGCATACACAACCTCTAAAATGTTTGTTATAATTGACTTAGAAATTATTTTCAGTGCAAATCCTTTTGTATTTTTTTCAAAATTGTTTCGGAGCGATTTTGCAATATCTTGCCACGTTGTGAGTATATTGGTGGTATTCTAAATGGGCATATTATTTGAAACATAACCTGATATGAAAATCTTCAGTGATTTTTATTTTTAGCACCAGTGACAATTCGCAAAAATTTGAAGCGCAAAAATTAATCAACAGCTTTTTGACCCATATTCGCAAAAATAAATCGACGTAAAAATTTCCAGATTTACGGTATAGTATTTGTCTTTTAACATCCTGTTGCATGTTTGCAAGATTTTAGCCTGTTTTATCTGTGTTATTTATTGTCGTCCATCGACACTTTAATCTAAATACAGAGAGAGAAAAAAATGGTTGTTCAGCGAGAGCGGTTCTGTACTCTGGTAATATATTATGTGAATATAGACGCTGTCAGTTGAATTAATTTCCAATACAAGAATATTAATGATTTGTATTCCAATTAAAATTTTTAAGCCATGATCAGATCAAATTTGCTATCGGTACTAGGTAGCACGCGCATAAGTAAAGCTGGATTCGCTTGACCGCGGTGTGTGAAAGAAGGATATGGAGATAACGAACAGTATTCAATCTCAAAGTCCATAAAACAATACAAAATTAAAGCAGAGCAAACACGGACCTCCGAAACATCAGAGGTGGGATCAGGTGCCATGAAGGAGTGAGCATCCCCTGCTAACCGATCACACCCGCCGTGTGCTCCTTGTCATAATCAGGTAATAACGGAAAAATCCGTTGACAATTCAGTGTATAAATAATGGACTAACAATTAGTATGAAAAACGTCAGTCAGCATTTGACTCAATGATAAATTGTATTTGCTGACAAGGTCATTGTATCGACCATAGAACTTACGAAATGATGACTTTTGAAAGTGATACTAAGCTGCAAATGAATGATTTCATTTATTTTTGGGCAATGAAATAATTTTATCGCTTCCTCGCTTTCCCCTCTCTCAATCACTTTCCTTTTTCTCCCATTGGCTTTTCCTGTCTGGATCACTCTCTTTCTCTCTCCGTATTTTTTTTTTACCACAGTCGATCCAGATACACATAAGACTGTACCCTTTTTATCGTAATAATTTTAAAATGTCAGACATTAAACACTGTTAAATACGATTCTATCCATGTAATCCTACTTTTCTGTGTGTATATATTTACAGATTGAATTTTCTAAATTTGTATCAGTTTATTTTAATGAAGTTTATGTAGTCTGCTTAAAAAAATTAACTGTAAAAATATTAATTTTTAAAATTGTTAAGCTCCAGTCTCGCAAATAATGGTGGCATAGATTTTTTTAACTGATCAATTTACATGTATGAGTGTTGCATGCTCATCCAAACTGTTATAGAAGTATCAGCACCGTAATATTACACTTCCAGTGTAGCTTGATTGGTTACAGAGTCGGGTGTAAATTTCTATACACGCGACTTGAGCCGGAGGTAATTGATGAATTGTTTAATTAAGCATACGCGCTGTATTCAATTTGTCGGCACGGCCAGGTGTGTTATATGACCGAAGACATCCAAAAATATGAATTCAATGCTTACATTAACATTCTCTATTTCCCCTCTTCATAATTGTTTATTTCCTTAATTTGTAATGTCAATTTAGCGCCCTTCAAAAGTGACGTGCTTAATAAACCTAAGGGCCGTTTGTGATGTTGCAAAGATAAATTACACAAACGAAAATTGCGCGGAAAAAAGCGACTTATTATTTTTTAATTGTACATTTGTTGTAATTTTACGTTAATTTAACAGGATTATAGTTTTTATTACATTGAGTCAAAACATTGTACAATTTGGTGTTCCTAGAATATTGAAAATGCATATATATTTCCTATTGTGTATTTTAACACGCGGTGATAAGATTTCGTTAGCGCTGTATGATAATTCTTTCTCTTTAAAATTGTTTTTTTCGGTAATGTTTAATGTTTAGTGCCCTTCAAAACTGGTGTGCTTTAAAAACGTAAGAGCCGTTTGTGACGTTGCAAAGTTAAATAACGCAAACAAACAATGCGAGGAAAAAAGTGACAAATTAATTTTAAACGCACATTTGTTGTTTTTACGTTAATTTAGCAGGGTTGTAGTTATTTTATTAAGGGGGCCGACTATAGTTTCCATTGCGCAATATTTCGCGCATCATAGTAAAATGAAGCCTATTTACTGTTTTAATGCAACTTTTTTCGCTTTGTTATTAAAATTAAACAAAATTAAGAAATTATAGGTATAAAAATGTAATTACAATTTGATATAACTGGTTATATAACCAATTTTGCAATTGATAGGTAGGTTGACGTCGCTGCAGTGTCTTTTTGACGTCATGTTAATCTGTAGCTCTTAAAGAAAGGGGTAATAAATATTATTAAAGAAAAAGTAATAAACATACGCTCTTGACATTTAAAACATAGAATTTTTAGAATATCTCCAATATTTTTATTATGTTTTTTGTGAATCCATTGTTTACGTCATATTTTGTAGTACTCTATAAAAATAGTAAAATTTGATAATTTTTTGCATTTTGAAATGCCCCTTCTGTTAACAAGACGGTAGAATTTTGTGTCTCTTACATATATTGTATGATATAGTATTATTCATGAAATATTATAGTTTGAACAAAATGTCTATTGTAGTATTTGTATAATTTGCTTTAAAGTGCTAAAAATTGGCATTTTCCTATATAATCCTATAGTAAATGTACCTGTATTTTGAGACGGTCCCTCAAAAATACCTGGACGGTAGATTTCCCCCAAACTTTGCATGTACACTTAAGTAAATGTAAGTTATATATGGTATAAAAATGAAGAGTTTCGCTATTGTAGTTTTCACACAATAAAACTATAGTCGGCCCCCTTAAATTGAGTCAAATCATTGTACATTTTGATGTCTCAGAGTTTTAAAAATGCATATACACCCCTACTAATGTGTTCGGAACTTTATGTAGTGGATTATTGATTTTCGGTGTACTGCAAATTATAAAACCCGAGGAGTTCAAAATTGCTTTGGAAGTATCTCTGGTGAGAGTCAGCGAGACTACAGCGAGATAGGGTAAATTATTCACGGAAATGTGGCTAGGAAGTGACTAGCACGTGGAGACATTGTAAACAGAGGAGCTATGTTGTGTTTCAATTTTTACCACCCTATAATATCTGTAGAAATTTAATTCAATTTCATTTGAATTCCTTCAACTTTGATTAGTATATATATTCTCTTTGGTATTATTTTTCCGCATTCATGCATTAAAATTCTTTTTGGACAAATATACGTGTATTTGGAACCGGTACTATATTTTTTGGCGTCAGCTTAAAGGTACTTGGACACAGATTTGAAGGTATTTTTTTCTGTATAATATTACGACATGTATATTCTCATAGCATTTCACACAAAAATTAATAAAAAATCTTATTTCGTTTAAAAGTTATTAAAACTTCAAATTTTTTGGTGGGTTTGATTGACTCATCCTTGCACTTTTACAAATTTTAAGTTTACTCCTAATACTTAGAAAAAGTGGCAATCTTATTGTATACACATGTAAATGAAAAATATAAATACTATAATCCAGAAAAATCAGAGTAGACATGTATAGCAAAACAAACACACACTATATATATATATATATATATATATATATATATGAACGCACCCGGTGAATCGTAAACAATCAACAATAACATAGCTCTTGCCCTGTTTACAAAAACTGTGTATAACACGAGTGTGATCGATTTGCACACAAGACTTAGTTCGAAATGACGGTACATGTGAAGGAATTTTGCTTTATAACATTTCTACTCTGAATAAAATTGTTTTTC